GATGGAAAAGAATGCCAACGTTAACGCGACGGGGATTGAGAATATACCGAATAATAACCACGACTCAGGGAAGGGGAATAATAACAGCAACAGTAACGCGCATGGCAACGCGGCACAGGGACATGGTGATGGCGGTGGCGGTGTGTCGAATGTGCATTCGGGTCAGAAGCGGAAGGCTTCTGCGATGGGGAATATTCAGCAGGCGCATGGAGGGTCAGGGAAGAAGTCGAAATCTGCTGCGGCGGCGGCGCAGCGGAGACCGAGCACGAATGTTGATAGTGATGGGGATGGGGATGATGATGGGTAGTGAGTGTAGCTTAGCTGTGAAATGGTGAAGTGTGTCATTCTGTTGCCTCTATTTTACTTTCATCTAGGTATGAGGTCATGTCCAAAGGGATACTTGTTTATGGTATAATATGCTTGTGTGTGTGTGTGTGTGTGTGTGTGTGTGTGTGTGTGTGTGTGTGTGTGTGTGTGTGTGTATGTGTGCGTGTGTGCGTGTGTACTTTCTCCTTTATTTCCTCCTTTTTTTTTCGGAGCATCTGTGTTTCTAAGTTGCTTGACCGATTTGATCTGATTGCTTGGATGGGATGGGAATGTATTTTCTCTTATATATGTTTGTTTGGTGTAATTGCGGGATTGTTTTGTTGTTTTGTTTCTCTGTTGTTTCTCTATTTTATTATTATTATCATCAAGCTAGTTGAGCCCTTTGTGTTTGTTCCTCTTTTTCCCCATACGTCATGTTAATGTGTATGTGCGTATGTGGGTTGTGCCTCTTGCGTGTGAATTTTTATCTCTTTGCCGCTCTGTTTTTATTGTCCTTACGTTTCCCCCTCTCTACCTAAATCATCTTCCCCTTATTAATTATTGTTTATTGTTATTTTATGACGGACTGGTCATGGATGGAAATATCCACCCCCTCCCCTCTTCCATTTAGTTGCCATTCGATTCACCCTCTCCTGTCACCTTTTTCATATTTTCCTGAGATTTTATTGTTTTTTACACGCTTACTATATACTACCACGGCCATCCCGATACGCTTCGTTGCGCATTATTGATATCAATTTTGGTTTTTTTTCCCCCTTCTCTGTCCTCGTTTCTCTTTTTCCCCCTCGCTTCAAGATACAAGTGAGGTCATTCCGTTTTTCATTAAGCGGATCCTCAAGAATGAGATTTGCAATTTGGGTTGGGGGACCACCAAAAAAAAGTTATCTTTCCTCTGCTTTTCTTCCTTTTTCCTTTTTTTTTTTTTTTTTAATTTTTTCCATCTCTATTTTTTAGTTATAATTTTTATTTTTATTTTTTGGACCAAAAAAATTTGATTCCCCCACGTCTTGTTTCTGTTTCAGTTTTTTAAATGTTGGTATTCATGACAGAGTTTCTTAATTCCTATAAATATGACTTATATATATCGCTATTATAGGTAGCTCAGCTGACAATTTGCCTTTTTCCAGTCTGTTACTGTTCTATTTTTATTCTTCATCTAAATACTTCCTCTTGAAAATCTTACAATCTTCTCCCTTCAGCCAAACTTGATGAATGAGTGCACTCCATTACATCAGTCATGTTTTTGTTGTTTTATGTATATCAATTACATCAGCTACCGTTTAGGCAGATAACTCTATATAATCAACCCATCAGTCAATCGGAGCGGTTTTTTTTTTTTTTTTGATCCAAGGTCAGGGTAACTATTAGTTACCTCTAGTTTAGCTAGGTAACTACTTAACTAATGATCCTTCAACACTTTGTCACGTGGCCCTCCATGTTCATGTGGTCTTCCAACGTCAAAATGGATGAGACTCGAAAAGAATTGCGGGGGAAGTTTGTTTACCAGACACATTCTGTGGAGAAATGTGCGACATCTACTTCTTTTCATTGCTGGGCGTTTGTGTCAGCAGACAAGTTTGCCTGTGAGCAGCAGCTTGACATGCCGGGGGAAATAGAATCCACCTGCTGCTGCTCAGCTCCGTTCGCAACCAACCATTTTAACTACGGAGCAGTTAACGTTACTGGAACGAACGCAATTAGCTACTGCATTGCTTCAGTGGCCTTCCACCCCTTGAGTTCCTATCAGTTTCAGCCAGCTTCTAGTAATTGATTGATACTTAAATTATCGAATTTATTTCCCCAATTCCCATCTGTTGCTGTTTCTTCTTTATTATCCATCGCTGGTGCTTTTTCTGATCCCTGATACCAAACCCAGACGGCTCGCAGGAGACATAAAAGCCATCTCAATCCTCCCAATTTGCATTTTCTGAATAATCCTGCATGTCTGATTTTGGTCACGGACGGCCTTTTCCCCTCAGGGCGCCTTTTCCCCGGGGGTATTTTAACCGCCTAGGGTAAAACGGGAGACGGGATATTCCGCCCCTTCTTAGCATCACGTACTTCGTTTCATCTAGGGCGCTTTAACTCGTTCATTTGCTTTGGTTTCGGTCTTGGATGAGATACGGAATACCTCTTTCTAGGCATGAGATTGGTCCTTGGGTTAAACCTTTTTTTTTTTTTTGGTTTTTTTTTTTTTTTTGGTTTTTTCCCCTTTCCCTTCAACGCGGCGTTACGTTCTGTGGGGGATTATGGGATCTGGGAACGCGACTCGTGACTTAGAGGCCTAATGGCATATGGTAAAGGGTCCAGTGATCTCCAGCATGCCCAAATATTGACCTACGAATGCAGAGTGGGTCAGAGTTGATCGCCATGTCTGGTAGGGCTTGCAAAAGCATGCGGTCTGCCTTGCCGATGGAAGTATTCTGAACTCCCTGAGGAAAGCTAAATTGTTTACGGGGCTATTTCCTGTCCATCCAAGTGCTTTACCTGGAAATACCAGCGTTTCACAGCGCTCACTGGCTAGTCGACCCCTGACAGTGCACATTCGGCCTTTCCTCGACATGCTTCTGTTCTCAATTCCTTGCTACTCCATATCTGTGACCCATGTCTGCAACTCATTAAGCTGCTATATTTGCAGCAAAATGGATACCCAGAGACGCCATGGATTCGACGACGGGAATTATCGCCACTCTAAACTCCAAGAACCCAAGAAACTCCAGTGTCTGCTTGAGTGATCGGCGAAGGATGTATCATGAGTGTATAGGCTATACACATACATGGGAAATTGACATCAGCCGGTGCAGTGCAGCGGGACCCGCTCGTTCATGCCGTCACCTAGGAAGTTCACTACGTTTTACAAAAGAAAAAAAAAAAAAAAAAGCGACTGGCCGACAATATTTTTCACGCTTGATGAAAGGGGGGGAGGAGTGGATGGACAAGGCGCCCAGTACAATCCCACCTCCGGTCCCAAACGCAATCCAATCCACGGGCTCGCAATGTCAGACTCCACCAATGTTGCAACCCACCCAACCCACCTCGGGTCATCCGTCGTCCATTCAGAGCAGCGAGATGCTCTCTGTGAAGCTATCCTTTCCTCGTCAAACAGGCTGCTGCACTCTACCCGCATGAGGGCTTTCTCTCGTGACCTTGTTCCTGACATGTATGATAGCCAATTGATACTATGGCGCAATGACATCGGACGATATTTTGGACAAATCTTGATATTATCATTACATGTTGCCACATCCACCCTTGCCTGCCCCCCCTGTGATGACTCTCTAAAGATTTGGTGCTTACTCATCCTCACTCAGCCTCATTCAAATTATTTTATGCCGTTTTGACCAATATTCCTCTTACAGTTTCTTTCTCCGCTTGATATCCTGGCAGTTACCTTGGAGACAGCTTTTTGCGAAGAATGCGATGGACAAGGGTTTTTGGAGCCCCAAATCCACGGACCACCACCGACGATGCAGGATATCTTTCCTTGGCGGGTCTTTTGTGGTTGGAACGGGGGATTAGGTCCCACATTTTGTGCCCATGTTCCACAGCCTATGGATGTCAACCAGCAGAGAAACAAATAGGGTGTAATGCACATTTTTGACCTTTCAATATGCCCTAAGGCGCTAGACACCGCCAATAAGTCGGAGCCAACTATACTTCAAAACACACCTACCTGCTGCATTCTTCTCTCCTTTGTTCCCTTTTTCGCATTTCATTTCATTTGCTTTTTGGGATCAGCTCCAGGCAAGCTCTTGCCAACTAGAGCAATATAATTTGCGGTAAACAAAACAGGCACACTGCCTCAACATCATTTCTGTCTATCGCTGGGCGCATGTCGGTAACCCACTTCGATGAGTAAGGTAGCCTTACGTTGAAAATGGTTACATCTATTCATATATGCTCTGGTATCTCGCATGACATTAGAATCTCGTTTTCCTCTTCGTTTGCCATTCTAGGTCGGGGAGATAGAATCACTGACAGGAGAGGGTTATAGCAGGCAGAAAGCGAAGCACAGGATATGGGGAATGATCACTACGTATATTCTGTTTCCATGACTTTTTTCCCTCCATCTCCCACTTCCCATAATCATGGTACCCTTTTCATTTTCCTGAGTGCATTTTGTGTGCAAGAATGCACGCAATCAAAAGGTGAAATTTACAATAGCAACAGAATGAAGAATTATGAAAGAAAGAAATAAAAGAGTAAACGTGGGATAAAAGCCCTTCCAACATCGACAACAACAACAACAACAACAACAGAAATTGTCGGCTTGGGCAGCAAAGCAGAGAAATATACCAGCTAACTGAGACCGCGTCAACTTGGAAGACGCTGAGTTGTTGGCTGGATAACTAAATAATCCACATTCAGCGAATATAATTGATCCAAGCCAAACAACTGCGCGAAGCAGTTCGTTTAATAGGCAAAGATGCCTTGAAGTTCATGCAGGTCATATGTCATTTTTACTTTCTCTGCATCTAGTTAACTAGTTACCCCCGATGTGTTGGGCAGAGTGTGGTTGTTAGAAGACCTAGTTAATTAAAACAAGGCAGCGAATGAACTATTGGCGGACTGGCTCATTTGCATTGAACTGACCAGTTTCGAGATGTCTGGGTGTATGTATTGAGAGAATAGTACTGATAATCTTAACCATCCACGTTGTTGACAAGAAGGACGATTTTCGCAGTCGATATTCGACTTGAGGGACTTTTCTACCCTCGTATCCCACCAACTCACATGATAAAAGTATGGGACCACTCACAGCGTAAAATTTAACATAAAGAGATATTAATTAATGATTAAAAATAAAAATAAAAATAAAAATAAGCAATTTAACCCAACTACCTCTTAAGGAACTGAGATCCGCGGAACGCATATACTCCATTAATTAATTAGGTGTGGATACTCTTTAAGGCGTTAACTCGATCGATGCAAAGACTTATATTCTCAAGATACAATTATGCAACGAGGACGATGAGGCAACTTGACCATGCACAAGTTTAATTGGTAAGATAAGCAAGAAGGGAAGGACAAAAGGGATAACAAGATGAAAAATAGGAATTTTTATTAAAGCTGGCGTATATATTCAAGTCTCCGTCCGATTCTGACCTGAGGGGTATCTTGTAAATAGATTAAAAAGTGAACGGAAATAAAGGAAAATGTCACCAAATGTCAAAGAAATTGTATCAATAGGATCAAAAAGGTCCTGCCCAGCCTGGTGGCTGTGTTACATATAACGAGCATATATATGGAAAATATGAAGAGAATTATAATGAGCGACTATCTGGTGGTCGTAGCCGCGAGGCGTTCAAATCACATACAAAGAAAATGGCGGAGTGGATGACACGATTCTAGCAACGGGTAAGTGAAAAAAAAACTGGGAAAGGAAAAAAGATGCTGATCATCCCACTATGTAAGTGTCAGTTGGAAAACATTAAGGCGTCAGGTTTAAACCATGAGAGAACAACAAAAAGTTTAGGAGAAAAGGATAGCGTAAACACGACAACAACAGAAGGGGGGAAGAAAAAAGAAAACCGAAGTAGATACGAAAACATCTATGTTTCTTACTCTTCAAATGGCATCGGAACTGCTCTCTAACCAAAAATAAGCTGAAGGCAATCTAGACGAAAGATATTCATCTACTACCACTGCCACTCCCGTTGCCATTAGCCGGGGTACTAAAATACCCCTGATCAATTTTCAAAATCCACTCAACTTTCAGTGCCTCCGTCCTTGCTGCGAACAGGAATGTGTTCTGCGTCCCATAGACGGCAAACACATACGGTCGACCCCTCATTGACAAGCCGTTCCCAGCCCTAGATCCGCCACCATCATCCAAGAGCCGAGCAAAGTCAGGTTCATGGTCGACGCGCGAATTGCGCAGATTGATAGCATTGATTCCATCTCCGTCCGGGACAGAATAAATGTGGAGGTATGGGAGGCTGAGTTCGACAAAACGCCGCACCCAGTGGCGGTTTGTGTCATCCGGGGTATAGAGGTAACCGGATTTGAGAACGGTGGGGTTTTTGGGGATGTGTTGGATTGTGGCAATGAAACGAGGCTTCGACGGCGGCTGCTGTAGTTGCTGTTGCTGCTGTCCCTGTTCGGAAGTGATAGGGGAGCAATCACCGCTTTCGCAGGCTGGGGAGGCGCTTGTTGTGGATGGGCTGGTGATAGAGGAGGGATTTCTTGTAAAGCCGGCCCCACGGAGAGGCTGTTCGGTATGGTCTTTGAAGAGAATTATTTCGGTCAGGTCCCTTTTGGTCGACCATAGGTCGAGATACTTCCGAAGCAGCATGTCCCGTCGCTCACTACTGTCCTGGCCTTGGAGCGGTGTAGATCGCCCATTGGTCGGCAAAGGGGTTAAGGTGCGTGTACTGTGTGCTCCACGGGCAGCGTCGATTTCGGCAAGTCGCTGCCGCCGTTTTCGAGCGCCAACGAAGTCTCGAATTAGCGATACCTTCCGTGGAGCCCAGGTGGTTAATAACTCTTCACCTTTGACATAGTCATTTTGGGTATTCATGCGCCAGAGGTCTGCTGCTCGCTTCGCTGATATGGGCCGAACTGCAAGGGAAAATATTCCCACTGTGGAGTGGACAATACGGAACGAGTTCCAAAATTGTTTGAACATTGATTGTGGCCGTATATAAGTTCGACCTAGTATTTGTAGCGTTTGATCGAGTTCAAATATAATAGGATCCTGAAGACGGGGTGAAATCAAGTTCCAGCGAAGGGATATTTGGACTTTGTATCTGTCCGCAGTCGTTCGGTCAAGCAATAATGACCCATGAAGGCTGGAGTCCCACTGTCCAACAAGGGTTACGTTGGACGTCCCGTCAGCGTTGTCAGTTACCATTGGTTCTTGTATCAATTGTAGAAGGACATCCGCAGATTTTAGGTCCACATCCGGAATTTTTCCCCATGGATCAAGAAGCCGAACGGTACCAACTCTCAAAGCAGTGATATCTTCCCACGGCAGGTTCTCAGTTGAGCTATGGGTCAGACTGACTACAATGCGTCTCTGTAATCCTTGATGAAGTTGATAAGTGCCGGCGTCGAGACTATTGCTCTGCACAACCTCAACGGGGAGGTATTCCCCATTCTCAGACAGTTCCAGGATTTGCACTCGGACAAATACATCATGGCGCTCTTCCTGATAGAATTCCGACTCGGGAATCCGTGGCGTCTTCCTTTTCTGGGGCGGTGCTTCGGGCGAGTCGCGCATTTCATCCCAACTGAGCAGCTTGTCAAGATGCATCGTCGTAACCGACGCATAAATGCTCACTTTCAAAGTTGAACTTCTTGGGCTATTGAGAGGAAGGCTCATACTATGAACGCTCTCGAACCTAATCGAGTTTTCATCAAAACCACGAATCATCTGTGTCGTTGTGGCACCGCCTTCATCCGAAACACCGGGGACAAAGAGCTGAGCATGTACATCAGTTCCTTCGCGTTCCGCAAACCCTATCATATCCCGCATGACCACGTTGAACTTGAGAGTTGATGAAGGTGCTTGTGCGGAAGATGGCTCCAAAGATAGTTTAATAATCCCAACAACACTCTGGGTATACGGCGAGATGGCTTCAACGCAGAAATCTTGCACCCTCGACTCAAACACAGCAGCTAACGGAACATCAGCATCACCTACTAGCGAATATTGAGGGGTGCAAGTCTCGGAGAATGGATTTTCGAGCTTAAAGTGTTGGATGTAATCAGGTCGATCGATATATTGATGCATCTGTTGCATTGATTGAACACGCCGCTGGAGCTTGTCAATCGACCAGATATATATGACGCTGTGCTTGAAATCAACTACCCTAACTCCAACACATGGTTTCCGTGCGTCCTCTAAGGCGACGTCGTCATCACTGGAAATGCCATTCAGCACCAGATCGTAAGATGACGCCATGTTGTGCCCGACATCGACGATGACAAATTGGAAAACAACCTGTTTGTCCATTATCTGACTCATGACCTGTGCTTCCTTGAGTAGTGAGGCGTATTGAAGAACAGATTCTGCCATGCGCACATAATTCCGCTGTCGCCAATGCAGAACAACCGACTTAGCTATTGGAATCTCTTCTGGGTCGAGCTGAGTGAATCCGTTCTCAAACATCCTTTGTGGAGCTGAAAATGTCCTCTCCTTTATCTGTATTTCAAACTCCTCTTTTTGTTTTTGCAACTGTTGCTGGAACTCTTCCTTCACGGCCTTGAGAGCATCTTCCATGCGCGATTTTTCTGCAAGTAACTCTTCCACAGACAGTGATGCCGTCTCAACTCCTTTAGGCTTTCCTTTACACTCATCCTTTTGCTTTTCAAGCTGCCGTTGCAGGTCATCACGAACCAATTGAAGCGCGGAATTGTCTGTCTCTCCGTCGTCGTCCTCAGCTTGCCGTGGCGTCCCCGGCATGGTAAGAGCCGTATCCAAAGAGAAATTGTCTATAGTTCCATTTGACATGTACTTTTCCCGCACAAGATATGAGCTAAGCGAATCCGAATCATCTTCACCGTCGATAAGTTTGCTTTCTGGACGTCCGCGCCTCACTGCTCGGGCCTTCTGCACATCGTCAAACAATGCATCAAGTTCATCATCGGTAAGATGTGAAATTTTCTGATCGGGTCCCAAAATAGCACTTGCAGCTTCCCTTCGAGCATAGAACCAATCGGAATCTCGACCTCGTTGTGATGATAAGGGGGACTCAGCCCTGCTAGAATCACCATCAACTTCTGACCCAGTTTTGCTCATCGATCTGTCATGTCCTGACCTTGTCGGAGCAGGAGACCCAAGCTGGCTGGTGGTGACAGAGTGGCGGAGGAGGCTCTGCTCCACTCTTTCGGCGCGAGCTTCTTGTGGATGATTAAACCGGAATATATGGAAGTCACCTAGAATGATTCGAAAACCACTTCGTAATCTTTTGGGTTTATCTATTCGCAAACCGTTGACCATTACCGCAGCTCCCTCGTTAGGAACGATAGTGACTACATTATCGACATTCTCGAAGCTACAATGTTGATGAAGTATTTTAGAGCCATTCAGTCGAATTTCCGATGTTGCAGCAGTATTGACGTTCCCGACAGTAGTTGTCCCAGGCTTAATGTTGTATACCAAGCATTCGGTAAGGAGAGGATCATCGCTGAGGTTAACAAGATGAGGTATCTTTTTGGGAGTGCTGAGTCCGACAAACCCCTTCTCAATACTAATGCCCAATTCCTCCAAAGCTGCTTCACGTTCTTTGTGGATTTCTTCGGTTTTCTGCAACTTTTCTTCCCAGGTTTGATTGAGATCCTTGTAAAGCTTTTCGCTTTGATTCAGTTGTTCAACAATTTCTGCTTTGCTAACCTTTTTAATTGTCCCATCAGCTTGGGCTATAGACACCATTTGTAGTTCTAGCGGAGTGCCAGGTGGGTAGATTTCTCCAACAAGAGCACCGCCAGCAGTGCCACCAGAGCCTCCGGAAATCGCCCCTCCACCAAGCTTGCTCCTGAGCTGTGCAAGCTCTTCCTTGAGTTCACGAATCATTCTTGCATTGGGATCCTCGTTAACGACGGCATGGTTCTTGATTCTCTTGGCGGAATCCGCATAGCGCAGTGTACTTAGCGTCTCATCGTAGTTTATGTCGGCTGGCGATATAGCCGCAATCATAGCAGTCATCGAGTTACCACCCAAAGAATCTTTAAGAAGCCAAGTCAAAACGGAATCACGGTATGGGACCATGGAAGCATTTTTCTTTTTTCCGGAGGATAAATCTGCCAATGCCGCAATAACACGACCAAGAGTAGAGAGAGAACGATTGATCTCAGCACCCTCTTTAAGACGTACGCCGGTTGCGCCAGTCGAAGTAGCTCTCTCTGAACCCGCCAAGTCAACCAAACTGATGCGGGAAACTTTTTCCGTATCCATGGTGGTCTCCGTATCATGGCGCTTTTGGCTGACTGTAAGGGTGAACACCGCGTGTGATCGACTTGACGTTTCGTTCATGTTCGTTGCTGCGACGGTTCGAGCCTTATTGCCTTCGTCCATCAGGTGTTCAATTTCTTGGAAAGAGCGCACAACCAATTTCGCCAAGTCCTCAACATAGGGACCAGTTGAAGGATGCTCTCGAACTTTGAGGTTTCCCTTGGTTGCAGGATTGAGTAAATCCCTGACCCTTTCATTGTAAATCTCGAGATATGACACCTCCACAGTACAAGTTAGACTCTTGTCGGAGGATTGCATTTCAGAGATTCGGTTGAACATATCCTTGCAAATCTTGGGGATCACACCGGCTTCCTCGCCATATCCCATCATGGAATACGATTTACCCGATCCAGTCTGTCCGTAGGCAAAAATACAGTTATTATATCCCTGAAACGCATTGTCCAGCAACGGTGCGCCCAGATCATTGAAGAGGTCATCCTGGCCAGCGAAATGGGGATCATTGCGATTAAAGGACCAGTAAGACTTGTCGAACGCGAATACTTTCGGACCATCGACGCTGCCACCACCTTGTTTCCCACCTTTCCGTGATTTTTCTTCTGCTCCAGGTGGGGGTATAAGCACGGTTTGCGTGCCTTTCATTTGAACGATGCATTTCGCTTTCCTGTCCAGTTCTGTCGAGGGTTGTAAATATTTCCAGTTAGCAGAAGGTATCTTGAATGTCCTCTCATCCAGCAGAAGACTTGTAACCGCAGCGCCTGTGGAGCGAGATGCATTCACGCATGTGGCACGAAATCCAGGGGCAAAGAAAGGGATTGTGGAAAAACTAACCTCTGCCATTGAACGGCCGTACTCTTACCACCACCTTAATATTTCCTCCTCCACCTGGCGCCATCTTCGCCTGTGCCCCATACACTCACTCCCTCTTCGCCTCCTCCAAACCCGATCTCTAGGTATCGAGTCAGGCAACCAACCTAATCGCGACTGTCGAGGGGAAGTATGCCGGGGTGACGGGTTCGCAAACGGATCGAGATTAAAAAACAAGGACATATACCTTTGTGGTATGATTTCGATGTCGATGCGCAATGGAGGGGGGGGGTTGGGGGGGGATCAGCCTGGTAATATGCTTCTCTGCAAATGTGTCTGAAGTCTGTCAACAATCAACGTCATCTACAGGACCGACGGAGAGAACGGAGAGCAGAATCCTGGGAGAGGAAATGTGGGTATCGAATTTAGGGAGACGTAGCCACTCGGTCTCCGTTATGCGGGGGACATTCACAGCTGCAAAAATCGGCACCTAGACACGTCAAAAATCCAACTATCCCAACCTGATGTAACAGTTAAGAATGATAACCATCTTCCTCGTGTCAGTACATATTTTGAGGGTTGGATGTATCAGCCACAACTTTGCGGCCTGGGATTTTAGGTTTTGGCAAGGGAGCCACAAGCGTGGCGAGCACTCTCAAAGCGTGAAAAGTCAGAGAAGCGAGTGAAGCATGCTTGTAGAGGGAGTTGATTGTCTTCTATATTATGTGACTGGACAAGCTGGATGATTACATATAAGTAAAAGAAAGTAATGAAGAAAATAAAGCTGGGGTACAGACATAACTACATGAACAGTAACTACACAGTTACGCACTCTATACATTTACTAGTTAGTTAGCTACCCGTTCTGCATCTCTGAGGCCTCCAGTTTGGTCTAAGAAAACAGTCAGAGGACCCCTACTTGTACAACGCTTACAGCTATGAATTCACAATCTAAAAACGCTCCTTCATCAGCGGTTGATGCTGTTTTCATCAACTCTGAGTCTGTTCCTGAGGGGTCAAGACAAGTCAACGGCATTGATTTCAACCAGTATGCCGGAAAGGGTATCACCGTTGCAGACCTGGTAGATGGAATGGCTGGGATGGGATTCCAGGCCAGCGCAGTGAGTGATGCAGCGCAGATCATAAATGAAATGGTGTGTGAATATATATGTCACGTCATAAAGCCCTCCACCACATAACATAGATTTTTTTTTTTTTTTTTTTTTTTTTTTTTTTTTTTTTCCCTTCATCTGTCTAACCCGTTCCATTTTCCTATTCTAGAGAGCCTGGCGCGACACGGAGACTGGGGAAAAAACCACTATATTTCTGGGTTACACATCGAATTTAATATCTTCCGGTTTGAGAGAGACGTTCCGATATCTGGTCCAACATAAACATGTCTCTGCCATTGTCACGACAGCGGGCGGAGTTGAAGAGGACTTTATAAAATGCCTTGCCCCCACCTACCTGGGCTCCTTCTCAACTCCAGGACAGTCACTCCGAGCCAAAGGCCTGAACCGGATTGGTAATCTGATTGTACCGAACAACAACTACTGTGCTTTTGAAGACTGGTTGATGCCAATCTTGGACAAGATGCTGGAGGAGCAGGAGGCGTCACGGGGGACAGATCACCAGCTCCACTGGACACCAAGCAAGATGATCCGCCGACTGGGGAAGGAAATCAACAATGAAAACTCAGTCTACTACTGGGCCTACAAGAATGACATACCAGTGTTCTGTCCAGCGCTGACCGACGGCAGCATGGGGGATATGATGTATTTCCACACATTCAAGTCTTCTCCGCAGCAGCTGCGGGTCGACATTGTGGAAGACTTGCGGAAGATCAACACAATGTCTGTGCGGGCCAAACGAGTGGGGATGATTATTCTGGGTGGCGGGGTGGTTAAGCATCATATTGCTAATGCATGTTTGATGCGGAATGGGGCGGAGAGCGCAGTTTACATCAACACAGCGCAGGAGTTTGATGGGAGCGATGCTGGTGCACAGCCAGATGAAGCTGTGTCATGGGGCAAGATCAAAGCAGATGCAAAGAGTGTAAAGGTGTGGTTGCTGAACACTAGCCTAATCAATGCAACATTCATCGCGCACAGCTGACAGTTGAATTTTTATGATTATAGGTCTACGCAGAGGCTACAGTGGCATTTCCACTCATTGTTGCAGCAACATTTGCAAGGGCTGAGAAAGAGCTGAAAAAATGATTGTGAAAAACAAAAGAAGAAAGATATAAACTAAAATCTTTCAGCAGCTTTACTATCCAGGGGTTTACTCCGCATTCAACAGTAGATATACACCATCACATTGAAGTCTATAAGGGAAGGCTACTTTTCATATCGAGCCTGTGCAGGGGAAAATATCATAGGCAATTTCATTGAAAAAATATAGAATATCAAAATCAGGAGCTGACAATGTATGCAGCATCATCTTGCCAGGAAGATTCAGCATCAATTTGAAAAAAGGGGATTGTAGTTGTTGGGCATAAATGTATGTGCAATACATATTTTTCAAGATTAACTTGGCCAGCTGATGGTGGCATCCAAGAGAGAGAGATGAAAAAAAAAAAGAAAAAAAGAAAAAGAAAAGAAAAGAAAACCTCTTTTATTTATGTTTTCTCCTAGATCCGAAGAGAAAGAAAGCAAAGGAAAGGAAACTAAAAGGACAGGAAAGAAAAGAAAATGGGAGGTCCTTGGAATTTTCCAGCAACACCGCAAAATTCCCCCGTTCATTTTCAAGGCTCCACCGGGGGAACCAAGTGCTTGGGATGGCCTTGAGCCCCTATTGGGGCTTGCTTACGGGTCCATTCCTAATGCAGGCGAGGCCTCCCCCAATCCGGGATTTCCGTGGGTTAAGGTCATCGCCTGATTAGCTAATAACTAGTTACCAGCCACATATCTTATTAATCAGCGCTGCCGGGGGGGGCTTGAGTGCATCAAAATCCAAAACCTCCAACAAACGTCAAACGTCTTCCAATAATTGCAACTCAGCAATAAAAAGATATGAAGAAGAGCTTTTAGCCTTCTCATCCAGCTCTCTGTCTGCCAACCTGTTGGTTTCAAAAGTTGCTGCTGTTCATTGCCAAGCAAGGCCCGTCATGTCCCGCCACCCCACCTGTCAAAGAGATCCATTGGCGAACCAGATAATCCATTCATCTCCTTTGGCTCTTCGAACCGATGTTTGCTGCCCGCACTAGACGTTCAATGACGTCATGTCCCGTTTCCCACTGTGAGCGCAATCTAGACCCCAGCTTTCGCCTTGAAATGGGAATGATGTTTTTTTCTTGGGGCAAACATTGAGTTTCCCTGCATCTGGGGACCGCCGCCACGACATTCCCCGTGATATGGCGTCGTAGCCGCCATGGTGATTGGACTTTTGAAGCTCTTGTAGCCTATGTAAAAGAGTTCGACTATAATCCTGATTTTTATTGTGCATATCTCCGTGGTAACTAGATAAACTCAGACCCTCGTCAGACAGATACAATGTGCCGCTGCTAAAGAGGCTACAGTAATATCTTTAATCGAACTGGCATGGTCTATCTCACGGAAGCCCATAAATCCCACGGAAGCCCCCGTGCGGAGTATTTCAAATCGATCTCGTATCTCCAAGCTTTGGCAAAAGAAATATTCCCAACACTGTGTTCAGGATCTCCGCGGGCCTGAACCTTCCCCGCATCTAGATGCTGCTTGATTGCAGGGCAGCTTTCTAAGAGGCGCATAGCAGCAAGCTAAGACCAGACTACTTCTTTTCGCATGCCATATCGGCTAGAGCGCTCATGCACCACACATTTTGATTCGAAATGTGATAACTTCTTAGAAAGAAAAAGAGAGAGGAGCAAAATAGAAAAAGAGCGACGACTTGCCAGTGGTGAAATATCTGAAACTTGAACAAATCCACACGAGTCTCTCCAAAAGGGAGGGTCTAGCAGCGATCAGCTCTCCGCCCAAACGGCGTAGTTCTACACCAACTGGGAATGACTTTTGACAAGCAAGAAGAATAAGGGAAGGCTAATGTGAATGTCCGGTGACCTCCTCAGCCAGTCAACTGACCCTGATAGGCTGCAAGCTGCAGGTTATAATTCACTCGAGGGGCAATAATAAATATCTCTAGCAATTCTTGCTGTGCAAACTGGTCCTCCATCGTAGGGGAAAGCTGCTTCTTCCCTCTTGAATGCGGAGGAGCAGTCTCTCCCTTTTCCTCCATTCTTTTCTGATAAACAGGTCTGCAGAGGTCAATCGATCAATCGATACAATGAACAATCTACGCCGATCACTAAACCCGTCAACTGGGTACTGTTGCTCTCTTGGGCGCTGGGTGTCGGGTTACCGTCAAATAGGCTTCTTGTGCTGTCGCCCATCTTCACGAGATACTAGGTGGGCTCGGGCGCGTGGATTTTGGACGGGCTCATCGAACACCCCATCCAAGAATTCCCGATTACGCATCTTTGCTCTGCTTACCGCCGCGATAGGATTTGGTGGTATATTACTTAGACCAACTGGAAACACTGTCCAGCTGGAATCCATAAGGGAATACTCCGCTCAAAGTAATGCAAAGAAAGGAAACCCTGTTGATATGGTAGCACCGTCCTTGGACATATCAGATCTCCCCAAAGAGGAGGCGCTGCTCTCCTTCGCACCGAATGTACCCCCGCCTATCACCAGGGACTACCCCGTTCTCCTCAAAGTGCCTTTAACAACAAGCACCAAAATTAATCAGCTCACAAACGCATACAAATATGAGCAGTGGACCTTCAATAACAAAGTCCCGGGTCCATTCATACGGGCCCGTGTCGGGGACGTGATCGAGTTAACACTGACCAATAAGGATGTCACCGGCAACCCTCACAACATTGACTCTCACGCCTTTACAGGTCCGGGGGGAGGAGCGGCGTTAACGACGGCAGAAGAGAACCAAACCAAAACAGGAAGATTCAAGTTGATGTATCCTGGGCTGTTCTTTTACCATTGCGCAGCAGCACCGGTGCCCGTGCACATTGCCAACGGAATGTACGGGCTTATCTACGTGCAGCCGGAAAAGGACACACTCCCCAAAGTCGATCGGGAGTTCTACGTAATGCAAAGCGAGTTTTACCATGAGCCGCCAGAGATTGAGGAGAACGGAAAGCGATCAACTCTGGTGGAGTTCTCATATCCAAACGCCCTGCGTGAGGACCCGGATGTGATCGTCTTCAACGGCAGCGAGACTGCCCTCACTTTGGATAACCCTCTGAAAGCGAAGACGGGCGAAACCATCCGGGTTTTCTTTGGCAATGCGGGACCAAATTTAACCAGCTCTCCACATATCATCGGCAGTACGTTCCACAAATTGTACCGCGATGGTGATGTCCTAAGCACCCCTGCACAAAACGTACAAACGGCCACTGTCCCTCCCGGTGCGGCGTCGATTTTCGATTCGAAGATGGTTGTTCCAGGAACATATACTTTGGTGGACCATGCTATTTTCCGTCTGGATAAAGGCTGTGTGGGATTCATAAATGTATCCGGGAAACCAAGGCCAGACATATATCAGAGTGCTGAGCATCCGGAGTCGTGTGTTGGATGTAAACTGCATCCATGATGATTTTTAATGATTTATGAGATTTTTTTTTTTTTTTTTTTTTTTTTTTTTTTTCCAATTTGTTTTAGTTCTTACTCTGACGGATGAAGGTTCACTTCTCCTCGCTCCTAATATTCCATATGACAATCTCTCCCTATAAATAATATCCTTAGAACAAAGTGAATATCCACATAAATTTCGAACACTCCATAATTCGAAGCAAGTGTCAGGGTCGCCGTCGTCAGTCTGCCTTGGCCAAGGCGCCACGGCGTTGAAAGCGGGTCATCCGCATATCATCCATGTTTTCTTTTTTTCTTTTTTCTTTTCTTTTCTTTTTTTTTTCTTCCGATATCCAGTTGAATCGCACAGGCTGAAGCCATGCCAATCTAGATCCAGCATTGCAGCGGGGGGGAGGACATGACCTTCAGAAGGTGAGAGAACCACTGAATAGTAAGCAGGGATAGTTCAATATAAGCACCTTCAAAGCCCAAGGAGGCCATGTAATGTACGTAACTATCATCTGGAGACCTGTCAGAGCCATCTCTGGTAGGCCGTGAAGGGCGCTCCAGTCCAAATTTATTTGATGCGGTTATGGACTTCTTGCTATAACTAATATGTAACTAACCAAAAAAAAAAAAAAAAAAAAAAAAGGCAGCTTTTCTTAGTGGAGCTCTGGGAAGGTTTTAACCAAACCACCTCCTTGGCACCTTCAACTATTGTCCCTCGCCCCAATTCCACCTCACACCAATTATTTCAATCATTTCTACGGTCGTTAAATCGTTAAATTCGCTCTTTACAGTACCCAGTCATCCTGAATGGACAGCAGGTGGAATTGTTTGGTGAATTCGAGGTTCAGAACCGGAGGATAGTCCAAAAAACCTACTGCTGTGTATTTTCAACGGGACGTGAAGCATTTAGGGGAAAAGCCAGAGTAGGAAAATAAATCAAAGAGGGTATAAACTCAACAGAATTGGGGTAATCGAGATATGCTTCGTCTCGGGCTATCAGGCCGCTACTTCACCCTCGCTGCGTTTTCTGCGGTCATAATCCTTGGAGTGCTTTATGCATTTGTATCTCGCATCTACACCGGTCCCTTACTCTATCTACCAAAATCTCGGTCTCAAATACCACAATGTCGGCCCGCAGAGCGTCCGGGTATCAACAATAGTGATTGTGACAGCGCCAGAGTTGGAGATATCCCATGGCAGTTTGTGACACAGCGGGACGGAAATAACTATGGCTTGAGCAGGGCGCAATGTCAAAAGGCGTTCCCGAAACTTTATGTTGAGATTGAGAAGGCAGTTTTGGCGAGGAGAGGGAGGAATATCACGCTTGACGAACTGAACTCTAAGCCATTGAAGCATTCGATGGTTAGGGCTATGATATACCAAGGGGAGGTGCGTATTCGGTGATTTATTATTGTCACCGACTGCTGCTTAAAGTTAGGGTTCATCGAGCCATTGGGAAATATACGTGTCCTAGTTAACACATATCTCTTAATTTCACCAGCTTTCTATTATCAATTTCGAAGATATGACATTCACATTCACGAGGGCAAAAGCGTCATTAAACTCCTTGAACCGCGCACTGAATGCTATACCAAACCGACAAGATATACCTAACATCGAATTCATCTTCACAGCAGAAGACTTCCACGGCGATCCACATCCAGTTTGGGTTTATTCCAAAAGGGAAAGTGACAGTTGGGCCTGGCTCATGCCTGATTTCGGCTACTGGTCATGGCCAGAAATAAAGGCAGGCCAATACCGCAGTGTTCGCCAGCGCATCGCCGCTATCGATGAAGGTACCACCATAAACGGCAAAGCACAACAAGCTCTGAAATTCCGGGATAAGAAAAAGCAACTCCTGTGGCGGGGTAACCTCGGAACAGCCCCCGAGCTCCGCCAGAGTCTCGTCAACGCGACGAAAGGGAAATCCTGGGCCTCCGTTCGCGCTCTCGACTGGGCGAACGAGCAGAGCATGCGGGAAGATTACATTCCCATTGAGGACCATTGCCGTTATATGTTTCTTGCCCACGTCGAAGGACGCAGCTACTCAGGGCGCGGGAAATATATTCAAAACTGCCGCTCCGTCTTCGTCGCGCACCAACTCACCTGGCGTGAGGCACACCATTCCGCTCTCGTCGCTACAGGCCCAAACGCTAACTACGTCAAAGTAAAACGGGACTTTTCTGACTTAGAGTCGAAAATTCACTACCTGCTCGACAATCCTGACGTGGCGGAGAGGATCGCAGAGAACTCAGTCCGAACGTTCAGAGACCTATACCTGACACCGGCGGCAGAGGCGTGCTACTGGCGCGAGCTGATCCATGCGTATGCATCCGTGTGCGACTTTGAACCGGTGCTCTATACGGAGTCGGGAAGGAATCCGAATTCCATGCGAGGCGTGCCGTTTGAATCGTTCGCGTTGGATTGGAAGCTTCCTAAATCGTGAATTGTGAAACTGTCGACCGCGCAATTTTGAGAATCGGTCTTCCTGGGTTTTGCTATTATTTCATTTGTATCTATCATGTAAAGAGTTCTATGTGATGGTTGCTTGTCACCTTTTATTGGCAATGGTTCATGTTTCCGTTTCATTTATTTTAGGGATGTTTTTGCTTCTTTTGATTTCCCCATGTGTTGCTATACGTATACCTACATTCCGCACACATTTCTTTCCGGTTCTTTGCATTTTCTGCGGTTTGACGCATGTATAACATTCTTCCAAGAGATGTCCGGTTTACGCTTTGCTTTTGGTACTCTTTACGACATTTTTACTTCCCCCTTCCGCTAGAGAATGAATGTATATATATTATCTGTCGGCTTTGATGAGCTGAGTGGGCTACACTGGGCTAGGCTGAAACGGGCTGCGCTTCTCATGAGTGTTTACTTTTTCAGATTTATCTATATTCAATTAACTTAAAACATTTATGAACAGAGAAGGTAGATATATCTGTGACCGAATATAAGGAAACCCATGGTTATAAAACCGACGTGGTTTTACCTGAACAAATTATTCAGCCTTCCAGCAACTTCCATTACCTGCGAACTCATGCTATTTCCCATGAGAAGTTACTATATATCCCACAATAATTTTGCCATGTGTTAGCTGGTAAAAGGAAAATTTTTAAGGTTTTAGTGGAAGATATTAAAGATATGGAGGCATTGGTTGGGCATGGCATGAAAGACCTTGAAGGAGCTGTCTGCTGTGCTCCTGCAGCTGCAACCTTTAAAAAGGGCAATTGTACAATCCTTTTGGCGGATTGCTCGAATTAAGGTTCCGTTTGTACGAGATCACAATGGTATTCCCCGGCAAATATTCAGCAGACTGTTCTCTTTCATGTTGATTATTTTTTCCACGGTTCGGTTCGTCAACAACTCGTATTCCAGAACCACATCTCATGAAGAAACTTCCTGAACATGTGCAATCAATTCAGACGTGGATGTGGAGTTGAAGCAGCGCTATCGGACTTGCATATGTAACAGACTTTCTAGGTGCCGCCAATTTGCAAGTTGAATCCAAGAACACGCCTTCGTGACAAAATCACAACAGCATCAAAAGCGCAAACAGGCAACCAACTACACGACGACAACGACCAGATACATGGGATTCATGTGGAGAGAGTAAAGGTTCGCCCATTCACCATCTTTCAACAACAGAAATGAGAATACCAAATTTCATGATTCGCCGGGGTTGAAAATGGGACTCATCCCGTCATCCCAATTAGGATAGGCAGGGCGCACTTCCGAATTACCCTGGCTTCCTAATCCAGCACCAGGGCTGGTGATAAAATTGACGAGGACAACATTGCCAAATCCCACATATTGTTGTTCACTGTTGATAACACTGACCACACATGTGCCCAGTCAATTATATATCAATACAAGTCAGTCAGTCAGCAAGCATATGAACAGGTCTTCTACCCATGCCATTGGGTTTGCAATTGAAGACAAGAGTAACCCTTGGCAAAGCTCCAACCTTTAGACTGAGGTTTCTGTCAGTCATGTCTGTCGGCCATGGGCTTGCCGCCATACCAGGGGCTATTACAAGTGCCAATCTCGCTGCTCGTAACCAAGGTGATTGATATATGAGTGTATGAGGCTATCAGGGCATTGAGGGAATGCCTTGCCGAACTCGATTGACTTGGATTAGATAATATTACCAAGGATTGGCAGTTTCCTGTAGTTAGAGAAGGATGTAACTATCTTTTTTATATAAGGTGATTTTCCCGCCAGTTTGGCAGAAGCCTTTCAACAAGCGCTCTCTCGATTGGGCACCTTGTGCATTCCTTTCAGATAAAAAGCAAGAGACAGGAGAACGAACAACTCGTTCATTGTTGAGGACAACAAAGAGAAAAAGAAAAAAACATCACCTTCAAGATGCGAATATTTCTTTACTCACTTTACTCACTGATTCCTCTCTTCACGGTTTTCTTTTCTATCAAGATTGTTTCTGTCTCTCCAGCTGTACTTCAACTTCGCTGTGCTGCTCCTGGTGACCGCGAAGTGGTTGGGAATGACTTCGCGGATCCTGGATCTGTTAAACCCAGAACTGACCGGTATGCGTTTGGCATGAATGAATACAACAAAAGGTTCAAGTGGCAAAGTCCCGCGATTTCGAAACCTGTATTGTGCTTGACACGGATGCACTGGCAAGCATTGCACCATGGGAAACAGGAGCATATTACTGGGATCCGGATGTTATATTCAGCGGGGATGTGAATGATCTCCAACTAGGTTTCTGTATCGAGTGGCATACTAGACCACTCCATATCGGTAGTGGTAAATGGGCACTTGTCGTAAACTTCCACAGCTTCCGGGACCGGATGACTAAAAAACCCTTGATAGAGGACGATGGAAGACTGGTTCTTCACTATTCGGGAGAAACAAAGGAGTCTCTCCGCCACCTATGCGTGGGGTTTACCATCTCCGAAGGCTCTGATCCCCCTGGGCCATATCACCCGATGCAGGAACCATTGTCCTGCCACCCCAACAATGCGGCGCGACCAACTCAGCAGGTTTCCTCGACCAAGTCTCCTCCCGCTGAGTCATGTATAAAGTGGACGGAAACAGCATCGGAACGGCGGAGACTTCAACAATGGCAAGCCCCTGATTGTCGGGATGCCAATATACGTTAGAAGGTCGAAAGGGATGGCGTGACTAAATTCGGTGACCCAGTCACTACTCTCGACCGCGATCACAGTGATGGCCCGCTGGTTCAAGCACCCAGCCTCATTGGCACACCTGAGGGCCTATAATTCCTCTTCTACTAGACACTGTTCTACATCCCCTGCTGTGATGTGCGGTATCCGACCTCGTCGTCAAGTAAGGGTCTGTATTTGAAGGCGGCGGCGGAGCCGCTGATTAAAACGATTGATTATGACGTCTCCTGGAGGAGCGAGTGTTGCGGGAAATGGGGAAAGGATTTTATTCCAGGCCAGTTGCCCTGCTGGAAGTAATATTAGGAGATCAAGGGGGTTGGCTGTGAAGATTTTATAGCGATTTGGCGGGGCTCTTGACAGTAATTATTTTTCACAGCTGTAGCTTTCTTAACTAGTTAACTTTGTTAACTAAATGCTTTTGCATTATTAAGATATTTCGCCCGTTTAACTATATGATCCATGACAATGAATCGTTATCCATGGATTTGCCTCGCCGCTGAATTTCGGGAACTGTGGCACAACTCGAATGACTAATTATGATGATTAACCATTCCCCACGTGACTCAGCCTCAACTCCAACCAACCTCCTCCGCCCATCGCCAACTCCACACCTCAAACGTTCGCCCTCAACATCCACTTTCATCACCTCGCAGCGCCAATTTAATCAGCCCTCCCTGAGATAGATTCTGTGTCTTGCTTGACACCTTGGGGATTGGTCTTATTCAGGCTTCTTGTAGGTTGCCTTGCCTCTTACCTCTTCTCCCTCCTGTCCTGCCCTTCATCATTCCCTCGCCTCATCATCCACTGTCATTTGCTTGTTAACCTTGGCCCGTTTATCTTCGTTTTACTCAATACACCCCTTCTTCCTTATCCTTTTTCCCCTTCTAGGACCCTGTCGCTCGTCTTACTCTGTTAATTTTCTTATTATCATCCGTATTTTCCTCTCCATTCTTGTCTCTTTTTTCCCCTCATCCTGCCATTTCTTTGCAGCCGGATCTTGCTCCTTGAGCTTGCCCCAGCGAGCTTCTCCTTCATATTAGTTATTTGATACTATTGTCTCTACAGGCTTCTTTTAGTCATCATTCAGCAATCGAGATTGCCTCTCGTCGCCTTTAGACTCGTCTCTTCTTCAGCCCCTTTTATTCTCTCTATTTAACTACGCTTCCTCACCTCGACCCCTTCGTTTCCTTTCAGCTCATTACTTTTTAAAACACCACTCTAACCCTCAAAATGTCAACTCATAGCTCCATCTTCCATTCCTTCAGTTGCCATATTCACAAGTTTTGTCCTGCGGTGACATAGCCTATCCAGGAGGATCGTTTCTCCCGCGCTTCCCTTGCGAGTAACAATACCCCCAACTTGTTAATCCCACCTTGGAGACAAGAAACGATTTACTCGTCATCTACTGCACAGCAAGGCTTAGTCGGAAGCGTTTTTGTTCGCAATGGAGTCCTATGATCCTTTTGCATCTCCCCCTCCCACCTCAGCCAAGGCTGATGCGAGATGGAGCCGCGAAGAGGATGCTTTTACCGGAAGGCCAAGTATAGATTCATATCGCCGAAGATCGCCAGGTACGTGCTACTATACACAATTTTGTCGGATGCATGTCTTCTTTGGTTTTCCCTCCTATCATTTCCCCGCCATTTACTAAACTATTTTCAGCCTCTCAAGACCGCCGGCGTACGTCCGCACGTGGTAGATCTCGATCTCCTGTCGTGATTGATCGGTACCAGCCAGGCGACCGAGAACGCGCACCTCGCGATGAATATTACACTGCTTCCCGAGATCATGCAGCGCGTGATCGAGAAGAGCGTCGTCGTATACCATCGCCTATCGCCGCAAATATTGACCGATATGTTCCCGGACAAGATTCTCCTAAACCGGTTTTACGAACCAATCCTCTACCAAATCCATTAACCCTTGACTTCCAAGTCGGATTCAATTGGTTTGCGGAATGGTGGAGAGCAGATCAGGCAATAAAAGAGGAAAAAGAACGGGCGAAGCATGGTGGGAGACGACCAAGTGATAGAGTTAAGGGTGAACGCGAGGCTAGAGAGGACCGCGAAAAGGAGCGCGCGCAGATCCAAACAGCCTATGACGCATATAAAGCCGAACTCCAGATCAAGATGGCTCGCGCTTTCGTCCAGCAACATAAAACGGAAGAGTGGTTTAAAGAGAGATATGTACCCGAAACTAGGGACCCTCTCCGTCGACGATTGATGGAGTTTAGAACTAGTGCATATCAGCAATGGGAACAAGATGTCGATTCTGGGGTATTTGATGAGTTTACCCTAGAAGGCATTTACAAAAGTGAGAGTGACGGAGCAGGTGGCATTATTGAAAAAGAGGAAGGGGAAGCAACAGCTGTCGGAGAAACTCTTAGTGTGCTCGATCTAGTTCCCGCTCGAGGCGGAGATTTACGGGATGATTCACTACTCCAACCTGCTCTTTTGATCAAAACCCTAGCCCCTAACGTAAGTCGCGACAAAATCGAAGAGTTTTGTAAGGAACATCTTGGTGAAGGGGATGGCGGGTTCAAATGGCTTAGTCTGAGCGATCCCAATCCGGCTAAAAAATGCCACCGGATGGGGTGGATTATGCTTCACCCTGCAACGGAAGGCCCATCAGTTATCGAAAGAGGCGACGGTAGAGATGAGGAGGGCGAAGAAGTAGATGGTGCAGCAAATGGAACTACCAACGTCTCTACTGCCGAAAAGGCTCTCGAGGCGGTCAATGAAAAGACTATTCATGATCCCATCCGCGGGGACTTTGTATGCCACGTTGGCGTCCATGTCCCGCCAACGAACCCTAGGAAGAAGGCCCTTTGGGATTTATTCTCAGCCCCCGAGCGCATCGAGAGGGACCTTGAGCTGGCGAAACGATTGGTGTCAAAACTCGACTCAGAACTTGGTTCCGCAGACGGTTTATCCAAAATCGAAAATCGAGTTGAAGAACTACGGAGGAAATGTTTACTGCAACCCCCCGTCACTGGTGCCGCAAACACAAAGAAATCCAAACCTTTTGAATCCGATGTGGACATGATCCTCTTGGAAGATGGAGAGGCTGAAGAAGGAGAAGAACAAGAAAACTCCTATGATGATGAAGTTGATAGTGAGGACCTACTCATTCAAAAGAAGCAACTAGATCTTCTGGTCGAATATTTACGTCGAGTCTATAACTTCTGCTTCTTCTGCGTCTTTGAGAGCGATTCGATCCACGAGCTTGTTCGAAAGTGCCCTGGTGGACATCTGCGTCGTCCTCGATCGGGCCTGAGCACTCAAGCAAAAGCTGCTGCAAAAGCTAGCGCCCTTGGCCAGCCATTCCCTACGAAAAAGAAAGAACCAGTGGAGGATGATGGAAATGCAGAATCCCCGTTGGATGAGAAAAAGCAGTCTCATTTTTCGTCCAAGACGGAGCAGCAAGCTCAACGCGCTTTCAACTGGGTGAAGACGTTTGAGGAAAAGCTGCTTCAAATATTGGAGCCTGAGAATGTTGACTTGAAGAAACTTGGCGGAAAGCCAGTGGACGAGGCCGTGGAGGAAGAGCTTTCCAAGTTTGTCAAGCAAGAGGACGAGGCTAAGTTCCGCTGCAAGGTACCTGAGTGTACGAAACTATTCAAGGCTTATCATTTCTGGAGGATGCATGTAGAAAAACGCCATCCGGAGCGGTACAGCGATATCCGGAAAGATGTAAGTTGACAGTACACCTCCACTTCACTGTCGTTATCATATTAATAACGTTTCAAGCTCCTCTTGGTCAATGCATACGTTCTCGATCCTGCACATATATCTCCGTCTAGAGCCGATGCTACTAGCAACGCACATTTCCCATACTCATCTGGCCATATGCCTACCGGAACCCCTCGCGGATTCAATCTCGCAAACATGCCCTTTGGCTTTGGAAATGGTCCAATGCCTGGCGGTTCTTCGTTCCACGGCTTACCCCCCTCTGCAACCGGGTTTCCCGGATTCATGAACGGTGCTGGCCACCCAGGTAGCTGGGCTGGTAATGGACTCCCAATGACAGGCTCTGCGTCCTCTGGCGATCCGTCAGCCTTGCATAGTTCTGGAGTTATTCGGCGTGGTAATCGCTATAGTGGGAACAGAATCGGCCCGTATGATCGCCGGGGAGGTCGTTTTGGTGCTGGAGGCTCAGGTGGTAGCATGAACGGTAATGAGCGACTGAGTCCTCTTCGAATCGGTGGTATGTTTACTGCAGGCGGACGCCTACCCAGTACTGGGGCAGCATACATCCCACCTGGTCATCCTGCTGCAGTTGCTGCCGGTGCTGGTGGAGGTGGATTTACCCCAGGAAGCGGACGATGGGGCGATGGTGCTGGTGGGAGCGCTCAGGCTATGGGCCCAAAAGAGGCAGTGCAAGGACGTAGCTTAAAAAGTTACGAAGATCTTGATGCAGTTGGGGGGGCTGGGAGCGGGGAGTTGAACTATTGATTTATCGCCTATTTTTATCTTGGTTCCTGTTTTTCCCTTCTCTACCACCAGCAATCTCCGTTTTCAAATTTGTCGAACGGCAAGCTTTCCCAAATTCCAGTGCTTTTCTTTCCTTTTCCGAATTTAAAACTGGGCGGAATATGTATTCGTATCTATGGCTCTTTTATCATATTATATATCGTCTCTTTGCTGTTACTCCTTTGTGAATTATCCAATTTGAACAATGGGGCGGTGGATGGATGGATGGATGCGTGAAACCTTAGTGTATGCTCGGCCGTTTTTTTTTTTTTTTTTTTTTTTTTTTTTTTTTTTTTTTTTTCATGATTTAACACTTTGTTCCTACACCATTGCTGTCTGGTATATCTGCCTTTAATCGAAAGGAGAACACGGAGTCTGTCTTTAGTGGCATAGTCTTGCTTTCACCAGTGAATTTCCACGGCTGACAATATCATCTTCTACTACCTGGTAGTTTTAGACAAGAGTTAGGCAGCCAAGTTTCCATTATCAAGCTCGCTGGCTACCTTCCCTTTTGAGACAGTTCCGATTCTGCTCTGTAAAAAGCCATTGTAAAATAATGAGATAATATCTCATTCCGTTAAGTTAGGATACATTCACATGTTTAAAGCACCAATGTGAAAAAGGGTTCGTGATCATCATTCACAGTAGTTGTTCAACCCATAAAAATAACCAACTTATCGGCCCCATCCCTCCACTGAACGCCGGGAACCTTTCTCACTTTTCTATCGCTAGCTAGATACATGAGCAAATATATATGCGGCGCAGTTTCGCCCCAAGTAAAGATTTTTACGGCGATGTGTTTTATGAGGTTGAAATTGTCATCTGGTTGCGGAGTCTTGTTTTCTGCTGGAATCTGAGCACTGTCCTGAGAGGTGAGGTCGATTATGGAATGTGAATCGGTGGGATCTATCGAAGAGGAGGTTGAGGATCTAGACTCGCAGATACACCATACACCCCAGCCTGCACGGCCATCGTGGGCAATGAATTTTGAAAGAAAATCCCAGAAGTCGAAGAAGCATTTTCTAGACCAGGGTGGACCGATTCTGGGCTTATTGCTCAGAGCGTCGTCCATACAAAACAGGTTTTGATAACTTTTGGTACTATTATTGTCGTTGGCGTTGTTACTGGAGTCTGAGATGGTGAGGTTTAGAAGCCAATAGCCACGCTCCAAGGTGCGTAATGACCGAGTTTGGAGCGACGGTTTGAAAACTTTGGATAACTTGAGCTTGTCGGCAAGCATTTGTAACGTCGGAGTTACGTGGGTTGTGAACTGAGCGGTTGAAGAAGGAACCGGCCGTGGCGGGTTTATCTCTAAGGGAAGCAAAACTCTCTCAAAAGTCTCTTGTCGGGGTAGTCCTGGTTTATCATATTGAGAATGGAATTGTGATGCGCGCAGAAGCTCAGATGTAGAAGACGTAGGTGTGGTTCCAAGATGGATTGAAGATGGTATACAAGCTGGGAGAACGGATACCCGACGTCTTTTTGATTGGGAATGCAAACCACCAGAAGGTGATCTTTCGATTTGTATAACTTGTTTTGGCCTTCCGGGAGGGGTATTGTCCTTTTCAACACTCCAGCTAGCCTGGAAGGAAGATTGGGATTCGGGGACTTCGCTGGGTGGTGTCTCCGTAGCCTGAGAGCTGGAGATAGCATTGCAGGGCGTTGCAGGACCAGTTTCAGAAACTCTGGAGCGATTCCTTGGACTCAGAAAGGAGTTGTCGGAAACAACGTTCGTATCATTCTGCGAAAAGGACCTTGGAGCTGAACTTTGGGAGAGGTCTAACAGGCCACATGTGGTTTCCCCGAAACTCGGGCCCCACGTCGATGAGAAAGATGCACATTTTCCTAGGGTGAAATTGGGTATATGATGTGATGATTCTTTCTGGCTTTTTCCGTCTAACTGATCAGGCTGCGGTTGTTTTTGACTTGCATCGCTTGGAGGATCCCCAATTTCCTCTGTGGAAATTTCGCTGCCCGGATCATCGGGGTATATTTTGACTCTAGTCAGAGGCTCAAATTCCAGGTATGCATCCGAGTGGGCCCTGTAGTTTGTATCCTCCTTCGTAGTACCAGGGGCGGAGATATGAACGAGTATTTCAACGCTGTCCGCCATCGAAAGTTTCATCGAAAAAGGGATCCAATACCCGCAAGCATCCTCATCGCAGTGAGATGAGATGGGCTCCACAATGCCTATGCATCGCGATTTCAACTCCGTTGTTATTCATATGTTCATGGGGAATGTTGTTCCTCTCCTGCACGCTCTTGATGAGCTTTCGAGGTTCAAATGTTTTTGGCTTGGGAAAGATGTCCGCATTACTAATTTACTTATTTAGTTACCGCCTTAAAGCGCCCCACGATGAACTTCCGAACTTGCCAGCTCGACATCAACTTTTCACGTTTTGCTTGCCTTTTTGTTTCTTCATTTAGAATTCTTTTGGACCAAATAACCACAATTATGGCCTATAACTAAATTCCCTACCAAAATTATCCGTTGCAAACTGAGTTGCGAAAATGCAAAGCACTTTAGTTATTATTTAAATCAAGTCCCTCCACTCCAAACCACACGTTTTCTGTGCCAAATTGCCGCCTATCCCGAAATGAACCGGTAGGACTAAGATCAATATATATTGATGATATCTCGTTGTGAAGGGAAGCATCTACAGCGCAATGGAGGGTATTTAGGGAGTATGTATGTACATATACTGTACATACAGATGCTAGGGAAGTTTTACAGAAACAAAAAAAAAAAAAAGAAAAGAAAAAAGTGAGAAGTGAAAAGTGTAAAAATGAAAATTTAAAAATTGAAAAAAAAAGAGGAAGAAATTCCCAACGCCCAAAGCAACAAGAATGCTCAATTTTAATTACCGAAACGGTGTCTCCTTTGCGTCCCCTCCAGTCAATGTTCTTCTTCCTCTCTTCCCATGACCTTCTCGATTGCCTCAAGTCCCGCTATAACCTTCTCATCGCAGAATCTTCTTCCTACAAGTTGCAAGCTAACCGGTGCACGTTCATATCTCTCTGGACCCGTGTAAAGGTCATGATTATATAGATCTTTCTCGTTACGGGGCTGGTAGTTCTCGTCGCGCAGGTCTGCCGCTGGATCGACGGTGGTGACAGGGAAGACCACACCGGGGTAGTCGAGCAAATTCCATTGTGCAGTGTAGCCCCAATAGCGGGAAGTCTCGTGCGGTGGTGCACATCCCGGGGTGGCTGGGCACAGAATTAAATCGACCTCTCCTGTGGGAGAAGTGGCCGTTGCTGACCAGTGCTTAGCATATGTTGCGCGGTAATCGTCGCGCCTAATGCATAGCTGAAATGGTTTTGTGAGACGAACCCTCCTCATTTATCAGCAGCATGAAGAATGTATCACAGACCTTCCAAAGTTCTGCCAGTGTATGCGGTTTGACCGTGGGTTGTTCATGAATAATGAATTTGGACAAAGGCAGGATTGGTTCTCCAGATGCTTTCAGGGACTCAAGAGCATCTTCCCCTCCGTCTGTGAAATACAGAGCGGAAATAATATCCCATGCCCTGGAGTGATCAAGCGGCACCCAATCGACAACTTCCATGCCAGCCTTCCGACACGCATCCGCCACCTCTCTGAGCGCACGGAGAACTGGCGGATGTGGTTTAACGACACCGTCATCCCATTCAACAGCGATCTTCAGCTGCTTCGTTAACGTGACAGGGGACCATGGGATAGGAGTCACCGATGGGTCAAGGCGCCAGGGCTCGCCAGCCAATGCAACTTCCATGAAGAGATTTATCGCTGCCCTGCTGGTGCAAAGTGGTCCGTAAGTCCCTAAGATGGCCTCGCAGCCGTCCATTACAATCTTCTTGCCTGTTCCCGAGATTCGTGTGCAGGTCGGCTTAAATCCATATACGCCGTTGTTGCTCGCCGGACATCGGATGCTGCCACCAATATCCCCACCCACACCCTTCGGATGGTTAGATTTGGTGCTCATGAGTACTTGAAACGGCAAAGACAGATGATTAATTCATAAGCCTCAGGTGCGTATATTAACTCACCAAAACACTTCCCCGCATTCCAACCAGGGCCCCTTCGCCACCGCTGCTACCACCGGAAGTGAGATTACGGTTGTGTGCATTGACAGTCCGGCCATATATATTGCTAGTGCATTCCAAATGCATCAGGAGTTGAGGACCGGTAGTACGAACATAGAAAACACAGCCAGCGTTATAAAACGCATCATTCAGAAGCCCGTCTGTTGAAGGATAATCAATCCAGCTAACTATGGAGGCGTTACATTTTTTACCCTTCATCCCATGGTGCTCCTTGACGGAAATAGGCAGTCCATGTAAAGGCCCAATGGGTTGTGGGAGGGAATCGAGATATTTGGCTCGTTCAATGGCCTCATCCCACATGAGCTCCGTAACGCAGTTGACCTGTTCAGCCAAATATTCGATCAGCAGATCGACAATTACTTGCAAACCAAACTTGCTCATGTTAAAGGATGGAGCACAAACCGCGTGCTGAGCAATTGCAGCTCTCCGGAGGAACGCTCTCGTCAATTCTTCTGAGGTGGCCTCCTTGGTACGCAGCATGCGCAGAAGAGCAATGGCATCATAGTTCTGAGTAAGTTCATATTCGCGGGCCGTGAGCAGTTGCTTGGGTAGATCCAGTGAGCTCATTGGCAGGGGGTTAGGCAATGGGCCCAGCGGAGGATCGACTTTGGCAAGGGTTGCATCACGGTAATCGCGGACAGTTTGAGCCTTTACCTCCCAGGGTTCAATCGGCATCATAACGGACACGTCCTCAGGGTGGGGTTTTGGAATTAAACATATAAACTACGCACCGTCAATAAATTGTGTTGAACATGCCTAGATATATGGTTATGAACAACCTCTCTGGGGATATGGGAGAGAACAGGCAGTTCAATCATTTAAGTCTGCAGACACCTCGTGAGCAAACATGGGTTCCACGACATCGGTTTGTCTTTCGGCATCATCTCCCGCATTTGCTCCCGATTACTACCTGATTGTGGAGGTTGGTCGTTTGTAAACCTCGAACCCCGCATTTTAAGGCAGCGCCTGGTCGTAAATGATATATGTCTGCTGTATCTTATCTATTATTGCTTCTATCCACTGATTCACACGTACACGAACTACGAGATCTCGCCAACGGCAATCATACCTGACTCGGCACAAGGACCGAAATGGTGGTTTACAAATTTATTTGACGATCTGACAATCTCTAGCATTCTCATTACTCGTACTCCTGCATTGAAGAACGCGTTTCTCATTGGCTGAGTAACTGCTCTTTTGACCTCGTATCTCACCGTAGGCTGTGGGAAACAGAAAATAAAGATATGGAATAAGGGGAATAGTTCCCCGCCTTTAAAAGCCTAACTGCCGAGAGTAAATGACGATGAAAGAAACCTACGGTTCAAGTGTTCCCCAACGGGTTTTATTAGAAAGCCAAGTTTCCGGAATTTTCCCATAGAAATACTATTTTGACAACCGTAATTCCATGACTGCCATAATAACCATGGGACTTTATTGACAAGAATCCACGGTCATCAAAGTCGAGATCACCTCATTTATTGTTCTCATAATATTCCACGGGGAAAACCTTACTGAGCAAAAGGAGGGCTGTAAATGGTCAGAAGAGCTAATTCCGTTCATCCACATGCATGCAGAACTTTCATCCGTAAGTTCTGCAATTTGAGTCGATCTTGGAAAAGTCTTCTCAGTCATTGGAATTTCTGCATATCCGAGAATCAGCGAATACCGCGGGAAAGACTCCATTCCAACTCCGTAACTGATCAGCTTCTAGCACGATTTTATTGCTCATTAGCAACGCCACCGGTGTGGCTTGCCCGGAATAGGGGCGGATCAAACATGTGTCTCAAGGTTTGATCTGCTAGCATGATGTGACAAGTCTCGTTACAATCTGCCCCTTTTCAACTTTTTCCGCAGGCCCAAGTTGGGTAGTTGCTCCGTAGTCGAGATGGAGAGCATTCCAACGCAGAGAACAAACCAATAATGGCAACGTTTGTTGGATCTCTATTTGTTCATGGATACTGCAGATTAGATCTTAGTTAGCTGGTTTAATAGCACAACAACGTTAACTATCCTCCATGACTATTGATCAGCAGGAGTGTGTCCACTCTCGCCATCAGCCCATTGGCATTAAAGTATTTTAGTCATCCTTGGGGTAGCACCCATGTCTGGAATCTCCCTTTGGAGGCGTCATCGTTCCTGAACTCATTTTCAGGCTTGGAAACGCGAGGGGCCACTGGAATTTGCCACCTATGGAGAATACTTTTTGAAAAGTAGTGCTCTCAAAAGTCTCAAAGAATGCGTTCCAATATCCATTATTGCCCCAGATGAGATCATCCACGCAGTCACAGCCTGTAGTTACTGTACAATCAGCACCCGCAAGGCGCCCCCCCCCCCCCCCCCACACACACACACATTGGACCAGCTTCGCTGAAACTCCAACTAAGCATCATAAATATCCAACACCGCACTGCCCACTTTCTTTTTTATTCCGGAATCTTGGATGAAAGGATCAGCGCTATGCAACACCAGTTCGCCACATCACAATTATTCCATGGATAATTCCCTGGTCGCCAGCCGGCGTGTCGAAAGGCGTTCAGCGAGGTCTCATTTCCGTTGCTTCGTATTCATTGTCATATTCATCCCCATGATATTGTTCAAACGCCAGATTTCCACCGCAAAAGCGTGAATCGGGGTTTCATCCAAAGCCCGCGCAAATCAATCAGCCTGGGCCATCACCTAGACCCGTAATGTATTTCTTCTCGATTCCGATTCCAAGCTTGACTAGCCAGAGTTCTCTTAGAGGTTCCGTAAAGGCTCAAAGACCAGGTGCTTATTACTCATCATCCAACAGGGTCCCTAAAACTAGCTAAACTATACCACCGGGGCAACGGTTAACCCGTGCCCGGGAATTGCAAGTTCTCCGATAACAAAACAGCTTCGATATTTCATCCTTTTCCATCTTTCGTCTTGCGCGCTGGGGCTGAACCTGGGCCGGCATCCTCTTCCTTTGCATCCATCCTGTTCACTCGATTCGTGCCATGACAAACGGGCTTCACTCTCCAATTGTCATCAATCCTTCGCTCAGGGCGGGGATACTGCTATCCGTGCGATATCCACAGCCACATTGCCCCACCTCCAGCAAAGACCTCAGCTCACCCGCTAGTTCTTAACAACCGCGAGTTTTGCTGTCTGGCCTCCATTGCCAATCTGTCTTTGATCACATGAAAAGTATTTGGTAGTCTTTAAAAGGATGGCATCCTTTGGACAGTATGGTGGTCTGGCTTCGGACAAAAACAAAAAAATTGAGAATGTGGATGTGGATGTAGATGTGGATGACTTCGGTATGTATTCAAAAGAATACTCTCTTGCTGAGTCGCATATTGAGATTGTTTTTTTTTTTTTTTACTCTTGATCCATTTCTTCAATTGCTCGATTCCATTCAATTAGACGTATTTCTCTAATGATATCAGTGAGGTGAAGTGGGGATGTGCCCCTTAGCAACTTGTTCTTTAAGTTGTCTATCTTTTCTTATTTCCCAAGAGACTTACCTCGGTCAATTCTATTTCTTTATGGTTTATTATTTCCTTTCAACTACTCCGCAGTACGTATAGATTCACCAGCTTTTATATCAGGTGATTTCACATGCCCGGGAGCACACTTTTATTATGGCTCATTTCATTAATACCTATATTTTTTTTTTTTACCAGCACCGGCTTACTTATTTCTGCTTTCGTCCCTTCAATGGAGGGCCATGGGGAAAGCCAGAAGTTGTATTCATCCCATGGCCCTCCATCGAAGGCAAAACGATAGCGAGGAGTTGTAATAGGCGGTCATTCCAGCAGCTCAATGAGCGCACCTATGATTGACATACCCCTCATGAAAGGTTTGGGTGCAGAAAAGACAACTACTCGAGGTATATATGCCAATTTCATATACGATGCCCACAGGCACCATTTCTCAAAATCCTAACTGGAGGAATTAAAGGACAACCACAAAAGCGGAGAGGCCCAAAGCCAGATAGCAAACCTGCCCAGACCCGACGTCAGGAGCTAAATAGACAAGCACAGAGGTACGTGCCGTGCTCTATACATGCGAGTATTTCTTGATGTGGCTCACTGGACATCAGAACACATCGAGAGCGAAAAGAACAGTATATCAGGGCACTGGAGACAGAAGTGTCTCGACTTAGAGAATGCTACAGCAATGATATGTCAACAACAAATCTGTCAATGCAACAACAGAAAAAGATATTACAGGAGCAGAAAGACGAGAACGCTATGCTGAGACAACTTCTCACCGCTCATGGCGTTCCCTTCGAGGCCGAACTTGAACGACGAAAAGCTTCCCTTCGTTCTGGAAACAACCGTGCTTACACAAGCGCCTTAGTTGGCAGAACTTCCCAAGCTCACTCCCAGTCCCACTCGCAAGGATTCACAAGGGGCGGTGACCCCCCCTCAGCCACACCTTCGAGCATCATGTCAGCCATTAGCCCTGGGACAGGTTCCGATTCCACAGAAACCCAACCCGGTGGGAATATGTTCCCTTTATATTCCGAGTCTCAGGGACATCAGAAAGAGCAATCAGGAGTTTTAGCAGAATCGAGTTCTTGGGGAGGTGATGGTACGGCAGTCGATGATGTGCCTGGCATTTTCGAAAAGGATCCGCAGTTGGGAGTTGACTTTATCCTCTCGTAAGACAAAGCAGGACACTATCCTCAATTCCACCACATAACGCTACATCATGTTTCTTGGAGGTTCATTATCAACTAACAATGAAGCACAGCCTCGAACAATCCTGCCGTACCCACATGGAACTCCTTTGCAGGCGAGCTGAGGACGACGAAGAGCATGAAACAATCTCCGGACATGTACTAATGGCATCATGCCCACCACCTACACAAATCGTCTCTGCTGAACCCGGTCAAATGTATTCCACCCGAACCTACGACCTTCCACATGCCAACCTAACAGCCCTCCTCAATCTAAGTCGTCAGCTAGTCACAGGAGGCCAAATCACACCAATCATGGCACTGCAGTATTTAAAGAGCCATGATACTTACCCTTCGCTAACGAGAGAAGACGTGCGACATATGATGGACGATTTGAATGGTAAAATCCGATGCTACGGGTTTGGTGCGGTAATGGAAGATTTTGAGTTTATGGACTCATTCAGCAGCGTGCTAGCAAGGAAAATGGAGCCTCCGATGGATACAGGTCCCGATGATCTCAAGCCCCTTCCCCCGATTCTCTGACTGAAAAGGTGGATGATGTGATGTTTTCATGGAAGCAGCAACGTCTCTTTTAACTTTCACTCCTATTTTCCTTTGCACTTCCTTTTCTATTCCCTACTAAAACTTATACTATGCTTATTTTGATTCTATGTCTGTTTTGTCAGTTTGTCTTCATAGCAAGTATCTCCTTGATTCTTGCTCACTAACTTTTAAAAAGAATGCAGGCTGCGACAGATCCATCATTTCCTTATCAGTTCACATTTGTTCATCTCAGCTTATTTATATCTCAGCTTATTTCTTCCTTTCTGAATTTCTTCACTTCCTATCTGAAGACAAACACATTCTCTGCTATTCTTTCCACCCCGTCTTGCGGTTTTACAGATTCATTTATTGGTAAAATAATCCATACTCCATCCACGTAAATCAACTCCTCAGAATATAGTGAAATCATAGCGCATAATGATATAACAGCGCAACTCTGATTCTTAATCGTTGGAATAAATACGCATACAATTATAGAATTATTTTTATTCTTCCTCAGAGAGATCCATCCCCCTTGGGCAATGGTTATATGGGGATCCCATGCAATCAAGCGTAATGTTACGTCCTGTTTACAATACACAGCCTTACCTAATCATGCCAAGACTTTCCCACATCTCAAAAATTCAAGAAAAAAAAATCCTAAACTCGACCATGTCAACGAACGACGCCAACAATCACAGCAACAAGTGCTTCGTCCTCTCACAACGACGACGCATCCGAAAAGGGTCAAGAACTAGCCACCATGGCCCTTACCTCCATCACAGATATCGTTGCCTCCCTCCCATCAGAGGACTCATGGGGTCCTCCCGTTACCAGCGAAAGCACTCTTGATGGCGTTCCATATGCTCCATTCTCTAAAGGTGATAAGCTAGGCCGGATGGCAGATTGGGCGACTGAAGGAAAAGATGGGCGAGATGGACGTGGTGGTAGACAAGCTTATAATCGTGTCTACAGAGGTTTGTATATCTATTTTACCGCAAGTCCCAATATCCCGGATTCTCACTCACCGTGAACTTCAATAGATCAACAAGTATATGGTGCAGGGACATCAAGTCTTTTCTCTGTGCAGGTGGCTGAGGACGAATCCTCCTTCTCCGTCGTCGACAACACCAGATCGTCTACAAAGACTCGCGGGTTTGGTCGTGGTGGCGGCACCATATTCCGTGGCCGCGGCCAACGAGGTGGTTCAGGACAACGTGGTCGAAGTGGCTTCCAAAGAGTGGGTGCAGGGCGGGGTGGCCAGCCCGGTGGAGATCGGTACTACGATAACCGTGGTGGTCGAGGTGGACGGGGCCGTCGTTTTGGGTGGAGAGATTATGATAAGCCCCAGCGCAACCGCGACAGCTCTGTCCACATCCGCACCGAGTGGACAATGCGGGAGGAAATCGATTTCACAAGGCTCTCGAAGCTCAACCTGGAGACCCCCGATGGTGAAGATATTGACAATTATGGATTCCTCTACTATTATGATCGCGCGTACGATAAACCTCCCGTGCGGAACACTGAGCGGAAACTAATCTCTCTCGACCGTGCGGCGTACAACGTTACCACCACTGCCGATCCAGTTATCCAAGAACTGGCCGAAAAGGATGAGGCCACCGTGTTCGCAACGGCTGATATTCTTTCCATGTTGATGTGTGCCCCTCGCAGCGTATACTCATGGGATATCGTCATCATTCAACAAGGCAACAAGATCTACCTGGACAAACGTGACAACGCCTCTATTGACTTGGTGACAGTCAATGAGAACGCCGCAGATGCTCCCCTTGAAGCGTCAGAAGCAGGTGGCAACAAACAAGATTCCATCAATACCCCCAGTGCTCTCGCCATCGAGGCCACTGTCATCAACCATAACTTTGCTCTCCAGACGGTGATTGAATCCGAAACATCTAAGGTCGAATTTAACCACCCCAATCCCTTCTACAACCCGTCCGAAGAGACTGAACCCCTTGCCTCCAAGGGTTACAAATATCGTCGCTTTGATCTCTCTCTTGAGAAAGATGAGGAACCTCTCAACCTGATCGTGCGCACTGAAGTCGATGCTGTCGTCAAGAACAACATCAGCGGTGACGACCAACAGCTTACCCTCAAGGCCCTCAACGAATTCGACCACAAATCTCAGGGTGCCGGTGGTGCACTTGACTGGCGCACCAAACTCGTCTCTCAGCGCGGAGCCGTCGTCGCCACTGAGATGAAGAACAACAGCTGCAAGCTTGCTCGATGGGCAACGCAGGCGATCCTGGCGAAAGCCGATATGATGAAACTCGGCTTCGTGTCCCGCGCCAATCCAAAATCAGCATCTGCTCACATCATCCTAGGCGTAGTTGGTTACAAGCCACGTGAGTTTGCGGCACAAATGAACTTGAATCTGTCGAATGGATGGGGTATTGTTCGGACGATTGTGGACTTGGTTCGGGGTCTGGAGCATGATGACGAAGAAGAAAGTGATATGCACAAGTTTGTGCTTGTGAAGGATCCGAATAAGCCCGTTATTCGACTCTATCAGGTCCCAGTGAATACATTCGAAGAGGACGAGGATGTGGTGGAGACGGTGAAGGAGGATAAGGAGGACGAGAATGAGGATGAGGCGTAAAAAAGCTGGACTTCTTTTTCATTGATTGGGTTGCTTCATCCATGAAGGAGGTATCTGTATGCGCTTGGTCTATTTCTCTTGTCGATTTTACTTTCTTTTGATGATGTAGTAGATGATAATAGCCAATTTTCTTTGACGGAATTAAAAAAAGAAAAAGTACAGTACAAATCAGAACTTTTTCTCCCTGGGTATTTTTGCTCCTTACGTACGGAGAGTACGTCAACAAAAGTTGATTTATGACCTCATTCACCTTTATTTCACCTTTATCTGGTTTTCAATATATATATATATATATATAAAGAATTATAAATCATTAAGAGAGTATGATAGAACAAGGACAAGGAACAAAATAAAGCTGTACATTAAATGGTTGCACCAACGCACTTCTCAGTATGGCTTCATGTCAGTCGCTGGCCCCCAAATGATCATAAGGAAAGAAAACACCAATAAATAGGATTTGACTCGCAAAGAGTAGAAACGAGAAAATCTAATGAGAAGGAAACACACTCACGAAAACAGAAAGGGATAACAATTTAACATAATCGCTGGAAAAAACGTATTGACAGGCATGTTAAGTGAATAGGTAAGAAGAAAACCAAGCTGTGCAAAAGCCACGTTTCTCTCATCCTTATGTTAAACACCTCTCCTTTTCTTGTAACTGTGAAATCTCTGTACATACACGAATTCGACTCCAGAGGAATTAATAGCAGCTGGATATGACATGCAAGAGACAAGAAATAAGAGAAAAAGAAGGGAATATCTCAGATAAATTCATCACATTACACTAATCACCACCAATAAAAATTTAAAAAAGAAAAGAAAAGAAAAGAAAGAGAAAAAATCTCCCATCTCAACTAAATTTAGTTAAGCGAAACAGCTACAGTTAAAATGAGAAAAGACACCCAAAGCCATGCGTCCCAGTTCATTCGCAACCCCAATACACGCATGCAATCAAATCAAATCAAATCCAGGCTGAATGAAAAGGAAAAGGAGAAAGGAGAAAGGAGCATGGAGCATGGAAAATCATATCATAATATATCATCACAAATCATATCATAAGAAGAGAGGAGATAAAATAGGAGAAAAAACGCTAGAAAAAACAGATCAGATCATTACCAAATCATGTCCCACTACCTCCAACCTCATCAAGCCCCATTTAAGTTCCCGCCATCAGGTCCGCCGTATCCAATCCAAACCCAACAGCCTCCTCTCCCTACTCTTCTCGCGGCTCCTATCCCGCTCAGATGCACGTGGCGTAACCTCTGATTCGCCCTCGGCTTCATGGTGATCGCTCGTGCCGCTCACTGCACCAGATCCAGCTCCATATGTGTCTGGCGACGGTGTGCTACGAACCTTACTGGGGTTAAATCCACTAGCCGCTACGGCAGTCTGGGGACGGGGTGTAGTGTCTTTGTCGTGGGGATGAGTGGTAAGATTAGCATCAGGATGTTGTTGCTGTTTGATGGTGGTGTTGGGTGGTGTGGTGGCCATGGTTGTCGAAGAAGAAATAGTGTGAGGGAACATGGAGGCCAGGGGAGGTGTGGTATCCGTAACTGCGAAACCATGTGCTGTAGTTCCAGGGTCTGATTGTTGGGGTTGAGAATTGGGTTCCGCTGCCTGGTATCTCTGAACAGAAGATGATTTCTCTGCTTTAATATATGCCCTCCCAGCTTCCACGTCGGACGATCGTATTGGTTCAGGTGACTGAAAAATAGCGCGGGCTGGGCTCGTGGTTACGAAAGGATCAGCTGAAACACATGACACCTCCTGATCCCTATCTTCGGGCAACGTTTCCAACCTCTCTTCCGCAATTCGTAGACTTCCCAGACCTTCTTCCATAATGTCAATACTTGACCCAAGAACTCCAACCAACGACGACGGTGTTCGTATCGTGGTGGGTAGCTTCCCAGTACCGCCCTCAGAGGAATTAATCGTAATTACATCGGCATCCTCACCAACACGGTCAGCACCCAAAGCCTCTCCAGCATCGCTAACAACGCTTCCGCGACTGTTTGTCCGCATCATTTCCGTCCCCAATTTAGATCCAGATCGCTTGCTCTTCCCGCGAGCACACTGCGGACTCCTCATTCGATTCTGAGAATTAAAACCAAGCTCCTCATCTTCATCATCCCCAGACTCATCGCCCTCATACCTCCTCCTTCGCTCTTGCGAATCCCGCTTTGCGTGAACTTCCTCGACAAAAGGGTAGTTACGCGGGGTGCGCACGCTCATGCCTGCAGCCCCCGTCATGGTCGTCGACGGTGCGGATGTGGCATAGAGGGTAGTAGGGATGGGGGGTGGGGAGGACATAATGATGGGTTCTGTCCTTGGAATTACCGGTTCGTCGGAGATACCCAGGCCGCCGGCACTCCCTTGGGAATTGCCCCAGCCATCCGCAGCCTGACGACTGATGCCGACCGGTAATTCGTCAGGCCTGACGAACTCAGCGTCGCCAAAGTAGCTGCTGCTAATAGAATCTTCGCGGCTAGAGCCGCGGTAGGAGCCTGTGGGCATGGCGAGAAAACCAGAGGATGTGGAGCTGGGACTGTCTTCTGTCTGCATCGATGACGACGGCTGACGAGTGACTCCGGTTGACAGGATTGGATTATGAGAGCTGAGCGGATGATCCTTCGGAGGGGGCTTCCACTGGCAGAATTTGCATAAGGCTTCCGTGAGTTTAGAGAGGGTCGGGGGCTTTTCGATGAGTGCATCGAAATGGTGGGTTTCTGGGAGGTCTTTAAGGTAGCCTGTACAGCAGATGATGGGGGTATGTGTATTGACGCTTTTGGTATCACGGATCATACGCGCCACGTCCGCGCCGTTAAGTTGTGGAAGCCTGAATTCCATCATAATGATATCGAATTGGACTTCGCTTAGTGCGTAGCGCATGGCTTCCGATCCATTGACGGCGGTAATTGTCCGGCAGCGGAGCTTTTCAAACAGCCTTTCCATAACAAGTTTCGAAACGGGATGATCTTCGCAAATCAGGACATCCAGAGGACGGAAATAGGGGCCTTCAACAAGGTTGATTTGCGACAAACGTCGAGAGCTTTGTCGTCTTCTTTGCACTTTGAGCAGTGCCTTCGCCTTTGTCCGTGGATCCTCATTATCAGACGATGAGGGCGATATATCAAATAGCTGGCTCCGCCGCTTATGATGCCCGGGAACAAAGGGCTCCTTTGGCAGCGGCGCCTCGCTATCCTGGGAACCAACAGTTTGCGATCTCGATCGAGAAGTCGATGCGCTGCTCTGGCGCGGTTGATTCGACTTTTCAGGGGAAGGCGTTGGTGGCTTGACATATTTCACAGGCGAAGACGCTGCGGACATCGACATCTTGAAATTCGTTACTAATCTCGGAGGCTCAGGGAAGCTTCCAGGTTGCAGGGACCCGCTGGACTGATGGGAGTATGTCGAGGAGGAACCAGACGTTTTCCTCCTCTCGTGGTTTTGGCCTGTACTAAACTGTACCATGAGAGGCGAAGAAGGTTGAGAAGGTCGACTAGGAGAAGAGGAATTCGCTTGACTAAGACTAGACGGCGAGGCAGGGCGATTCGCAACCTTGTTCTGCGATAATGTCCGCTGAAGCGGCATTGGTAGCAGCGGGCTACCTTCCAATGATGGACCAGAGCTAGATGCGGGTGTATTGTTGGGTACTTGTCTCTGTTGAGCCTGCATGGCCTCCATGCGCAACTTCTGAATAACATCTTTGTTTGCGCGTTCTAGTATGGGGAGGTTCTTGAAATTGAAGTTCCCAAAATCATCTGCAGGCACAGGCTCACTCAAACGTCTGCTCCGAGGATCACGCACATGCGGCGGGATATGTAACGGCACTAACCCACGCTTTAAAGAATTAACTTGCGTACGAACTTTGTATAGGGCATCATGCGGTCGATCAGGGTAGTCTGCCCCCGTGGCTGGGGGAGGGGACAACTGGTCCTCCAATTCCTCTGTAAAGGATTGCAGCGTGGCACCCCGAGCATCGAAATACTCTGTATCCTCGGGATTCTCCACGGCAGGAACAAATTGCGCCTCATCCTCCAACAGCGTGTCCCAGTTAATATCTGCGAACCATGGATGAGCACGAACTTCAGCACCACCGTTCGGATATTTCTCAGAGGCGTTTGAACCCAGACGCTGCGCAGGGTTGATCGTCATCAATCCATTCATCAAATCCTTTGCTTCCGGCGTGACTAGCTCATCTGCCTCATCAGGCCAATTAATTCTGCGATTGAGGATATTCTCGAAGACCTCGTCAGGAGTGGAGGCGTTAAAGGGCGGGTATCCGTAGAGAAATTCAAACAGTATACAGCCAAGAGACCACCAATCGCTCATCTCATCCTGTCCAACACCGTTAATAGTCTCCGGAGCGAGATAATCCGGTGTCCCCACGAAACGTCGATTGTGATCCTCTGGATCAAAGAGGGCCATGGGAGGGGGTATTATGGATTGCTGGGGTGGAGTACCATGTTGACCGGTCACTGAAGACGTTGGACAGCTTGTACTCGTCTGTAGAGGATATAGATACGGAGAATCGCTTCCTTCACTCTGCGTTTCCTCTTCGATAGAACGACCCGGCTGCGGCACGAGGAATTGCGGTTGTTGTTGTTGTAACGACATCGGATATGACGTCTCACCACTTTCGTATAGCGAAAAGCCCCTAAACATCCCCGCCAAAGTGTCACTGCCACCGCTATCACTTCGATATCCCGATGTTCGTCTTGAGGTCTCCCGATTGAACGAGGGCTCTTTATTGAGGCTAAAATAGGATGGCTGATTAACAAACATAGGAACCTCAGGAGTCATTGAGGGTGTGGAATTTGGCGACGCAGTTGCAGGGAAATCAAACGACGCCGACCGCGAAGACGCCAAAGATGTGGCACGTGTAAACGGGCCCGTCTTCAGCAAATCAGGAGCAGACTCATTCGGGTTCTTGAGAATGCGTTTCTGACGGCCCACAAGCCCCATTCGTGAGAGGCCAAAATCTGTCAACTTCAAGTGGCCCTTTTGATCGATGAGGAGATTATCCGGTTTGAGGTCACGGTGGACAATGCCTCTTTCATGGAGATGCTCGATGCCGAGAACCACTTCTGCAATATACTTCTTCGCCCAGTCCTCCGAGAGGCCGCCTAGGACTTTGACCAGCGAAGCACAATCACCGCCATTAAGGTATTCCATGACTAGATACAAGTAATCTTTGCTCGAGAAGGTCCAGTAAAGCTTCGCGACGAAATCGCTCTCTCCCTGCCACATCATGATGGCCCTCTCAGCTTTGACGTTTGTAACTTGATTCTTGACAACCATGTCGGCCTTCTTCAGGACTTTGATTGCAAAATACTCACCCGTCGATTTCTTCTTCGACAGGTAAACGCTGCCAAAGGCACCTTTGCTAATTGGCTTGATGATCTCAAAATCTTTGATTGAAGGTGCAACAGCCCGCGGTGGTGGCGGATGACTAACGGAGCTAAGATGAGGTGAGACGGGAGTTTTGTTTAGATCCGGGGAAGTGGCAGACGATAGTCTGCGATGGTGATGGTGATGAGAAGATGGTGGTGGATAGTACTGATGCGAACCAAGGTCAGAGTTACTGAGCAGCGGAGATGTCATGGGAGACGGGAAGCTTTCGCCCATGGATAATCGCGGTTTAGATAATCGAAGAGGAGAATGTGGTTGGTTTCGCGCTGGCGATTCTCTGCGTGGAGACACCGACATGCCAGGTAATATGAGACTCTGACGTTTGCGATCCTTTGAGCTTGCGGCACGACTAACCCCTCGTTCAGAAGACGGGGACTCGGTACGTCGTGTTCCAGCAACGACAGAAGAAAGAACACTACAATCGCTATCACCAGCATCACTCTCAGCGAGCAACGAGCCCCTCTTCGAAGTTTGCGGATGGTTTAGCAAACCGCCAACACTCTTGTGGGACCGGGGTGTGGGACATTCCACTGGGCTGCTAGAGCGAGTCGAGACAGCGACGGATGAAGGCTGAGGCCTGTCCGGAGAGGCAGAGACTAGTGACGGTTCCGAACTCACCCGTAACGCAGCAGTGATTCCAGAACTGGAAGGTAATAGCAATGGCTGACTAGATGTAATAGAAAGTGGATCTGGTGTGTGAGACACGGATAGATCTCTCAATTCCTCCTGCGAATCTCCATTGATACTCGAGCTTGATCCGGACGAGTCGCTCAATTCCCCAGCGGCAATGCGTTCTGCTTTACTCATAGCAGCGGAAATGCATTCTTGGACGAGCACAGTAAACTCAACTCGAATACGCTCACTATACTCCACAATCTGGCGGTGACGGAACACAGCATCCACCTTAGCGCGGGCAAAACGCTCAGTATCGGCGGACAGTGCTGCCAGACCTTGCTCTTGCTCGAGAGTATTGCTGCTGGGAGACTGCCACTGCAGGACCTGCGAGATTCTGGATTCCGATTGAGGAGATTGTGTTCGAATTTCTTCACCAACTTCAGTTCGTGCCTCTTTCAGGGCCGGCGTGTTGATCTCCAGAGCAGTGTCACAGAGATCTAAAATTAATTCCACAATACGCGCAAGGGGTCGTCGAACAGCAAAAGAGGAGCGGGTACGGGTATGTCCCAATCCCGATGTCGACGGATCACGGGATCGTGGTGGAGTTCCAGAGGAAGAAGAAGTACCTGAAGTTAAGCCAGAGGATAACTGAGAAGGGCCAATGGGCAAATTCTTATACTCTGCTTGAGGGCCAGCAAAGAGGTTCGAGTCGCCAGAGGATGATCTGGTTTTCCTAGCCTCTAATGCATCCAGAATCTTGACGATGGCGTGACGATGTTCATTTAAATTGTCCTGGGCCATTTGGACATCCATCTCAGCCCCGTGTTCTTGCAGACATAGCTCAGAGTGTTTCTCAAACCACCATGGGGGAATTTGGCGCTCGCATATTCGACATAGCACTGGCGGCGGAAGAGGGACGTGGTTGGGATCTCGCGATCCGGATTCCGCTAGAGCCGTCAGGTAATTTGCAAGCACCTCTGCGCCAACACCTAGAGACTCGACAAGTACTGGGGGAAGGTCGATTGTAATTTCCCGTGGCTGGGTAGATGGACGTAACATCCACATAGTCTAGCAAGTGTTAGATATTTTGTTACAACCGTTACCATTATCAACAAGGAAACTTACATGGCTTTCCGTGCTCGGAGACCGACCAAAAACCATAATCCCCTGCCCCTCCAAATTCAAAATATGGTCCTTATCTTCCCTGGTCTGTCCGGCGGCACGCTCATCCTTCTCATGCTGGACTAATCTGTCCTGAACCTGAATGGTATCAACACGTTCAACATCCGCCTTCACTTCTGCTTCTAGTGCCACTTCCTCCTGTTCTTCCCGTTCGAACCCCTCACCCACTTTGCCCTCCTCCAACTTCTCCTTCACCGCCACCTGCTTCACCTCCACTGGCTCCTCCTCTCCCACCTCCCTCCTTAGAAACGACGCAGGCCCCGTCTTCACCGCAAACCTCACAATATGGCTCTTCGAATCATCAATCTTCATAGACTCAATCGCCCTATCAAACGCCGTCTTATTATCCAGCACCAGCTCAGAAATCAATCGGCCTTCAACATCCTCTACATTCGTCCCAACCACTTCCTTCCACGACGGACTAACCCACTTAATGCGTCCATCCAAATTGAGGTCGATAATGACATTCAGCGTCTGCTCAGCGGCTTCTTTAAGGTCCTGGCGTTCTTCACGGATGTCCTGGCTAATGGTACGTTCCATGGGGTGTGGGCAAGGGCTGCTGCCGCCACTACTGCCGCACGCAGCGCTAGCTTCGCGGGCCTCCTGCTTCAGTGCCGTGATGGCAGGAGGGGAGAGAAAGCGGGGTGGGGTAGGGGTGACGGGGGTGTTTTCTGCGCCATTGTCGGCCATTGTACTGTACATACATATAACGTAGAAGTGTGATCGGCCAGAGTGAACCAGGTTGCCCTTGATCAAATGTCAATTCTGGTGAGTGGAAGGGTAGGGTATGCGAAGGATCGATAGATTGTTCAACGTAGATGTTTAACACCCCCTTTCTTTAATTGCTGGAGTATCTCAAGCGGACAAGCGCTTCGGGGCGCTAAGAGGGGGTGGGATTTATTCGCCAGAATACTCAGAGGAGGGAAGAGGTGGGAAGCTCGCAATGAGAATGAAATAACTCGAGTAAATATAAAGGGGTATAGCTGAGTTGCCTCTGGCCAGGCCGGCTAGAGCAGCGCCCGGAAGCAGCGTTATAGCCTCATCCGTCAGCATCAACTATCCATGACCAGGACAGACGGCGGCTAAGCCAGCGTCGGAGTAGGGAATGCAGGCAAAACGGTTCTCAGGGTTCGCAGAAAGCTGGATGTAAATATACCACGTTTAGGATACTCGGGAGATACGGTCTGTCTGTATGAATCGTCGAGAAACGGATGCGATGCAGCTGCGATATGCTATAACAATCGTCCTTCTCTCCTCCTTCCATATATACCCCTTCTCTCTATCTTTAATCTCTCCCAGTCTGTCTGTTCTCACACACTCTACTTCTTCTTCTTCTCTTTCCTCTTCCTGAGGGTCGCCAGTCGTGGTCGAGGAGGGTTTATTCCAGTTGAAACAAAGAGTCACAAGGCAGTTTGGTGCTAGGTTGGCATCCACGGGTTGAGAGAGAGCCTGCAGGTCTGTCGGTCTAATGCACACGCAGCACACACAGGCGCAAACCAGAGATTCCACTGATGTTAGAGACGGCAGAAGCAAACGACACGAAAAGCAGTCTTCAGTCTTCGAAACAAAATCCGCAAGCAAAAAATCACACTCCCAACAACACTAGAGGCGGCTCAAAAACGGGACGATTACCAACAGTACGAACAGTACGGGGGTCTTGGGAGGGGGAATCCTCTTCGGGGAAGCCCTTGTATGTTACTGTACGGTGCTCTTCTGATACTGGCAGAACAGGACGTCATAGCAGCCATTTACGCCACGAAGGATGAATGCGGTGTGTAATATTTTGTAACGGTATATACATTTCCATGGTTCCCAAGCCCTGGCTAATGGAATGTCCATTAGTTGGATTAGTCATCAACCCCTCTTCCCCAACAGGAAGTTTTGCTGGGGCCGTGGAAATTAGGCCTTTACAAACTCGGCCGAGTCCGGGACACGCAGAATCATCTTCCTGTGCTGTTAATTGGCAGCCGGTGTTCGTGCCTTCAAATCTGTGGTGCTCTGTTATTTACAATGACGTAGTAAGTGTATTTCACTTGATTTACTGAATAGTAAGCATCAGCATTCTACGAGTTCATAAAATTAAGAAATAATGTATACATTTTTTGCTGCGCAATTTCGTATAATTGTTTTAATTTTAATTTTAATTTTAATTTTTTTTAATACAGGTGAAATCAGTATTTCAAGTGGATAATCTGTTTCAGCAGATAGACACTCATGTGATTAACAACTGAATCTTAACTATCTCTCTGCTTCAACTAGCCGTCATATCAACACCTATATCATAGATATTAGTATATTCACAAAGTGTCCAGACAGAAGTTTGAATAGATCATTATGTGATCATGATATATTGTACACCAATTCACTTCAAGACCAGATATCCCATAATGGAGACAAATGAAATGAAATAGAGACAGAAAATAATGAAAGAAAACATCCCTACAACGCCTTCTTCCCCTCAGGAGCCTGCTCCCTCTGCAACACTGTTAACATAGCTCTAGCAACACCTTCATCCATCGGCACTACAGGCGTATACGCAAGCCTCTGCTTCGCCTTTTCACACGAATAATACTTCGTCATGCACGAAAACCTAACCTCCTTCCTGGACAACCTCGGCTTCTTCCCAAACAACCCGTACACCGTCTCCAACATACCCCCAATAATCGTCAGCGCCCCCTCAGGCAGCACAATAGCCTTATCCGGCTCGACGATCTTGTCCATGTACGCCCAGATACTCCGGGCCATATCCCAAAAGTACACGGGGCTGTCGTTGGTGACGTTGAACGCCTCGCCGTCGACACGCTCATAGTCCAGTGGGGCGGCACCGCCAGATTTCAGACGCTTGTAAGTTTCCAGCAGGCAGTGGGCGGCTAGCGTGTGGCCGTAGGCGACATTGCCGGCGTAGGTGAAATCGAATAGATTGTCGTTTGTGCCGAGTTGGAAGCGCAGGACGAAAGGGGAGGCCTTGCGCCCGTGGTCGGCCATGCCCTTTGTTAAGGTTGTGTCGCGCTCACCAAAGATGCCAGCGGGCCGTATGGCGGTGGTTAGCATGCCTGACGGTGCAGTTTTGTTGAATTTCAGAACTGTCACTTCGGCTTCGGCCTGATAAGAACAAGATAAGCAAGTTATGTCTCTGATTTCTTCATCTTTTTCCTTAATTAAGATAGAGGTAGAGATAGAGGCAGAATCAGAACACACCTTGGTTTCTGTGTAATACTCATTTTGCAACTCTCCAAGCATCAGCGGCCACCTCTCATCCACCCGAATCTGATCACTAACGCAATCGTGCACCACAGATGAAGAACTCGTGTAGACAAACGCCTTGCAAACCCCACCCCAATCCCCCTTCAGCCCACCAGCAACCTCAACCAAATTCTTCGTCCCAAGAACATTGATCTTATACATAATGGTATCATCTCGTTGGAGCAACACTGGAGCGACGGTATGGATGACTACATCCGGTTTTACCTTCCGAAACACCTCCAGGAGAGAATCAATGGACGTAATATCGCCTTCATAGTAGTCTGCGCCCGGGAATCGATTGTGCACTACCCGCAGGTCGAGCACGGAGACCTTTGTATTTTTGTAGGTTGGATAGCGGCCCGTAAGGCGGGGGAGGTTAAAACGGGTGTCGGGCTCGCCATTGGGTTTCCGAATGGGGCTGGGGATGTATTGTTGGTCTTTACTGGAGGTTTCGGAGGCTTCAGAGGGGAAGTTGAGGAGCTGGTCGACGATGTGAGAGCCTAGAAAGCCGCAGCCACCCGTGATGAGGACGGAGCCCAGCTCAATGGTCTGCGGGGCTGTCATGGTGGATTTTATTGTTCGGTTAGATCGGGGACGTTTCAAGATATGGTCAATGTTTGGATCAGCCGCGGGATAAGGAACGGTTTCGAGGTTATTCTAAAACTTGGTGACCACATCGACGGATGGTATGTACGGAGAGTTTAAAGCGGAGATGGGAGATCTCCGGGGAGTTGATAATTATTACGTGAGGTTGTTATTTAACTATTGCGCCGCGGCGGAATTAAAAGTTAAACGACTACCCCTGAGCCAAGTGTCGTATTATCTGAGCCAATTTTTGTGTTGGAAGAAAAATCTCGGACAAGACGCTTGGACCAATGCAGTTGACAGCAACTGCTCAGACGGACTAGCCGAATTAGGGCTAGCGCGGTCATGGATCACGCTCGTCCCGTGGGTATATAGAAGGCGAAAGAAAGTAAGCACATCAACAACCAGTATTCAATGGCTGTCTTGAAAATAAAGATGCCTGCTCTAGTGTGACGTAAAGTAGTCGTTAAAAAAAGTAGTCAAAACATCCGTGGATTCAGTAGACTAAAATGTTGCAAACATACCTCCTCTATCTGCCGATCTACTGAGGTATGGTGCCGATAGGAAGGTAGATATCTACCTGCTGCAACGGGAGAAGAAAATCAAGAAGAGAGACAGTGGTTCAAGTAAAGGGAATAAAGAATGACAAAACCTGTTAGACTTGCGCTTAACATCTTTGCATCTGGAAAAGGAAAAAGGAAAAAGATAAAAAGAAACAAGAGAAAAGAAAGTCATAATTCTCAATCGTAGAGGTCATGTGTTGGCAACATAAGAGAGAAAAACCCCTTGACGGGGAACGGATAAAACCAGCTAACAGGAAGTCTGACTAGAGTAACTAAAGAGCTTATATATGTCTACATGCATTCATCGGGAAAAAATGCAGTTATGAAAATAACTGAGCCACAAAAGTACTGATCTGATAGTTAACCTGGCTTTCAAACCAAGGAAAGCTTGACCTATCCAGTTGGATTCAAACAACAAAAAGCTGGTTTTGCTTTGACAAGAAGATCACTCCCTAGTCAACGAAAGTGGCATTTTTAACATCTTCCTTAAATGTACATGGGAGGTTAGAAGAGAAGAGGGAGGGACGGAGAGAAAACAAAATACTCACTCAATACTCCGCTGAACAGACCGTCTCAGGAGGCGGTTATACTTCTTCTTATCCTCCGCAGAGCCCCAGAACAATTTCGACGCTTCCGGATTCACAGTCGTACGTGGGTCATATGGTGGACTCTCATCTTCCAGCGCCTCAATAATAGCCTGGACATGCGACTTCATCTCCTCCATCTTCTTCGGAAAATAGCAAAGAACACCATCCTTTGAAATACGATTGTGAAACAGGGGTGTCTGAACAATGACACGTGGCTGCTCATCGGGGAAATTGGGGCTCAAGCAGATCTTGATCCGAAAGACGCCACCATCCAACTGAGTCATGGGTTTACCAAAGTATGTCATGGTCCAGACAAAAGGGTTGTCATCTTGTAGACCGAGGTCGATCATGAAATTCTTCTTGTCCTTGAGATCTTCGACGATCTGCTCGTGCTGACGCTGGAGGTTGACTGCGATCCGGGTATCTTTGGCTTTGGCTTTCAGACCCTCTACGGCCCAGGTTTCAGTCTCATCAAAAATCGCCTTTTTGATGCGGCCAAGGCGGTTGCGGAGGTCTGGGTAGTAAAAGCGTCCGTCCATCGTGTTGCCGGCGCTTTCAAATGGCATCTTTTTGAAAGCTTGTGCCGGGGTGACTTCAGGTTCCGCAGCGTCGATAGCAAGCACGTAAGATTCGTAATACCACAAGAATCTGCGCTTGTAAAGATCCTCGAACGGTTCAAAAACTGGGCGATCGTCGTCTGGAGTCAGACGGTCCTCCTCTTCAGACTCTTGACCCGCCTCGGAGCTTTGAGGGAAAATTGTGCCATCTGATTGGATGCCCAGGAACTCTTCAAGTCGTTGAATGACTGAAATACGCAGAGTCTCGTGGCGAATCTGGAGAGACAGAGCTGTTAGACAGCTATACATGAAGGAGATTTGGGATTTTACCTTAGCAACGTAATGAGCCATGTTTTTTAAATCGTGCTCCGTCTTGGCATTTTCAAAACCAGGTTCATTTTCATACGGGTTAGAGGACATCAAACTCTGGATAGAGATCAAGACGGATTCAAGGCCTTGGGCTGAAGACCATTGCTCTCCACTTTCACCACGCCACGTCCTTTACCAGAGTCAGAATCAAAGTTAAAGCTATTGCTATGTGAGATTAAAACAATACCCAAGTATAGACCTAGAGCACGATTGTCAATGGAGGACAAATGCAGTGGGCAATAGCTGTCACTTACAGGCAAACTTTTCCAGAAGCATATATGTTGGGGTTATAGCGGCATCTGCCGCCATTTGTGGTCGTAGCATTAACAGTTGGTGGAGTTCCAGGGTAATCTGAGCCAAGGCGAAAAAAGGAATCGATCAGCATGAGATCAGCTTGAGATCAGAATACAAAGAATCTGAATCGAACCTTCGGGAAATTTAATCGAGAACTAGAGACACGTGGTCAGCGTGATTCATAATAAGCTAAGGCGTAGATAAACAAACGGGCCGATGATGAACTTGGAGACACAAACCTCGAAGAAACCAAATTCGTAAGGTGTTTCAGGAGGACCCACGATCAGGGCCTTGATACTACGAATATCTGCTTCCTTGCAAGCTACAGCGAGAGCTGCATGTATGTAAGGATTTCGAAAGGCAGGTGAGAAAGTGTTATACATATAAATCACGCTGATGAATTGGCACCGAAAGAGAGAAAAGAACCAAGTCTCTGCCTGTCCCTTGCAGGACCTAAAAATGGAAATACATGAGAGAGAAAAAGAAAAAATAATAATAAAGAAAAAGGAAAAATAAACATAGTCTTACACAAGTCCGTGCCATGCTGGATCTGGCTGATTTCCTAATCACCACATCAAGCCTGTTAACAACTCAAAAACGACGGGTGCAAGGCCCATTTGTCCAACCATGAAGAAACCAAGACTAGAGGGGGTTGGGGGCAAAGTTGCATACACGGCCAATGCGCAGGATGGCTTGGTTTGACATTTCGCGAGATGCCAGCTGGGCAGCTTGCAACGAGAGAACCCAGCTGCAGAAGACCCTTGAAGGGTGAGGGGAAGGAAGATTAAGAGTTGGAGCTGGAGTCAGTCCTTCGAAGTAAGTTGTTGTTACTTGAGATGACTAGAACCCTTTGTATGGTGAAGGATGCCTGGAGGGGTGTTGGTATAGCGACAAAAAGAGGGAGAAGGGGAAAAAAATAGATTTAAGAGATATATAAGTCCAGACAAAAATGGTGAATTTGAAAGTCCAAGTGTTCTTGAAGCTCTGGATGAAGGTCTGGATGTTTGGAATGTTTCCCGGGCGAATTGGAGAAAAGTGAAGATTGAAACAAAGTTAGGGTGATACACAACAGTCCTGGAGGCACCAGCAGTGGCAGACCAGGTGCAAATATGCAGAGATTGGTAACTATGGGGTTTAAAAGGCGTTTACCTAAGTAGCTAGCATGGCATAAGAACGGGAATACAGCATAATCTCTTGTTTGGATTTAAGAGAGGGAGATAGAGAACAGAAGAAAGACGGCTTTACAGTGAAAAATAAAAAAAAAATAAAAATAAAAAAAAATAGCTTGATAGATAGATGAGCAAGAGCGTGGGAACAGAGGACACTTGTTATACATATGAAAGTCCTTGCTTGCTTTCTTTCATTCCAGTCTGGCTGCTGTTGGATGTTTAAAGCTTCCGCAAGCTGAAATTGCCAATCAATATGTCCCTAGGTACCTCGCCTTAAGTTACCTGTTGTTTAACGCACAAAACAAATGCCGCTGAAACCCGTGCCAGGCTTTGAAGAAGGTTACGAAGGTTAACGATCGTAGAGTTTGCTGACAAGAAATGTGTGATATATTAAATAACGGATAGTAAATGCTTGCCCAGCTATGACAGTTTGTTGTCGACACCGTTCCCATACATAGTTAATTTCTGTGGGTCTGCCTCTGTCCCAGGTTTCAACACAGCCATGCCCGATGCAGCCCTAGCGTGCAGAGATCCTTTTATTGCTTATTCTCCACTCCGATGCAATAGCTAGCTGCCTGCAGATATCCAGGCCCCATAACTTGACATGATGCCTAGATCTGTCCAACATACTTTTTAACTACATCTAGCATCAAAAAAGGACCGGCATTCACATACACATACGCTAATGTTCAGAGTAAAGTACACTGATGATATCCATTCCTTGACCCCAGGGGGGGGAACTGTACTAACATAAGAATCTAAGGCCAAGCTGCTAATAGCTTAACGTGGGAATATATTTGCAGAACTTGCCCCTCCTCTTCTCTCCGTGTGATCTCCATGAAACGGTAGGACTTCCTGCATTAATCAAAGTGTAGAGTCTAGTTAAACTTTTGGAGCTGCATTTTATTCCCAAGGCAGACCGGTCCTATAGCTCAGTTGGTTAGAGCGTGGTGCTAATAACGCCAAGGTCGCGAGTTCGACCCTCGTTGGGACCATCAGATAGTTATTTTTGCTCATTAGCTTTTTTCTATTCCTACCCAATCAACACAGGATCTCTTTGCTGCTATTACTAGATACTGCATCCGCAGAAAGCGCCGGAGTCTCTCACAACATTGGAAAACAGATTTGACAACGTTCTTGAACAGCTATGTGTATTTTTTTATGGTTTTACATGAGTTACAACTGAATCTCAATAAGGAACAGTTTTTTTTTTTTTTTTTTTTTCCAATTGAAAGCAAGAGCTTCATCTCGTTGCCCTATTTCCATATCGATCCCCCTGGTATGAGTGACCCTTTTTTGTACTACTTCATCCAAATCATGAAGGGCAAGGACCGACCGCTTCTCATCAGTCAGTTTTCATGAAAATTTTATCGTAATAGTATGTATGTACTAACTGCCCATGGAGTCGTGCACCGGTTTAAGGACGGGATGAAAAAGTGCGAAAGATATAAATGATGACATCCACAGCGAAATTTGTTTAAACACAAAAAAAGTGGCGGAAGGATGTTTTGGGAGAGCCAAAAAGGTTAAGGAGAACAAATTATTTGATGGTCCCAACGAGGGTCGAACTCGCGACCTTGGCGTTATTAGCACCACGCTCTAACCAACTGAGCTATAGGACCGGTTTTTGATATGAAAAGTGGCACCCTGGTCAGCCATGTTTGTATATCCATAGCTATTGGATGCAAAATATCTTTATTCTCGAGATTTTCATCGCCAGCTGTAGAAAGCCATCTTCTACAGATACATGAAGAAAAGAAACGGCAATTCGGCAAGATCTCTGCCTTCTTTCTCTCGCCTCCTCTTCTCATTCTGTCTTGTAAATTCTCTTCTCAACCAGCTGATCCTCAATCAGTCGAACACAAAAGTTTCTTCCAAAAGTGGACATATAGAGATGTCCATAGAACCTCTTGTCCAAGCCATGAACAAACCTCAATTTCTGCCCTGATAGGTCAATTGAAAAAGGTGGGCATTTCACCACAACGGTCTTCAATGCCTTGGACTCACTTCATTTCTCCTGGCTGATTAAATCTTGAGGTTCATGGGTATAGCAGTACATATATGCATACATACATACAAACATACATACATACATACACATAAATATAAACACGACCCACAACTCCCAGCAAAAAGCTATCACTGATTCGAGAGAAAAGGTCATTTCTTTTTTTCATATGCTCCATCGCGGAGGAGAATTAACATGAAATATGATGATCGCAAGAGAAGTAATTGCATGTAGATAAATGCATCAAAATGCAAAATGAACATCCTCATGCCCCATCCGTTTGATGTCAACCTTCGCTAACGATTTTGACAGGAGGTCGATATGTCACGGATGCTTCCCCATTGGCCAGATGACCAAATTTCAGGCCTCCACGGACTACCTAATATAACCTCCATTCCCCTAACCTCCAGCAAACCGACTCCACAAAAAAAGCCCAAGGCTAAACAATGTCACCCAAAGCTATCATGCGGCCCAGAACTGAAAATCATACTAATTTTAATGACGACGAAAATAATGATAATAATGGTAACTCCAAGCCAATGACACAGCCAACCACAAACTCCATCCGGATCCGCGACAACCAACGACGATCCCGCGCCCGTCGCAAGGAGTACCAGCAGGATCTCGAGCGGCGGGTGCACAAGTTCCAGCAGGAAGGCGTCCATGTGACCATTGAGGTGCAGGCTGCTGCCAGGAAGGTCGCAAAGGAGAATGCGCTGTTGAGGTCGCTGCTGAGGCTAAGAGGGGTTACTGCGGGGGAGATCGAGGAGTACATAGCCCAAGCGACCGTGGATGAGGGCGACAATATGAATATGAACGGGAGCGGAAATGCAAATGCAAATGGAGATGGAAATGGGAACTTGAACGTGAATATGACCTCGAGTCAGAATAACGGCAGCCATGCAGCCGGGATGGGTTTTGCCCAGCTCCAAAATGCACTCCCCACAATATCTACAGCGACATCAACGACGGCTGCTTTCCAAAACACCCTTAACCAGAACCAGAACCAGAACCAAACTCCATCCCAATTGGATAATTACTCTCCTTACTACCCATCAGAACCAAATTCCCTCCCCCCGGCTCCTCACCACCTAGAAGACAACGGAAATGCCAACGACCTGCCCCTCTCCGTCTCCGGCTCGTCGTCCTCCTCGTACTCCCCGAGTAGTTTCCCAAGCACAAGCCTGAGCCCAACTTCCGCCAGTAACCAACAACCACCCCAACCATCGTACACTTCATACCTACCCGCACTTCAATGCGCAGTCGCATATAGCCATAGCCATAGCCATAGCCAGAACCAAAATCAAAGTCAAAACCAGAACCAACCCATCCCCATCCCCATCCCCATCCCCCTTCCTCTTCCACAACAACATCAACAACTGCAACCACAGCTCCACAGACCCCTCACCCCAACCCATCCGCACCCTTACCGCTCCTCCACCATCCCAAACCACCACCTTACCCACTGCGTGCAGCCGCACCCGCACCCGCAGCTTCACCAACACCTAAACCAACTCGTAAACGTAAACGTAAACACAACCAACCTCCCCGCTCCCACCCCGGACACCACATCCTGTGAAGTCGCCGCGAGCATCATCGCGGGCATGCGCGGGCACGGCGATGCGGACTCCGTTCGCGCTGAGCTGGCCTGTACGCCTGGAGCCGTTTCGTGCCAGGTGAGCAATATGGAGATTTTCCGGGTGCTGGATCGGTCGATTGGGAGTTGTCGGTGAAATAGCCGTCTAAGAGAAAACTTTTCTGGCTATTTATTTTCTCATGTATATATATATATATATATTGGCTTAGGATATGTGCTGTATATAATGTTTGTGGGGGGAGAAGAGTGGTTTGTGGGGAGGGACTTGTGGGTTTGTCAGGTTGGTTTGGAACTCGTGGGGGTTAAGGAAGAGAGAGAGGGAGAGTGGTAAGAAGGTGAGCGAGAGGAAGCGCTTGGCGTTTTCTCGATATATGACTCTCTTCACTTTAATTTAAGTTCTCTATGTCTTTTTGACGGAGATGAGGGGTGAGACGGGTTTTGTTAGGCTGTACGAGGACGCCTTGGTTGATATGCGAAGTCTATTGTTGTCAGAACTGGAGGGGTTGAAGGTGGAAAAGGGCCTCTGCTTGTTGAAGGAAGGGTGCGTGCAGAGGTATGAGGGTCAATTACTGGACCAAAAAGGATCAATCCTTATGGTATGGGGGATCCAAGGATATTAGATCTTGTCAACATACCCATTCTGATTGTATATGATAAGCAAGCGAAGAAGTGAAGTAAAGCTAAATCATGTTGAAAGATAAATGGCAAAGTTTTATTGTCGCTTCAAAATTCAGTTATGTAACCGGCATCTACCTTTGTTAGTAACAATCATTTAACTCATGGATGTTCCGGTGAGGGTCAGAACCTGGTATGTTATAATTATCCCTTCTTTTGGTTGCAATGCACAAACTTTCCCAAATACAAATATATGGATGTACAGAACTATTGATGTCTCTAGGTCTGTTGGAGTATTCTCCACCACGTCCTGATCACCAACATCAGCACATCTCTTCCTGGTCTCCGATCAAATTCCTCCTCCCAAAGTCAGATCTTCTGAGTATACATATCTACTCTCCCCGTCTTCGCGCGATGGATGCCACCAGCAACCTTGCACCTAGCTGTTGAGCGAAACGCTTTCCTCAGGTCCATAAAATGCAATTCTCGAGCCGATTCGTGCTCTGCCCCAGGTTACCGCCATTATTAGGTGGTTGATAATCACCCCGGTTACCTTATTTCTGTTAACGATTAGATGAGTCATATAATTCTTCCAAAGTTTCTCAGCCCAGAATAAATTCCGTGGGAAGGCATCAGTGAGTCCTTAGTGTATTTCGTGATTTCGAGGCGGAAGCGTAATAGAATCATGGGCCATTGTTTTCTGCAATTGCAAGTTAATTGGTTGTCTCTATGTTAAGTACAAATCCGAAAACAGACAATTCAAGCACTATCCCTCTTTTTTCTTCTTCGCAGTCCAAATCAGCGGCGGATTCCTTTCAAACATTGCCGTCGGTGGTTTGTATTTTAAATTTGGTTGTTCGTGACGGGCTTAATTGTCTTGGTAGTCAAATAACTCCCAATAACAATAATTTAGGATCTTAATTTTGACAATCACACTGCAGTTGGGGCTTGTCCAATGACGATATCTGCATGATTTTCACCTGCTCGATGGTATGCCCGAAGTTCTTGCTGGCCAACGGCTTTAACTTCACCCAAGATGCCTTGGTGACCAGCTCCAATGCATTTGTTCAAATTGCCCCAGGTGTTCGATTTGCATCCGCACTTATAACCCGCGAACGATTTGCGCTCTGTGTTAAGGAGGTTCTATCAGTTACCGCGCCGTGGTCTCGAGTTAAATACCCTGACTGACGCTTGATGGAAGGGGATTTTGCATACCATCTGAACTCCTGAAGGAGATGCTTACCCGTTTTAGCCCCTTAAATTCAGCGTGAGGGTATTCTTTGCGTCGTGCGAAGCCCAGGTTTCCTACATCAAAATCTTCGAGTCCTTCCTTCGCAACAAAACGTTCAGCCTCTAGATACGACTTCCCCTTGGACTGCTCAACAGAGGTGATGACGCACGAGTTGTTAGCTTTCCGACAGTCGCACCGTTCTGTGTTAGCTGCTGTCTTTTCATCAATCCTGATGGAAGTGATTGCCAACTTGTTGGAACCGATCGCGTTCCTTGAGAATATTACAAGGGCCGGCCGGATAGGTTTCTGATGAAGAACACCATTGGTATCACCTATGTTAAGCACGGTTACCGTGTTTTGACTGGACTTGCTCACAACGCTGCCTATTGTAGACATTCTCCGGATAATTGGTCAAGGAAGGGTAACTTCTGAGTGGGTCATAATCCCTACTACCCGAAGACCCAGGACTGGAACCTGATGGAGGTGTACAATTACTCATGGAGCCAAGTGATCGTTGGTCGGTAGATTTACACTGAAATGATTTATGCTAGAGAATAGGCTAGGAGGGCTCCCAGGGAACATGCTGAGTGGAGCGGATGGAGCACTGCTTTAAGGAATTGACAATGGGCTTTTTGGGAGTGTTTCACTGCGTTCTAGCCAAGATTCTTCAGCTGGATTCTGCTCCTCGTTGAGTAAATATCCCTCCAATCGTTTGGGTATCCAAAGTTGTAAGACGGCATCTTCAACAACGGGTTTTTCGTTAGACCCGACGAATGCAACCTTTACATCTATTCTACTCCTAGTTAGACCATTCAAGATATGAATTTCTGGGATATTTAAAAAACAAACATACTGGGAGTAAAAATGATATGGCTTGAATCCCGTGAAAGCGTGCTGGAATCGAAGGAGGTCTTTCAAGGAAGGAAATGAAAATCTTGTGTCTTCGCTCGGAGTTCTTAGCAGGATATCATTGGTGTCACGATTAAAAGTGGGCATTGCGTAGAGTGGAATCAGTGACGCTGATTCAAGATTAACTTCGATAACGCGCTCTGAGAAAAAGGTTAGAGCATTTTTACAGAGGAAAACTGATAAGAAACTAGTTACCTTCAGGTTTAACTGTCCCATTTTCCAGCTACTCCTTAGCTGTGGCAATCAATCGATGCTGTGAAGGTGAGCCGTTCAAAATCTGTAAAAGCCTTAGAGATGTGACGACAGATGGTGAGTCGCTGTTAAGGGGGCTAGACCTTAGTTAGAGAGAAGGCTACTAAAAACAGGACCGAGAATCGCATACACATTAATTATTTCCTTCGTAGGTTGCTTTCGATGGTGTCCCAAGGGAAGATTACTGGCCCTGCGGATTTCTGGCCAAATATCAAATACAGATGGATCCAACCTCGCCCGAGACAAGTCTGGAGCAAATATTCTATCCATACACTCGGGAGAAAACCGTTTACATTCGTGTGATAATTCCTATCGTGGTGTTAGTCCATTGCCTGCGCTGTCAGAGAATATGATTATACCTACCTGATTAAGACCCTTTATATACGACGGCCAGTGCGATAAACCCGAAATTTCGGCATTCTGGTATTTGTCCAAGTGTTCCATGAGCCAGATGCATTTCAGTAAGCTGAGGTAGGCAGTTACGGAGGCAGTTCTACGGTCGATCCAATCGAATCGAGATGCATTGAGGTTCCGTGTGCCTCTTCCGAAATAGAAAACAAATGAATTTGCCGTATCCGCGACAGGGAGTTGAGTTCCACTAGCAAACTCCGGATGGTTAATCTCCGCAGCTTGCTGAAACTTAAGGGAAAAATTGGAAGGAATCTCGATGGTAAAAGTTTGTTGGGTCTGTTGATGCTTCATTTCTTCCTTGAAATCTGGGACCATAACTCCCATGAGACGTCGCAGGTCGTTATGCATTCTAGCCATTCTACCGGCGAGATCTTGATGGATGCAGAATAGAAGATCGATCTCAAATGGCTTAAGGATGAATAAAATCTTCAGATTGTGTAACGATATCCGGTTCCTTAGGCGTTCAACATCTGGCTGGACGAGGACGTTCCACGAGATACCTTGACGGGGACTGGATACATTATTGTATCGATAGTTGTGTCGAATCAACTTTTCACAATCCCGTATTGTTTTTGGTAATCTCCAACTATCTCGTTTAGAGACCTCAAGTCCAATATTTTTGTCGAGTCCCTGGGCCGTACCAAGGTTCCGACTTCGACTTGGGATGCCGCATTTGAAGCCACACGATAGACGTTTTCCAAGTTTGTCGCAAGAGACCTAACATCATTGACGAAGTCTGCATATTGTGTGCCTGTGATTCACCTTTATGTGAGAAATGTGATAAATTCACCAGGAATTCGGTTGTGAACTAAGAGGACAGAACGTTGACAATGTGCTCGTGATTTTCAACCTAGATAGAAGTGGAACCATGGGAATCTTATTCACGAGAAAGCAACCATAAAGACGATATTCAACACTTACTTGGTCTTGAGTTCCTCTCAAATGCGAAATTATATACCTTCCAAGCCAGTTGACTTAAGACCAAGATGTCGCTGATCTGGAAAGGGACAGCCATTGATGGCTGGCACCGCGATTATCGGATTTAGCCTTTGATAGGCAGTGTTTATACAACTTCTCTGAAATTTCTGGTTGGTGAACAGGATGGGTCATCCTTTGTGTTCACTTCTTTTTTGCTTTTCTTTTCTTTTTATGCTGTCGTTCTTTTGGCCTGCTAAATAAATGGATTCTTGTAGAGCAGCAACGGAGCTCTGGGATGAAATGCAGAAACCCTGCCTTGATGGTAGCTCTAAGGGACTTGGATGATGACGAGGACAGAGGGAAAGGCTGTGCGAATATGGGGGATACTTCAGTGATATCCTGGTAGGCAAAGACGGATTCCCCTCTTCCGGTTTCACAGCAGCACAGCTGACGGGTCGATAGTTAAACCATGGTCGCATCTAGGGTTGAAGAAAGAGTCGTTCCTTGTGCTCTTTGTTTAGCCTGGTAAATGAATTGTACAAATTATGATATTTCCCCAAGTTGCATGAGGAGCAACCAGACCGAGCAGCCCACCCATGTCGTTCTAAACAATTGCTTTGTGCTCACCCGACATGATTGAATCCGAGGGAAAGGTAGCGAGCCAAGTAGTTACGCGAGTCGAAGCTCTTTATCTGCAGCCTCACTGAACTGAGTGGTGATTATCCAGTGATTCGCCAAGGCCGGTTGATATTTAATGCCTCTGTCTGCATTGTGGCGTCGTTGGCGTGGAAGCCAAACCTAGAAATGTGGCTATGGTCCTAAAACGAAGAGATGGGGGATGAAGACGAGATGCGGCTCTGCATGGATGGTGGGCGATTGCCCAATGAATTTATAATGCGCCTGCAGAGGACCACCGCGAGGCAGAATGGCGGCAGAAGAGAAGTGACAAGCGCGTGGTTATATTTCCTTTGCTTTCTCTCATCCCATTCTTCTTTTCGCAGAGGTAGCTATATCAAATAAGGGGCTGGTTTGTTTTTGATCATGTTGTCTCTCTGAATTCACAACACAAGCCAACTCGTCCAACCCCTGTAATCAACTACCCACGGCTATGTGCTGCGTGGGAGATTAGAATCCGCGACAATGACTCTAACAACAGCCCTTAATGGAGACCATCCTCGTATTTCCGATAGCGATAGCGATCGGTACCGGCCTGACGATTTCGACAATGATCCCAATGCAATTGTCACTAATGCCCCTGAAGAGCCCTTCCGATTGGGCCGCTTCGACGTTGGCTGTCTAGTCGTCAATAGGATGATAGGTATGCGTTGATTCCACCAACCTAGGAATTATATCTGAACTTCTTGCTCCCAGTGTTTCCCTGTTCATCCAGAACCAGCTGCTTATCTACTTGCTCTGTGCCTATCAATCAGGTACGGGGATCTTTTCGTCTGTTGGTTTGGTTGTCCAAGGGACCCAGAGCGTTGGGGTTTCACTGATATTCTGGTTCTTTGGCGTTATATATTGCCTTGCTGGAGTACATCTCTACATTGAATACGGCCTCAGTGTCCCCAGACGCCAATTTGAAGGCGTCAAACAGGGAATCCCCAGAAGTGGTGGCGACCTCAACTATGTAAGCTCTTTCACTCTCTGTTCATGACGACTCGACCATGCGTGGATACTGAACGCTGTACAGCTTCAATATGTTTACCGAAAACCGAGGTATCGCAAGGATACAGTGCTGCTTTCCGTCACCACCTTCGGGACCGTGTTCATTTTGTTTGGCAATGTTGCTGGAAACTGCATTTACTTTGCAGTCAAGGTGTTGCAGGCTTCAAACGCAAAGGTGACCAACAGTGCTGTTCGAGGAATCTCCGCCGCTGTAGCTCTTTTTACCTGTTTAATTCACACATTTTCCCGCCGGGGAGGCATTCTTTTGAGCAATTTATTTGCCATAGTCAAGCTGGCAATGCTATTCCTGATAATTATTACTGCCATTGTTGCTGCCACTAGGGCTTTTCCTGAAACCAAGTCTTTCGCTCGCGAGAACTTCTACATAAAGCATTCCTTTCACAACGCCTCGAATCAGGCCAATGACTATGCCAATGCTTTCTTATTAATCAGTCTGTTGATACACTGGCCCCTTATTTTTCTGTTCCCCTGCTGACATTGTCTCCAGTTTTTACCTTCAGTGGCTTCGAACAACCCAATTATGTAAGTGGCTTTGTTTCCGTCAGTTAGTCGGTATACACATGACTCTTTAACTCCATTCTATGCAGGTACTGGGTGAGATTTCAAAGCCGCGACGGAATTTCCCCGTGTCCATGATTACTTCTGTCTCTGTAGTCGGCTTACTTTACATGGGTGTCAACATTGCATACGTATGAATCCCCAAAGTTTAGTTAACTAATATTGGGTGTATTCACTAACAACCACCAGATGGCTATCGTGCCCAGAGATGAGCAAATCGATATACACATGAACCTAGCAGAAAGGTTTTTCGAGATCACTTTTGGAAGATTGAGTAGTGGCGACAACACAGGCCAGCGGATTTTCAACGCTTTCCTCGCTATTTCTAGCTTTGGGAATATAGTTGTGATGACATACACGGCGGCTCGAGTGAAGCAGGAAGTGGCAAAGGAGGGGATTCTACCATTTCCCCAGTTCTTTGCCAAAAACCGTGATTTTTCTTTTGGACGGCTTCTTCGATGGGCTCATGGCCGTCCTACTATTGCTCTATTGTTAAGCGGAATATTAAAATCATCCTGGTTCGCTCCCGAACACCACACGGAAAAAACACCTGTGGGCGCGCTGATGCTTCATTTCGCATCCTGCCTTATTATGATTCTCGCTACCTATTCCGTGGAGCCGAGCAATGCATATAAATTACTTTCGTCAGTGTATACCTATGCAGTACACGCGTTTTTTGGAAACTTCCTCGCAGCTGGAATTTTGTACCTCCGGTTTAGCAGCAAGCAGGAATGGCGAAAAAAGACTGGAGGCATAAACCCATTCCTCAGTGTTACGGCGGCCTTCATTTATCTGATTGGAAGTTTATTTCCCGTCATCGTCGCCTGGGTGGAGCCTAGTAGGGTATTCAAACCGGCTAGCGATACGGGAGTAAAATGGTATCTGGTACCATTTCTTAGCTGGTGCGCAATAGCATTCGGGGCATTATGGTGGCTTGGGTTCATGACTGTTGCCAAACGGATAGAGAAGCGAAACGGCACTGTATTTACGATTCAAAGAGAGCCTACCTTCCAACGCGATCCTCCCATCGACGGACCGCCAATCCAAGTCAACGAGACTGTATATCTTTCCTGGGTCGCGAAGGAGAACCTTTCAGATTTCCAGGACTCAGATGGACGGGATGATTTCGGTAGTGATTTTGCTCGTGGGAGTGGCATGACGGATTTCGATTATCGCTTGCCACGGTAATACTTGCATTACTCAATATTCTTGTATTTGAATGGCTATGGGATATGGCGTGGATTTATTTACATGGTGATAATTGATATTCAACAGCCATGTTCCTGGGGAGGGTAACGGTGTTATTCTTTATGAAATTTCAGTTTATATTTATTTGCACAGATTGTTTCAACTTACATATACTTATTTTGGCGTGGTAATGAAATTAATCAGATGAACTTGAACTACTGAAATCTATAACTTACACTCAACCCCTATGTGCAGGTTGAGAAATCAGGGAGGGACTATTACCTGTGTTTTTATAACATCCAAATTTTATCATGGACAGAAAAGTGTGCATGGGCATATATTTCTTTAGAAATTATAAGTACTTCTAGATCACATTTTTCATTAAAGGTGGTTTTGGAAGGGCAGCCTTCAAGACTTTCCGACCCTCCACTGCGGTAAATGTCCTGTGTGGTTTAACTTTAAGCAGTCATCGGCCTGACAGCTCTTATTTTCAGAGACAGTTTTCTATTACCTTGACCTCCGTGCTTCGCTTCATTCTGGTGTGTCCAGAGTAAGTGGGCAAAATATATTCGGGTTTTATGAAGGAGCTGAGACATGAAGAAGAAATAACCAGTACGATATTAAAGTTAGCACACGTCCATGGATTAACTAACCAACCAACTTTAAGGTAGTACGCACAGGTAAATAAAAGATTCAGCTCGACGAGATTCGACAATAAATACCAAGGTAGCGTTCGATTGCATCTCCACGGCGAAATACCAGCAAGACGACGTGACTGAGGCCCTGGGCTCCTAGAAGCATGAGTCGTTTGCCAATTTGATTGGTTTGGTTGATATGGCGGATCTCATCGCTGCATCGTTAAACATTTAAAACAAGACACCTGTATTTCAATTTTTCTACAATTAATTCAATGTTACTTCCTTTCGTGGATTCCGTGTCATTTACCCAGCCGCTCCCTACTTGCATCGGCGTTTATACGATGAGCTGATTATAAAAAGTCTTAATTATTCTAGCGACACTAAAGGAAGTGCGGCTGTTTGACAGACCGTATATCGATTATCGCCTGTCTGACTCTACCGTCTGTCTACTGATTAATTTCCACTCCACTTGAAAATTAGAGTTTTGCTATTCTTAAAAGCGACAAAAATGTCATCGTCCTCCCCTTCTTTACATTCGATACCTGAGTGATTTCAACGAACTTATACCTAGTTGATACCAAACATTCAAAGCCAAGCCGGATTGAGTGAAGCGAGTACGTACGGTCTTCAACCCTTGACTGCGTATATTTTAAACGAACCTATATCATCCCAAGTTAGTTGTTGAGAGAAGCAATTTCAGACATAGGCTCAAGGGGGCGAGAAAATGAAGAAGAAAGGAAATTCTTACCCGCCCACTCGTTGAAGTCGATATTCTTGAAGTCGGCCTTGAATGTCTCGGAACAAACCGCCGACCTGCGCTCCTCCTTTGGAGCACCCGAACAACAAGAGGTTGACGGTTCCGGCTTCCTCACTTCGCCACAGCAGCCACCACTGGCACTTTCGGGATTACCAAGTGCGGAGGTATAGACATTCAGGTCATTCTTCGCATCAACGATGAGGATATCTAGTGGACAATGGTTCAGACAAGCATGTGGCCACTGGCATGGGCATTGCAGAAACCCTCCTCGAGAGCTCTCAGAAGGAACAAAGCTGAGAGGCACAATAAAATAAATGTATAAAACAGGGAAAGAGAAACACACCACTAAACCCAGCCTCCTTCAAATACTTCTCATAATCTCCCACCTTACTAGCACCAGCAATACAGCCAACATACAGGGCGATACTCTGCTTGAGCTCCGGCGTCAGCTCCTTTTTGGCCAGGATATCACTGATAGCAACGCGACCACCCGATTTTAGCAGACGAGCCATCTCATTAAAGACGAGCTGCTTGTCGGGCTCTGGGACGAGGTTGACAACGCAGTTGCTGATGATGCAGTCAGAGATGCCGTCCGGGAGGGCTATGGAAGTGATTTGTGACTCGACGAAGGTGACGTTTGTAGCTCCAGTTCTTTCCTTGTTGAGGTTAGCGCGGGCGAGCATATCCTGTGTCGAGGCAGGTTAGTTTGATTGTGTTGCTTTGATGAAGCATACGAAAGAGGGTGGGGTGGTAGAAGGATATGTGAGGAGGGTATATACACGCCTTATTCATGTCAATGCCATATACTTTTCCATTTCGACTGACATTTTTGGAAGCAAGGAAGACGTCGATTCCTGCTCCGCTACCGAGATCTATTACGGTTTCTCCCTGGTTTTCGCGAGTCAGTATACTGCATCAAAGTCATCATGCTTCCTCGGGGTTAAGTTACAACAAACCTCTCTTAACTGGGCCAGGGCGAGCGGATTTCCGCAGCTTAGGCCCAGATTAGCATCCTGGGGAATACTGGCAAGCTCCTCTTTGGAATATCCAAAAGCGGCTGCAACATCACGGCCATAGTTCTCGTCATTGGTTTTAGCGGCGGAGCTATAGTGCTTCTGGACTTGATCGTAGACTTGGGATTCGGACATGATGGAAAATAGAGAAATGTGTTAAAAATATAAATAAAAATAAAAGCTAGGCTGATGTTATTCCATGGTTTATGAGAGAGTCAAGGTGGTCTATATCGACCATGAAATTGTCCCTTCATTGCGGGAAATAATAAATGTTATGTCACCTGCACCTCATGGTCGATATGTCACTGCTGCGTCTGTAGTGGACCGTCAGGGTCCCGCCAGCCGAGTTTATCTGCCACTAGATAACTTCTTTCTCCAGAAAGGAACCCATCGTATCCATAACATAAACTTTTCCTATTTTTTTCTTGATAGAAAGCAGAGGTCATTTATGCGGTTATCATTAGGGGTGAATAAAAATTTATAAACGCGAATCACATTCTGGTCAGATTTGTCCTTGATAATCAAGTAGTTAAAATAGAAATAGGAAAAGAAAAAAGAAATGTCGACGCAGCTAGGATTTTACAAAGGAATAAGGTAAATCGCCATAACAGTTTTGATCGAGAATTGTCTAAAAATCCTCCTTCGGCTCTTGTTAAGGTTGTGTAGTTACGGCTTTCAGTACACCAACGCTGCACCAACGCTCACCAACGCTGCAACAGGCGGGGACCTTCAAGTCTCAAAGCCGAAGCTGATATGTCACTGGTTTTGGCGTAACCTTCCCTTGAATCCGGATGACTGACTATGATATACATGCCTTGCGTATGGCAGCGCCAAATTTGCAGATAATATCTGTTTACTCTAGTTGCTCTTTTTCTGGTTCATCATAGTGACAATGTCCACACTCCACACTAATAACTCGCGCAAATCGCAAAAGAAGAGCCATGACTACACTCTCGCAACAATCAACGCCGCTGTCGAGAGCGGCGACGTCAGTGCATAGCAACCTTGGAGCAAACGGTTGAAGAAACACAACGTCTGCCAGCTCAAGCCCGTGCGGAAATCGCCAGCTTAAATTCTGAATTAATCACATGCAAATCCCATCCTCCTTGCCAGGCTGAGGAGTTCTCGAGAGGCCATATATACTCCAGGATTACGATGATATCGACTAGCGAACCGGACAATGATGGCAATATCCCAGGGAACGAAAAGGAGCAGAACCTAAGGCCCTGCCTTCTGGCCTTGCCGATAATGCTCTGCTGGCTGCGATAAATATCGATTCAAGTCTTATGTGGAATTCGGTTGTCCTCCAACGGGTAGACAACACCTCGCCGAAAGGATGTTGCCCCTCTCCGGCTCCTATTAGCTCACCTGAAGCTGTCGCATACGACAGCTTCCGTCCTGACACCATCATTCCAGAAACAGGGCTTGTAACTGGCATACCCACATCTCTTAACCTTATTTCCACTCCAATCCTGCCTGCAGTCCAACTGCCAATATTGCAACTGCAAGACGTCAGAACACCTTCACGCTGCCAGTCATCTAACTGCTCTCATTATTCCGCCTCTGCAGTCGACGAATCTACGACAACCTGCAGCCAAGCGCTCATTGTCATAACCCAACAAAACTTCAAAATGAATTGACATAATGGTAATTGAGCAGTGGCTCAGCCGCGGGTTTAGTCACGCTAGAGATCCTAGGGAGAGATGATGTCGGGTTGAGAATAATTTGCTGTTCCAGTTGTTGGATTTCATAAACGATGCGTGAGGTCCATTACTCCACACCTGCTCGGGAAAACGACAGAGCCAAAAAGGGATGGAAACTACCGTTTCAGGTGTTCGAATTCCACGGATGATGTTCGGACAAGTGTTCACTATCATCATTATGAACCGAATCTGGCCGTTACGGCATCAAATAAATGGTTTTTATGACATGAATGTTGGTGACGAGCCGTTTCTGGGGAGAGAGGAGGGCTTCCTACCGTTATAGGTGTATCTCCGCCAGCCAGCCCAGGCTTCACCCTGAAATGCCAAGCTGATGAGGACTTGGGGTAGCTACCTGGGTATTGAGAAAGGAAGCCGAAGAGATCTTAACCGAGGGCGAGTTGGATATAAATTTTCTTTCAACGTGTGTCCCGGTTTAGGAGCGGGAGTGTAGATAGGGGCGTATCGATTGCGGAATGCGATGTATGATGATGTAGTCACATATCACATATTTTTATCCGTGCCAGAACTCCCTGAGACTAGTAAAATAATATTGACGGCTATTGAAAGCTGATAACTGCTTTATAGCATGTTCATCTTATGTACTTCCTAAACATATTTGGTTGGAAGACTGAGAGCACTATAACGAGTGTACTTTCAGCTGACTAATTTTAATTCTCATTGATCATTGGATTAAACTAAGCAGCGTACCTGAAACAGCTAGTCGGCAGCGTTGGCTCTATGCAATTTAGGTAGGTCCAACTTCCCAAGCCGATATGACATCTCCGAGTTCCGTGAACAGCTCAACCACCAAATAAATCCAAACAATCTTTCATTCGATACTAACACGTATTTCCGTACATCTAACTACAATTTCAACGGCATCGCTCTGACAGACTGCACATAGCCGCAACACCTAAATACCGCATACCACATCCCACACTCCCTTTCCGCGATCCTAGATCACCAATTTCTCCGCACACCTCCGCCTTACCGAACATTTCACCCCCAGAGAGGCCGAAGAAGATTGCTCCTTTCTGGAGCTCTTTACAACCACCATGTACGTCAGGATATTCTAAGGCTATTGTGTATAAGCAGGAGAAACCCTTCCTTTGCTAATCTCCCCGTTTCTAAGGGTCGTCTACACTCTCATAATCATAAACAAAGCGGGCGGTCTAATATACCACCGTGAGTTCCAATCAGGACTACTGAAACTGTCAACGAATGATTATCTGGTGCTGGCGGGGACGTTTCATGGGTGCGTATAATGGATACACAAGAAGAAAAATAAGACTGACTTCATACATCGGAACTACAAATCCTGCTCTTCACCCCCTACCCCAAGACCTCTTGATCCCCTCTGTGCACACCCCTCTTTAGATGAACCACCCAGCTGACTTCTCCCTTCTCACAATCCCCCAACAGAATCCACGCCATAACCCGCTCTCTCACCCCGCGCCTCCCCACAAACTCCACCACCCTCACCTCAACCCCAACCACCACAACCCCTTCAAACACCCTCGCAGCCTTCACCTCTTCCACCATCATGACCTCCCAAATCTCCCACACCTCCACCACCACCACAGCCGCCACCGGCGGCACCGGCGGCACCTCCTCCTCCACGACAACTCCCACAGCCACGCCCAACACTACAATCCCCAACCCCACCCTCCCAACCACCGGCATCGAAGTGCTGGAGACCGAGAAGTTCCGCCTAACATGTTTCCAGACGGTGACGGGGACGAAATTCCTGCTCTTCACGGATCCGCTGATGGCGAGTGTGGATATGATTATGAGGAAGATTTATGAGTTGTATGCGGATTATGTGATGAAGAATCCTTTTTATCAATTGGAGATGCCTGTAAGGTGTGAGGCGTTTGATAGGCATGTTACGGGGTGGGTTAAGGGGAGGGGGTAGGATGAGGAAGGATGGGATGGGATGGGACGGGATGGGTGGAAGATGCAGGTTGCATATCAAAAATAAGTAACGCTTTATGATTGTGTACGGTGGTGTTTCTTGGGCGGTTGGTTGGGCGCATATACCCCCCCTTGAGGTTTATGGATGTGGGGGAACTTCGAATCCTCAATTTTTTTTTCTTTTTCTTTTTGTTCTTCTTTGAACATGATGTTAAAATGCTTTTATTAAGCTTAGATTTAGTTAAATAGAGGCTTGATTTATGTGATAACCTAGTATCTGGAATGGCATGACGGGATAGATATGTGGCGTTGCGCTGAGTCTATGGTTTACAGAACTGACACCAATAATGCATCGAGTCAAAAAGGAACCGGGAATTAGATCTCTAGAAACAACGATAACAAAAATAAAAAGGCCATAATAAAGAAAACAAAAAATAGCCATCCACTTCCTCACGCCGTATCCATCTTATCCCCACCATTTCCCTTATCTCTATCATCTTTCTTATCTTCATTGGAACCACTTCGACTCGGCTCCCCATTCTCATCAAGGAGAGGTTGCGACTCGCCGCCCTCCTCCGCTATCCCTTCAAGAGCAACTTTCTCCTTCTTCTCCTTCTCCTCCTTCTCCTTCCTCTCCTTCTCTATGCGCGCCTGCTCTTCCTCAAGAGACATCCGTAGTGCAAACGCCAATTCCGGATCAGCGGCAGGATCAAAGCCAATATCGACACCACCTTCGCCTTCCTCATCGCCCCCTCCCCGACCAATCCCCGTGCCATCACCGCCTAGAATCGGAGTCGCAACAAGCGAGTCACTAAGAAGGTTTGGACCGGGGGGTATTACGGCAAGATGGGAGCCATCGGCGCCATTGACGTTTTCGTTAAAAGCCTCTAGTTTCTTAATGGTTTCGTCATCCAGGTCCCCGAATGCCACGAAGTCTACGGAGACGTTGTACTTTTTCATTCGTTTGGCGAGTTTGATGAGGATCTTTTCATCTTCGGCGATGGGGGAACAGGTAAAGACGATAATTCGTTGACGTTGGGCGCGTTCTCGACGGTGTTTGAGGGCTAGCTGTAGGCGGGTTTCAATCATGAATTGTAGCGGGTTAGAAGGTGTTTTATAGATGCTAATAGAAGTAGATGGAAGAAGATGGAAGGGATAAGGGGATAAGGGGATAAGGGGGTGTGGGTGTGGGTGTGTGCGGATGTTGAGGGTGGCACATGTGCTTACACCGGCAACCTGTATACTGGAGACAAGATGAGCCTGTCCCCGGATCTTCGTTCGATGCAGCCCGTCTAGAATCTTCCCTATGTCCGCTGTCAAGGTGACCAGTACTTCTGGGCCTTTCCCGGCCATACTCATCAGCCCGACTGACGATTCGGGGTTGGCTTGTGTCTTTGCGGCGTGAATTAGGTTGATAGCGTCGGCTTGGGCTTGAAACCGGGTGGGACTGTTTTGTTTGCCGGTTAGATTCAGAGGTTCATATACATAGCTGCTCGAAAGCGCGCTGGGCTTCTTGAGGGAGAGAAACGTACAGGTAATCACCATTCCTACTGCTCTCACTGTTATCGACGCTGTTGGGGGTTGAATTTTTCTATATTAGCTGGTAGCTCCGGCGGGCTGGTATTGGGGGAGATTAGCTGACGGACATGATCATCGTGGCCTCGAGCACCATCTTTGCTGGGGAGTGAGTGCTCCCGGCGCTGTTGTTTCTTTGGGGAAAAACGGGATATGGCTTTGGATGTATACGATGTGTATGTGAGATATGTGATCTCTCTAGGGCATAGAAATATATTAATTTGTATGCGGAGGTGGAGTTTGATGAATTAGGTAATACTGTATGTGAAGATGGAAGGAAGCTCGTGGCTGGTGATGCAGCCAGCTCCTGTCGTTTCTGGCGGGAATAGATTTCTGTCTAGATTGGGTTAGCGCCATATGCAGCAAATGGGCTCCATACAACGACGACAAACACGCATTGGAGATGAAGTCGCTTTCTCTCTCAAGCAAAGCTATGGGCTTTCGAAAGTAAGACTTAAAGGGCCCTGTATGAATCAGATTCTCGTCCAACTTTCGAGTGACATGGAGACGATTCGAGTCAAAAAAGCGAAGTCGAACCTGAGCCCAATTAGTGATGACATAATACATCACGAAACCAGGGGCTTGGAAATGCTCTGCGGTTGTTCCACACTAGCTTCTTCTGATTTGTTTACATAGTCCCATCCACACGTCTAATGGTTTCAACGTATCGTTTTCCTCGTCCAAATCACATCTGACTCCCACACGATAAAAAGAACGTGCTGCTGCAATAAAAATATAGTAAAAAATGGCAACTGTTTCTAAAAAACGCAAATCCCCCGGGCCTAGCAGCAACCACACGTTCGACCACGATGACAGTCCTGCGCCGCGAACGCCAACAGGAAACCCAACCAGGAAGAGACTCAAAATCACACATAACCAGAAACAAGCCCTAATAGATAACCTACAACTGGAAAGTATGTTATGGGCGATTCACTTCCCTGCTCTTCCCATTTCAAAGGGGGTATCGACTAACTGAAATCCAATAGTCACTGAACGCGCGAGAAAACTACGTGCACAATACGCGTTACAAGCACAAGACCTCCGCGGACGGATTGAGAGACGCATAAACCGCATACCCATGGCTCTACGAAAGGCCAATATAGGTGAATTGCTTGCAAAACACTCAGAATCAACCAATGCAGATGACGCAGTGAAAAAGTCCAAAGCAACTGCCAAATCAAGCAAGGCCACTGCAACCTCAGAGACTGGCAATGCTGCTGTGTCCACCACTCGAACAACTCGGGGGGTCAAGCGGACAAGGTAATTTTATTTTGGGTTTGAGTCCGCCTTTTTAATTAAATAATTGTACTTCCTAACTGTGGTCAGCGATGTAATGCTCGCGTCCGATAAAGAAAACGCTCCTTTCCAAGATCCTGTGCATGTGCCGCTATCAAACCCGAAGAAGCGGGGCACGCCTAATGCACACCCAGGCCATCCTCGAGTTCTATCTCAGTTCACAGAGACGGGCGTCTTGTCGCCGAAATCTTCCAATTCCAGGACATTCCCGCAATCTCCGCTGCGCAATGTAACTGGCAAATCACAACAGCATCTTAGCAATTTGCGTCCGTCATCGCCTCTGAAACCCGCGAGTTGCATGAAGTCAGCGGGTCCTGGTTTTGTGGCCATGGTTGAGAATGCAAGAACAAGAGCCACGAGAGGTGCTGCAGGAGCTGGAACAAGGAAGGTTTCGCCCAATAGCGACGCAACTGGCACGCGGAGGAAGACTACTGCCAAATCCACTGCATCCACAACTACAACCAGAGCGCCCCCGTCGCGCCCTACTACGCGGCAAAGGAACACGAGGAGGAATAGTGCGGACTCTACGGCTTCTAATACGTCGTCGGGAACGACGGTTGTGAAGATGATGAGAAGGGGCACGGCGGGGTCCCAGAAGGCTTCTGCAGCAACGAGTAAACGAGCTGCTGTCCCGCGTGGCCAGGCTCCGACTGCAACTTCCACTGCTAAGAAAGCGAGCGCGGCTGCGGCGAAGACACTGGAGACGACGGAATCGGCTGGGACCAGGAAGAGGGGACTTAGGAAAAGATCTTGAGGGTAGGGTTGGTAGTGCTTTAATAAGGCAGAGCTTTTGCTACTTTATGACTCGATCGAAATAGAGGGTTCTTTTCTCTCTCCCCTTCAGGATTCGTGGATCGCATGGGGGTTCAGTATATTTTGCGGACAGGAATAAGATAAAAGAGGATCTTTTTCTCTTTTTGAAACAGCTGGCCTGTCTGGACTTGTTGGATTATTTTTTGATTTGTTGTGGGTTTATTGATTAAGGTTTCTGGGGTTTCATGGGAATCATCCGGGCTTTGCGGAATCTTTTCACTCCGATTTGATAATTAGGTACCATACTTTTAAACTAACTAGTTATGTACTAGTTTATGAACTCAACTTCTCTAACATTTCTTGTTTCTCCTTGCGTTTTAAGTTCTTAAAGCTAAAAGTTCAACTCTGCTGAGATCTTAAACTGTTCCTTGTTCCCTGTACCTTGTCCACTTGTTTCTATATTTAACTTCTGTATGTCCGGGTGGTTGGTGAATCAGTAGAGATGAGAGGCATGGGTTTTCTGAATCGGGATAAAATGGGGATAGACATGCGGGCAGTTCGGGGGTTACAGTTGAACGTGGTATTACAAAAGAGGTTGACTGTGTGGTTCAAAAGCGGGGCACCACTCTTGTAAAACAAGGTCAACTGTACCTCCCGGAAAAACCTTCCGTGTTGGTTGTTGATAGTTAAACCCTGACGACCCCAACCACTCAAAACTACCGTACATTAGTCATTGCCTGCACAATCTCTATAAGCTCTTGGTTGGTGGAGATTTTGCCCTTGGCCTTAACTAAGCCTAATCCTACCCCCATAACCCACCCCCTCACCCTTAGTGGAGGTTGAATAGACATTTTTATTTGTGGTGAATGTGCAGAGTGTTTTTTCAACAGAGAATTGTGTTACAGAGCTGATCATGAAAGTATTGGGCCCCACTTTTACAACCATGTTCACCTCTTCAAACCCATTCAACTGTGCTCCGTATCTCCACACACACACACCCCACATATTACTAATACAACTCTATTCAACACCGGGGTTAAGGGTAGATTAGGGGGTTTTAGGATTTGGGTTAGTTTAAGGCTAAGGAACCTGTGAAGTATGATAAAAATCACTAGCGTCAAGGAGCATATAGAGATGTGTGTGAGATCCCCTACGTAGTTTCAATGGAGGGTGGTCACTGTTTATAGCATTAAACCGCCAACGGCTTTTCCAGCCGAATTTTAAAACCTGTTCAATTGTATTCCTGCACACTGAACTGGCCACATTGGGATTGGTCGGCTCTGGGGTAATATAACGCATAGTCAAGGTATATAAGGAAGCTTTTCTTATCATGTATATGTTGTTTCTCTGTAAGAAGGTCAGTGATGGGATCTGGATCTCTCATCTCCAGGGACCGAGTATATATGGTGCCTGGGATTCAAGATAGGAACGGGACAGTCTAGATATTCGCAGTGACCACGGGAATAACTAGAGTAGCTATCCAATTCCTTCAGAATGTTTTGATAGGAATGATAAAAGAGGTCCTGCAGCGTGCATGACAAACATCATCCATCCATACTCGTCTCCCCACACTGCTTTTTTTAAACACACCCAATCTCTACTAACTAATTTTCGCCAATTGAAACCTCCCCTCCTCATCTTCCATCTTCTTCTACATTATTGATCTTCCACGTTGAAGATGCAAGATGGTGGCAGTCCCAGGTGCAACTTCCCAGGTCACGTGCCGCCCAGCGCTGCCCAGCCTCCAGCCTCAAGCCTCCAGCCTCAGGCCCCAAGCCCCAAGCCCCAAAGGCCAGCGACAACCCAAAGACAAAGAACAACCAAAGACAACCAAAGAAAACATCCGTCCGTGAATTTCTTTAGGGGGCGTCAATCAAACAACAAACAGCCCGTGCCAGCAATCAACCAACCTCTGAACCTCTCCATCATCTCTCCTCCCTCTCCCTCTCCTCACTTCGGTTCAAAACAAGTGGCTCTTGTTTGCATGTGGTCTGCCCTTTGCTCTTTCTATCGCTCTCTCCTTTCTTTTTCCTTGCTCTCTCCTCTACCCGCTACCCGGTCGCGTCTCCCGCCTCCACGGCATTCACGATTCTGCTTCTCGTCCTGGTTTGCTGATGCACCAGGGGATGTTGGTCAATTATCTGCGGGCCAAGCTGCTTCGCTGCGTGTTGGTCGCTCTCTGACTCGCCTGGCTACACCCCAAAAAGTCCACCACGTCTCTTGCTGCTGCACAGCCTAACCCATCACCCCACACCGTTTTATTATAATCCCTGCCAATTTGAACCACCCTCGTCAGATGCTCTGCCTCTTGAGGCCTCCTTAACCTTATTTTTCTGCGCAGCTTTGCTGCTACAAGGCGTTCGGGCGCTGCTGTCTCCGATTGTCTTCACTCTTTCTTGTCTTTCGATAACTAATAACTCTCTAGCGCTGGTGGTGGCTGGTCTCGTTTTCCCGCTGGAGGGAAGCCCGACTAAATATACGAGGTCGAAGTGAAATTGATCATCCATCTCCTAACAAGCCCATCCTCTCCAAAGCTCTTCCCCACGACAAGCCTTTTGCGAATTCTTTTCAATCATCCAGTTTAATCTTCTGGCCTTGATACTTCTATCCTCCCTCACGATATTTTACTGTGATACCCGCTGTGTTCTCTCCCAATAGCCTTTTTCTCTTTCACCGTTTCCTAGCAGCGTCGTTTTGCCAAGGTTCCCCCCCACCCCCGCGTTTCCTTCTTCTTCACTTTCTCGCCTACGAATCCTCAGCCTAAGAACTATCTCGACTCTACCTTCGAATTTAAAAACACATCCTGCAGCGCATTTGGTGGATAGGAGAGAGATTTGCATGAGGTTTTTGCTTTTGTGTGAAAGGATCAAATAATCAAAATCTACCTGGGCGGGCGTGGAGATGCCTCCTGCTGACCCGCGTGCGCTCCCTCCAGACCTAATCCCAGGCAATGGGATTAGGAATGGAGCCCAGCAGCCCGCAAATCTAGGTGACCCGGGCATGTACGGCGAAACCTGCCAGACCCATTCCCCAACCGATGTTCCAAGTCCTTCCGGCGGTGGGACAGGGACTCCGTGGAACAACTCACCGTCCATTGGCGGCGGTGCCTTCGATAGCGACACTTACCATGCACCTAATATTCGCACAGGCCGGGGACAACATTCCTCTCATAATCAACAGGGCGGACCAGGCACACGTGATCGGTCATTTCAGAATGGAGGATCCGGCAGCAAGTCTCCTGGTGGCAACTCCAGGACGTGCAGAAGATGCGAGGAACCGTTACAGGGTCAGTTTGTGCGGGCATTGGGTGGTACATTCCATCTAGAATGTTTCCAGTGCAATGTAAGTTAGCTATCTTCTTCCTTTCTAGACTGCTGCACTGATATGCCTGCCTAACCTAACCTTTTCATAAAATAGGACTGCGGTGATGTCGTCGCGTCTAAATTCTTTCCGCTTGATGCTGAGGATGGAAGTGGTCAGTATCCCCTCTGCGAGACGGATTACTTTCAACGCCTGAATCTTCTCTGCTATGAATGTGGTGGTGCTCTCCGCGGGTCATACATTACTGCCTTGGATCGCAAATACCACATCGAACATTTCACCTGTTCCGTCTGTCCAACTGTCTTTGGAGCACAGGATAGCTATTATGAGCACGAGGAAAAAGTCTATTGTCATTATCATTACTCCACCCAGTTTGCGCAGCGATGTAATGGCTGCCAAACGGCTATCTTAAAGCAGTTCGTCGAGATCTTCCGCAATGGCCAGAATCAGCACTGGCATCCGGAGTGCTATATGATTCACAAGTTCTGGAACGTCCGGCTTGCTCCAAACGGCCAGGAGTTTGTCCGTCCAGAACTAGATATCGAGGCGACGGATGAGGATCGTGAATTCATCAGGAAGCAAGAAGATAAGATGGAGGAGAAAGTCTACCGGATTTGGAGCGTGCTGTCCACTTTCGAAGAATCCTCTGCTGCTTGCATATCGGACATGTTATTACATGTCAGTAATGGCGCTTACGTTGATGGCGTGGTCGTTGCGAAACGGTTTATCTTCCATGTGGATGTCCTCTTCAAAGCTCTGGATAGCCTTGCTGTTGCTATATCATCTAGAAAGATGAAAGGTAAGTGCTGAGTGCCAGCTGCTTGCTCTTAACTGTTTGTCATTCCAACGATCTAATCAACCCGAATATTGTAGATCTGGCTTATGGTCGAGAAGCAAAACTTCTTTGCAAAAAAATTGTCGCATTTTTCGCATTACTTTCCAAAACTCAGGAGACCGGTGTTCGGAAACTTGGTGTCACACAAGAGCTACTTGCACTTGTGACTGGCCTTGCCCATTATTTGAAACTTCTGATTCGGATCGGCTTACAGGGAGCCTTGAAATTGGAAAGGGAGAGTGACAACCCGGACGAGCTGTACACATTCTTGGAGAAGCTTGACGCCTTGGGTGATGTGGACGCTATTTCGGCTGCCAATCTCACAGATTCCATGTCACGCCTCTCGGACCAGCAGTCCGATTGCTGTGCTGCCTGCAAAGACCCCATTGATGACGAGTGTATCATTCTGGGACAGCGAAGATGGCATTTAAAACCCCCCCACCTTGTCTGCGGTGCTTGCCAAACTGACTTGACGGTGGACCTGTTGGATGCACGGTGGAGTGAGGAAAAGGATCGACCGTTCTGCCGTACATGTGCTGAACACAAAGGCCACGCTCCAGGTGGTAAAAAAGGGTTTTCCTATGTTACCAAGTTGCAGCAGTATGTTTTCCTGCTGCAGGTGGCTCTTGCAAGGCTGCTCTCTGTTTTACGGTCGGGTGGCACTCTGCCACATACGTCAGGTATTTTATCATCCATTCTCATTTTTCTTGAATATTTTGAAAAAGGGAGAAAGAAAAAAAAAAAAAACAATAAAAGAAAATTAAAAAAAAAAAAAGGAAAAAAAGAAAATATATGGACCTGTTGCTGACTCCTTTGAATCCAGACGATCCGAATCTGAAGAACTATGAAGCCAATGATGGTCATAGGATATCACCCAGCGGGGAACTCCAGACCCCTCAGCGATCGAACACTCGATCGAGATCCTACGGGGCAGGCGTGTCAGATGAGAACACTGGATCATCCTCCCTGGAACAAACAGTTGGTGAGATAAAAAGACTCCATTCAACCCGAACGGAACGTACACTCTCCACAACGTTTAAGAGAGCTCGAGCTTCGCGGATCATCGATGGTCCTCAGGGCAGATCTGCACGACCAGGTTCACCCAGCACCAGTGGACCGGAAGTTAAGAATCCAGGCTTCCAGATCGTTGAAGAAAAGGATGCCGCTGGCGAATCAATTACAGATCTGACATTTGGAAACCAAGACGCACTAACCTTGGATGATATTCCGAGGATCGTAGCTGCTGAGCAAGCAAAGGAGCAGCGGCCTAATGCATTTCGTCATGCAGGGACTAGTCTTGTTGGAGCTGGTGGGCGGCCTGCCAAACTTGTAAATGGTCACAAACGGGAGGTGTCCGGTCCTGGAGATACTAGGGGTGGCACAGCTCCAAGAACCACGAAGTACTTTTCGGAATTGTCTGCGCTGGAATACTTTATTGTCCGCCACGTTGCCGTTCTGTCTATGGAACCTCTTCTTGAAGGCCATTTCAATCTGGAGGAGCTTCTTGGGCTTATTGAGTCGAGAAAGCCTACTATCTGGAACATATTTGGGAGAGCGTTTAAGAACGATGGCCGTAAAGGTGGTAAGAAGAAGGGTGTCTTTGGCGTCTGCTTGGATGCGCTTATTGAGAAAGATGGGACAGAGTCAACACATGGCGTTGGTCCTGGTACCTTGCGTATACCTACTTTCATCGATGATGCCATCTCTGCCATGCGACAGATGGATATGTCAGTCGAGGGCGTTTTCCGGAAAAATGGTAACATAAAACGACTCAAGGAGACTTCGGAGATTGTAGATACGAGGTATGAACAGGCGGATTTTAATAAGGAAAATCCTGTTCAGATTGCTGCGTTGCTTAAGAAATTCCTTCGGGAGATGCCTGATCCTCTTCTCACGTTTAAATTACATCGTCTATTCCTTATTTCCCAAAGTAGGTTGCTTCTTCATCCATTTTTAAAGGGAAACAGCACTTTCGTTGCTCTTTTTTAATTGGCTCCTGACAATATCATGCAGAAGTATCGGATCCCGAAAAACAACGGCGGATTCTCCACTTGACATGTTGCCTGTTACCCAAAACGCATCGTGATACCATGGAAGTTCTCTTCTCATTTTTGAACTGGGCTTCATCTTTCTCCCATGTCGATGAAGAATCCGGAAGCAAAATGGACGTCCACAATATCGCAACTGTTATGACTCCTAACATCCTTTACGGTAGAGAGAAATCGGCGGGTATGGAGGATAGCTTCTTGGCAATCGAAGCCGTCACTACATTGATAGAATACAACGATAGCATGTGTGAGGTGAGTGGTAGCAAACCCGCCGAAATGTGCATGCGCACCGTGTTCATCAACCTAATTTTCTTCTTTACCAGGTTCCACAAGACCTCCAATCCATCCTGACAGACTCGACTCTTTTCAACGGCAGCGCCGAAATCACAACGAAAGAAATCCTTAAAAGATACGGGGATATAGGCAAAATAGCCACTCCGCAACGAGCACCTACCACCGTGGCAGCTACCCCAGTACGAACCGGGTCAGGTCGTGCAGTAAACCCACCCGTCGCCACGCGAATTGACAAGGATCCATCTCAAGCCAACGCATGGCAGATGCAGAGCTCCGTTCGGCACGTACAGCCGCCTGCACCTGGAGCTCCCTCACAAGCACAGGGTCCAGTCTCACCACAGCAGGCGTCATCGCCGCCTGAATATGATTACGGCAGTCAACGCCCGCCTCAGTTCCCTGGCCGGAGTGCCAGTGGAGATTCGTATACAAGCCAGGGCCCATCGGGCCAGCCGGTGCAACAACTGAATCCGCAACAACAGCAGCAGCAAGTGGCGTCTAGACAGCGACCAGCTGCCGCTGCTGGTCCCATGCTTTAACGCTCCGCTGATATTTTTTTTTTTTTTTCTTTTTCTCTTTTCCCCTTCAACTACTCCTGTGCGCGAGGTGAATTATTTCTAACTTCTGCGACATAACCGGACGAACCTATATGGCCTAGCTATCATCACCACGTGTGTCTTTTGGTTATAATGGGAGTTTCTAATTGGAATTTCTTTCCTCTCTTTGTTTCCTCTTTTTTCGCTTGAATCAGGAATGAATGGTGTTGAGATCTGTTCTCCTCTGTTATCCTGTTTTATATTAATTTGTTTATTTTTGTTTTATTTTATTTTATTTTTATTTTTTGCGAGCGTCTCGTTGCAGCACAGGAAAAAGACCCCCTTTTTTTTTTTTTTTTTTTTTTTTTTTTTTTTTTAATTAAACTGATCTGACAGGTCTGGCTGGTCTGGCGGTGAGGAAGAAAAACGAAAGAAGAAAAATTAAAATATTGGATGGGACCTGATCATCAAGTCCCCGTGTTTGTGAGCGTTTTCTGCTTCTTATCTTTTCTTAACGCCAAGCGTTTACATCTTACGATTACTGCGGTACATACAAACATATCTCGCCTCCTTGTTGTGCTCCAACTTTCTACTTACCCCCGGGAATCATGAATTTCCATTGCCAATTCACTCACCTCCTCTCAATACCCATTCTGAATGAAGTAGTAGCTCTTATATTTTCTCTACTCTCTCCATTTTCTCCATTTGAATGCTTTTGGCTTGACACTGGTGTTACACTTATTTCCTCTTTTTTACCGCCATTACTTTGATTCTTTTAACTCTTCTTATTTATCTCTTCTTGGCCCTACCCAAGTTTACCCTATCCATCATGATCCCTTTTGTTCCTCTTTTCTTCTCTTCACATTCCAGCATATCTTTTAAGAATCGAGTTTGCTATTACTACCCTGCTCTCACATTTGGTTTGACTGATTGACATTAGGTCATGTTTGCTTTGCACTATTCGCCGCCTAATGACCACTGGTGAGCATGGAGCGCTATTTCCCCCAATTTTAACATAATCTCGGCCATTACTTTATTCCCTTGTCTCCTATTCGCTTTTTTATCCCAATTTCTATCTTTTTTGCTTTTTCATTTCCGTTTTTCTTCACCTCTTTTTCTTCTTCCAAAGTCTATGCAAAAAAATTCATTTAATATTCATCAACGTATCTTCTATACGATTATTTATTTATTTTTTAGACCCATCCTTCATCTCCCGGGCTTCTGCGCCCATTTCTAGTATATCCGTGTTTTATATACCATTAGCTTGATTAAAACAAGTTGTCTTCTGGTTTTTACTTCACTACCTATGTTTCCCGATGTTTCCCGTCTTTCGCGTGCTATATTAGGCATCCTTTCTGCAAGATAAATTTCATTTGCCTGTCGACCAGTTCCAAGGATTAGAAGTATCTCAACTGTTCTTCTGTATTAATCTTTTATATCACGTGATATGAGACTAAATGTGAGCTACGTTAAGAGCGAAATTGTTTGGGCGTGGGCGTAGGCGAGAGCGCCGTTCGCCCCCAGTGGCCTCCCGCACGTGATTCTGCGTACCATGTATATTGGCTGCTAGCTTTTCCTCCCAATACGAGATCAACCATCACACAGAAATTGAAACATAAAGAGAGCTTTTCGCTACGCAGCGAAGATTCACCAGCCTGGAGGAAGGATGAGCTAGGCCTAAATGAGGCTAGCGTGTGACATGTAGGGCTAGCGTGAAAAAGGAAAAAGCTTGCGCTCTCACACTAAATTATGTAGCCGCACTAGTCCCAAAGCAGGTTCCGCCCATGATCCCTTTCAGAATCAATCTCCTCGACTTCCAATCTCCAATTCACTTCACGTAGCAAGGGTTTTTACCACCAGAGGCAGCAGAACCAGGCGACTCCGCCGCGAAAGGAATAAAAGTGAACAGTACTCACTTTCAGTGCTATAAACGGATACATAAATATCAACTCTCGATTTCCCTCCCACTCTCAGCAAAGGGCAGTGACCGCGATAGCCAAAGAAAGATACCAAAATGACAACCTCCTCCTCCACACCTCTTCCAGACCCCACGCATCGAAAGCGCGAGCTCCCCCAGAACGAGTTGGAAGCCACCTCTCAGCTTAAACTGGGCGAATTTCAGAACGTGCCGACTCTCTCGTTATCGGAGGCCCGGTTGGTTATTAACAAGGTGCTAGATCTGAGAAGGAAGGGTGAACATAAGTTTGAGGAGAGGGAGTATGTTGCTCCTCCCTATCTTACATCTAGCCTTTCTTGGTATTTTCATCTTGACTTGGGGTGTTCTGTTCGTTGGAGGGATAGCGGATGGAATGAATTTTGCACATGAAAGCCCAGCTAAATGAGTGTACAACACGGGCGTGCTTTGCTAACCTTTACACCCTGAATTTAGGACACTGGTTAAAACGCAAGATTACCTGGAGCTCTTCGCACGATTCAAGGAGAAGGAAAACATCGAAGCTGTTGAACGTCTTCTGTCTGCGCACACCGAGCTGGAATTTTTTGAGAGGTCGCAACTAGGTATATGCTCTTTGCCTCGTAAAGATATTATCCAAAAAATAAATAAATAAATAAATAAAAATTCTAACCGTTGCTATAGGAAGCCTCTGCTGCAATGATGCCGAAGAAGCCAAGTCCCTGATTCCTAGCATAGGGAACAAAATCTCAGACACCGAACTTCAAGAGCTCCTGGATGAATTGACGAAACTGAGAAACTTCGTGGAGTGAGAGTCACAGAAAGCACTGCGTTTAGAGAATAAAACCTTCTGTTGAGTGAATGAAGATGATGAATCCAAATGCGCGACCGGGCTCATCCTCAAGTTCTGTGAAGTGCGGCGACTGAGGATGTGATTGATAGCTTTGACTTCCGAAAATCCGTTCTATTTTGCCCACGTCTTACCAACGATACGTGTCCGGATTACATAGCTTACCTAACCCTTGGCGAGCAATGTAACTACAGAAGACAACTTCGCAAATGCACTAGCTCGTGGGAATTTCATCATGCCTTCCTCGATTGGTCGGTAAAATCTTTAACACTGTGGGTTATTATTGGATCCATCTGCCGTTAACTGGGTTGCAGCACGGTTCCATACTATTGAGAGCCTAGAACAAGGAAATGAATGGTGTTGGAAATAGGAACGGGTGCGTTAAAGTAATGGATTGACGAATCTATTACTACCACAGCGAATGACGATTGCATAGCACTTTTCCTTTCCATTCTCTCCTGACTATGAAGTGTCTTTGGGTAGATGCTCAAGGGATATTCAGGACAAGAAACAATCCGTCCTAGATGATCTAGTCGGTCATTTCCGACCTGATGAGCGACAACCCGAAAAAGGATTTGTGTGTGCGGGATATCTAGTATTTATGAAAGGAGTAAACGAGTATTCCTTTGTGTCTATAACCTCTGTATAATACAAGTGTTGAATATAAAAAAAAAGGGTTACGCAAAAGTTGCCTCCAGTTCTTGAAATGCCAACTAGAAATATGAAAAGAGGTAATGCTCCCCAAAGGAGCTGTCCATGTCTATTATTATTAAAATCTTATATGCATGACCACCATGGCTCACCATTAAGCCTTCTTAAACGCCACCTCAGCAGGTAATCTAAAGCTGGCGCAGAACATCTTCTTCGTCGGCGACACAAGTCTCACATCCCGAATCTCCAGCTCCCGCTCCTTATCCCCAGTGCCACCTTCACAATCCTCAGGTGAAATTGTGTATCCGATCCTTTCAGAAATACGCTGACAAATGTCCTTGTGCTCGACCGCCTCATCCTCACTGTTCGTCGAGAAGCAATAGACATGGATGAGTGGAAGTTGGCGGTTGGTATATGGCTGAAAAAGTTCTTGTAAGCCTGCGTAGACGCCAATAAAGGCGTCGAGGAACTCGATGGCAGTGGCGGGGAGGTTCATGACAAAGTGGTCGAAGGTTCGAGGACATTTTATGTACTCAGTGACGAAAGATTTTGGTTTTCGTTGGCGGATTTCGGCGTAGTCTTCGCGCTCAGCTTTGGGTATCTTGATGCGGTGTTTGACGGTTCGCGGGTACTGGTTACAAAGATGTTCAATGGCATAGCGGATGAAATCACGACCGTTCATGTTGTAGGCTTGTACGAATTCTGCGACTTTGTTCTTTGCAATGCCATGTTCCAAGCACTGGTAGCCGTAGGGGTTCAGATCATTGGCCCAGGCGAAGACCTGCTTCTTTCCTGCGGGGATCGAGAATGGACCCACACCAGCCATGACGTCGCAGACAGCTTCACCCTTATTGAATTTGTTGACAATGCGCTCATGCTCAGTGCTGAGGCGGGTGTTCCAGTAGACTTTTGAGTAGTCGAAGGCGAAGTCGCAATCTTGCTCGCGTACATTAACGAACATGTCGTCCTCTCCTGCAAGCACTTCGTATCCGAAGGTGCGGAATTCGCTGTGCGACCCGACTTCATCGGTTTTGTTAATGACTGTTCGAACGTTGCTGTGTTTATCCTTTAGGATTTCTCCAAGCAAATATTTATATGGCAAATATTGCTCCCGAAGATTAAAATGCGCTGTACAAGGAAATTAACACCTGGGGGAATGCAAGATCGAAGCGGAATGTTTTTTGAGAGCGTACCAACATGTCCAACTTGAGAAAAGCCAACGGGAACCTCATCCAACTCAGTATCCGGAAGTATAGCATCAACAATATCCTCTATACAGACACAAAACGAGTATTAGTCACTGTATTTCCCGCTATCCTATCACTACAAGAAAACAGACGTACTGTAGGTGAAATAATCGTAATCGAGTAGTACATTGAACGGATGAACGGATACGGATTTTGCCTCCACCAGCCGCTGAATGGTAGGAGACCAGGTTGTTGTGTCTATTATTCAGGGACGCGGATAGTCAGCATATTGCATAGACAATGCGGCACATAGCCAAAGGGACTTGAAGATATAACGTGAACGAACAAAGATAACATACCATCAGCCTTAATACCTTCTCTAAGCAATAGACATCTCCTCCCTGTCTGCTTGCCTTCTTTGGACCCATACCAATGATCTACAACATTTTCCAACGGGCCCTCCCGCGCGATGCGCACAGGTATAATGCGACTCATAAACATCAAGTCTTTGCTCTGTAACAGCTCATTTTTTATGCTGCCGATAGCCTGTTTGTCGAAGACCGTAGCGGCGGAGAGGGGGATTATTTTTTTGAAAAAGGAGCGGTCGAGGGTCCGCATCATACGGTTAACTGGTGGGCGAAACATGTCTGATTCGGAGTCTGTGGGGCCGTTGGCGGTCGTGTGTGATGTTATAGTGGAAAGGGAGGTCTTTGCGATGGGGTTGGGAACGGTAGAAGGAGTCAAGACGGAGGGAAACTTCGTCGTGGCAATCTGTTCCATCTAAGTTGCATTTATTTTCCTATAATCTGTGTAAAGAAGGCAAAGGGATCTTAGAGAGAGGGTAGAAGACCAGGAGATTCTCTCTTCAAATCAAACCTAGTTAGTCGCAAGGGGAATAAGAGGACGGCAATGGTAATAAACTGTGGTGAGACTGTTATGTGAGCATATATATAAAGCCCCAGCCTAACCACCTGTATATTTTGGGATTGTGATGAAGATTGGGATTGAATAATATATCGGCTGTTCTGGCACTTCATTGAAGCATCTATCCAAAAATGTTGATTGAGTTTTTGACAGAAAAACTCTTTGGTCGACGCGATATCACGTGGTTTATCTTGTCAGTTCTCCACATCGCGATAGGAACCGCGGATTCCAACGTTGTTTTAGTGGGCCAGTGGAGTGGAGAGGTGGAAAGTATGAAACTGAAGGATTGTTGGGGAAATAATATATTTCTTCCGATAAGCTAAACTATGTAGAACTCGGTGTATTCGCTCTGACACACATACATACAACCTGCCGACTCGGGCGGGTCATTGGATGCAAATCTCCAACAGCTGTCAAGCTGAGACGGGCGGGGTATCTCGAACCAAAAGTACCAAAAAAAAAAAAAAAAAAAAAAAATTAAAAGAACAAAAGAACAAAGACAAGCTTGAGAGATAGCACAAACATGTAATCAATAGAGCAAAGTGGCGGAAGCAAACGAGGAATAGCAATACCTCGGCCCAAGTTACCTACCCATCGTCTCCCTGCTCCAACACATCCAGATGATCGTATCTAGGTAGGTCTCTTCTTAACCTTACAAGTCTAAACCCTTCCCTCTCCGCCTCCAGCACCTCAATCCGCGCTTTCAACCGTTGAATCTGTGCATCTCTGCTTTGAATCGCAACTCGCGAAATATCCCTTCCTTTAGTAATCCCCTGGGTCCGCAAATGGTGAGTATTCAGCAGTGCCACCAGCTCTTGCTTCGCAGCCGGGGACATGTAAACTTTGTGTTTGGAGAGGACGGTGAGGGTTTGGGAGACGATTGTGCCTGACTTTTGCCTAGTGGCAGACGTAGTGATAGAGGGAGCGGCTGGGCCGGTAGCCTGAGGTGACCGCTGATTATCGAGGTGAAGAAGAGTTGTCGAATTGAAGCGGATGGGTGTGGGAGTTGACGGGGTTGCAGGTTCGAACGCGTCCGATACCGTTGTGCGAGATGGAGTTGCGCTGGTATTCTGCCTGCACGTAAAAATGCTGCAGATAGTTTGTGGTGATGAGAACCTGGAAGGCGACCGGGGAGGAGAGGATCTGGCAGGTTGATTATGATGCATGAATAATTTAGACGACGAGCTGGTGGGGCCAAATGGATCATTTGGTCGCACTGGATGTGCATTTTGTCGAATATGTACTTCATTATCGTCATCGATATCGGCACCCTCATCGCCGCCCTCGTCGTCCTCGCTGCAAAACAGCCCCTGACCATCCCGAAACCAACCAGGATTTTTACGTGGAGTACTCGGCCGAACATTCTCTCCTTGCCGCGGTTGTTGATGGCCCTGTATTTGCTCCTGCTGTGAGAAATCTTGATTCGATAATTGTTGAACAACGCTCCCTTCCAAATCATCGTCCCAACCAAACGAGCCATCGTTGTCACTTTCTTCTCTCTTAACAGCTATATTTTCATTCATCCTCCTCTTACTTGGTGGCCCTGTCCTTCTCCCACTATCGAAGCCATGGAAGCCATCCCCTTCATAATCCCGAATTCTCTTCCTCCCCGAATTAGGCGTCAGCAATCCCGTCCTGGTATCGATGGAGACCTGAAATAATGATTGCGTTGGCTTTCTGTTCATTAACTTCCGGTTGTCCGTGGACATTATACAGCCTTTGTTATTTGGAGCCGTGCCCGTGCCTGTGCCTGTGCCTTTGCTAATGGGCATATCTTTCGAAACGCTCATCATATTCCCCTCCCGAACCACTGCTTCATCATCCCAAAGGAAAAAGTTACACCGCTTCCCTTGTGGCTTCGAGCATGTATAAACTGTATTTATTAAGATGCAATATTGATAAGCATTCATCCCTTACTTAAAAATGCAGACACGAAACCTAACAGCAGACAAACAGAAACAGCTAACTCACACCACCGTCCATGATTCTTTCCCCCATTCTTCGTCTCGAAATGATCCGCCGGCCGGCGAGGCTCACAGTTACAATACCAAACAGCGTTGACTAATAGCCCGCGGAGCGGGACGGAACTTCTGCGACTAGGGGTGGAAAGGCCCAGCGGGGTGGGGCCGGGTTGGTTATTTGCGTCTCTCGTTGATGGTGTGGTTGGTGGAGGTCTATACATGCTATGTATCTTTTGGCGTGTTCAAGAATGGTCAAGAGGCCAGATCGAGGTGATAAAAAGAAGAAGGGTCAAATGTGACGGATGGGAGGAGCGACAACTCGGCTGGATAGTTGAGAGGCCTGTATATCCCTCAGCCTCACCATCCCGCCATTCCGTACAAAGCAAATAGATATTTAATAATATATCAAAACGAGAAGTCAGATTCAACCCACACAAGAAGTCCACGCACAAACGGCAGTTTGATGTTTTGCTGGCTTGGTGATCTGGGGTTTGTGGACGGTTTGTGGTGGTCAAAGACTTGTTTGTGGAGGTCGTCGCCATGGGAAACCAATTCCCCGGAAAACGTCATTCCCTTGCGCCCAAAACAAGCAATAAACAAAGCCAACCGAGGAACACACTCAACTTAAGGTTATTTTAGCCAAACTCTAAATCAGCCTCAAGACACACTATGTCTTGGCATTAACTGCACCGCGTGAATCATGAGCTCCCCCACGACGTTTCGATTGATAGTCAATACCGTGAAACAGATGAAGCACTCTCAATGGTAGCTATTCTGGTACATTATACATTATGATTGGCAGTAGTATTTACCCATATATACATATGAAGTGAAGCACAAGAAGAAAGTTGACGCCCAGGAAAACCGAAAGTTACCAGGTTTACATTTGCAAATCACACGAAATATACCACTGTTCCCCTGCTCTCCATCTATGCCATGCACGGCATCATGTCTTATTATGATTGCAGTAGGCTAACCGCCACGCTCCGTAATCTATCGGAAATGCATTCAAGAAATACAGAAGCCCTCCCCCGGAGTCCAATCAACAGGACCGCCCAACTTGCAAACAAGAAATTAAAGTACCTATTCCCGAAAACAAATGGGAAGAGTAATATAGTTCTCATAGCGAAAGATTGCATGTGTGCATGAAAATTTAAATACGAGTACACTTAAAGGAAATAGAAGCAGATCACATGTACACAGAACAGTCTATGAAGGTTACAATCATAGAATAAAACCGCAAAGAATGAAGACATTGGAAGCAAGTATAATTACATGATGCAATGGCCGGTGATATTCCAACCAATTAAGGGAAAAAAAACCAATCTGGGAGCTCTGAAGGAAGAAACTCCATGTGAATCCATATGCATTGTCGATGATAAGAATGAACCAACCAGACGCCAGCACATAACTCCCTTGTCGAAAACTTAAATATGAAATCAAGCGAATGATTCCTCGACCCTATAACCAAAACCACACCGACAAACAAAAAGGAAATGGTCGAGGATAAGCCACTTGCCCTCTCTCGATATCGATGTGTAACAAAATTGACATACATTTCCTGTCATTGTAAAAAAAAAGAAAGGGTGGGGGGGGGGGGAGAATAAAAGATACAAGAACATGCAGAAGGATATCCAATTATTCAGCAACCAGAACCCAAAAAATTTCCAAAACCAGAAGGTCAAAGACCAATCCCCCACTACCCAACAAAAGGGTGGCATCGGCAAAGCCTTGTGACAAAAGCGCGCTCACACACAACATAAAAACGCTCTTTAATCATCAAGCACCATTCTCAACATTGCCCCAAATGACTCCCGCAGTTTCAAAATCTCCTTGATCTCAGGCTTAACAGGTTCCCCTGCGGTGCGACGAAGTCTATCCTGGCGCTTTGCGCGACGTTTGCGCTCCAAACGCGATGGGATCCATGTCGTCGTCAGCCGAGTCTTCATCGGAAGTGTTGGAAGTAATGTCATCGATCGCCAGGTCGTCGAGGTCGGCCTGTTAGCAGCGGGAATAAATGGTTAGCCAGAGAACGAATCAAGGAATACCAGAAAGTAAAAATGGAGTAAAGTGACAAAAACAGAGCCAGGAATGGAATGGGATCAATTTATTTTGTATATCCATACCTCATCCAACCCAAAATCACTCCCCCTAAACGTCGCGCTCCCGGGCAGTCCAGAGTCTGACGAACCACCCACCCCCGACCCCTCAGCCGCCATCTTCTGCCTCGTCTTATCGTGATGCCACTTCTTCCGTTCCGCATGCCACTTAACCAGTGAATCAATTTCTCTAATCGCGACCTCTGCATCAATCTGTCCCACATCCACCGCCCCCCTAAACAACGCATTCATATCCAATTTTCCCCCGGTCTGAGGCCCATGGCGCAAAAAATGCAATATATCCTCCAGCCAGGCCATCAGGGCGTCAAAAAGGCCGTTATCATGCAGATGGACCTCGTGGACAAATTTATAGAAGCTGTGCTGGTGGCGGGCGCAAAGGTCTATGAAAGACTGGACAGTCTGGTTGGGGTCTGCGGAGACGTCTTGGCGATGTGCACGTTCAATGACGGCGATGGCATCGTCGGCAAATTCGGCGAAGTCGGTTATGCTGTTGTAGACGTTTGCAGATTTGTAGACGCGGACGAGTGGTTCGTAGAAGATTGTGAAGAGGTCGCGGAATAGTTGAAGGGTGACGGGCTGGCAAGATTAGTATTTTTTTCTTTACTTCAAGGCCATTGGTGAGGGATATTTTCATACTTCTTCGATGATGCTCAGCATCATTGCCTTATCACGTTGTCTAGTTACCATTTTTAGCAGCTGCTTCAAGTACGCAAACCACCGTGCCCCCTGATGCATCTCCAAATCAACCTGAATAAGTAAAACAAAAATTAGCAATATCCCCGACCGATAGAGCATCCCCACGATGAAACAAAAGCTCACATTCTCAACAGTGTTGATCCAAGCAACATAAGAATTGAAAACCTTCTCAATCTGCCCTGGATTAAGCTCCGGTTCAATCAACTCCGACCTCAAAATTGCCACGACGATATCAACATCGTCATCCTTGGCCTCAGAGCGAATCTCATCCTTCACCACCTCATCCGCTTCCGTGAAAGCTCTAAGTTTATTTACAAGAATTGGATCATCGACTTTCGAACTAAGCCCATCGACCGTTCTCTGTAGCGTCTTGATTCCGTCATGGATGGCTAGGGAGAAGATGCGCTGGAGCAAGGACCGAGAGCCAAAGGGTTGAGCGAGAAAGAGATCTAGCACGCCTGACATGACGGCTGCGGGGTTGGCGATGCGGATTACATTTTTCATGAGGGTATAGGGGATTAAGGAGTGGATGCGTTTTGCTTGGGCAAAGAGCTCTGGGGAGTTGTCTTCTGCTAAGAAGAGGTGGTAGACAGTTGCAGCAACCCTGAGAAGGATATCTTTGTTAGCATTCATCCAAAGGATAGGAGAGATGATATATCAAAACACACTCAATCCGTAACCACTCTGCAAACTTCTGATATTGCGGGCTTAATTCTTCAACGGAGCGTTTCGCCCTGATCTCCTGGAACAATTTCGTCAAGCCATCTGCGCAGAAAGATTGTAGTTGTTAGCTTGTTTCATGTCCCGCTTACACATTTTACCGCAAACAAGCAACAAGCTTACTGTTCTCAACAATATCCTGCCGAAACTGTTCCATATAGACATCTAATTCCTGTGCACGCTTCCTCGCAATTTCATAGAACTGTCTCTGCTCCTCTATCCTCTTAGCATCCAAATCCTTCCTCCGCTGGATATCAGTAAGTTCCTCCTCGTTAAGAGTGATAGGGTCAGCCGTGAGGAACTCTTCCATAGCCTTGGATTCCGCAATGCGTGGGTTCTGCAGTAACGTGCGCAGGAATGCACGGAGCGAGACCCTCTGCTCTTCCCGGAATAACATTACTGGTTCAGTAACAAGTTCAGCGGAATTTCGGGGGAATTTCGGTGTCCTGTTGAAGGATGATCGGGAGGAGGAGCGTTTCTGTTGATCTTGTTTCACGTTGAGATTTCGCGAAGAACGGGTGTCATCTACGAAATTGACATCATGTGTTGAATTGGAGGATACCGACGAAACATCATCGTCGCCTCCTAAAAGGAGCGTGGACGAAACGAAGTTCTTGTTCTTCCTGGGAACAGGAGGGAGGATTTTCCCGGGCATTTCGGTATGGAGGCGTTTGTGCAATTTAACAAATTCGCCAAATCGTCGACCGACATAACGGTCTGGCCTGCCATGCCGTCTTACTCTGAGAATGAATTCCTAAAAGGAAACCACGAGAGTTAGAATTATACCACACATATGCTAAAAATATAGAAGTATCTGCCCGAACATACCGCATGTTGATGATACCTGACCGTCCGCTTAACCAGCGTGGTCCGGGCCCCAGCAACATTGACGTCCCAGCCGTGTATGGCGTGGCCTTCGGGAATATTAACCAGCAAACCCTGCTCGTTCGCACCACGATCCACCACCTCCATTTCCGAGAAGCGGATGCGTTCCTCATATCCCGATGCAGTGGGGATACCAGACACCATCATGAGCTCGACCAACTTTTCACATTTCTGCGCCAACTTCCGCCGTTTCGTCTCTTCATATCTATCTTCGCTGGAGGAGATGTGTTTATTTGCGAAAGACTCCAGGAACTATTGTTTTGATCCCCATATATTAGTATAACATAGAAGACGCCCGAGGTAATGTTCCAGTTAATACAGAATTCAAAGACAAGAAGGGACATACCGTCTGCAACTTATCCTGCCAAAACTCCTTCTCTTTCGCCTTATCCAAGAAGGGGAAATTGCGCACATGGTGGACGAAAATGAATCTGAGAATTGGTAGTTCTGAATCTATTGGACGGATCTCTCCGAATTCCGATTTGAAGGGGGCTCCGAAACGGCGAAGGGCAGTGGGGGAATTGAGCTCCGCAATCTCACCGCGGACTTGTAGAGAAATCAATTCGCGTTTCAGGTCTGTTCAGTGTTTTTGAGTTCCAAGACAGTTTGATTAACATTTATAAATATCGAGAAGACAAATGGAAGGAAACGTCAATGGGTTTGTAGTTGTAAAGATAGTACGTACAATGCTCCTGTTTTCCTGTTAAGATTAGGCCTTGTGTGGGGGTTGGGTGGGCTGGTGGTGTAGAGCCTGCATTGGCAGAATTCCCAGTGCCATTTTCCATATTCTGGAGAGGGGAGAGGAGGACTGGTGGCAGGTGGTAAAGGAGATTGTAATGATATGTTGTATTCGGGGGTGTGAGGTGGCTGAGTTCCAAGCCAAAGCTGTTGTGATGGGCCGGTAGAAAGCAGCGATAATGATGATACTAATACAAAAATCTATTCTATTTCTATAAAAGGAGCGTGGCTGGTATGTTAAGTATATGCAAGAAGGAATAAATAAACAGAATCCAGCAGCAAGTCAGTGGGGATACACTGGGCAATTGCAGGACTACCAGTGGTGAAGATGAATTGCGAGGATGGATGCAAGTTCGGTGGTTGAAAGTGGGCTGGCAGGCGGGTTGGAAAGTCAAGATGGAGCTGCGAGCAGTCAACTAACTACAAGAAACACCTGCACACAGAACAGACCAGACAAATGACAGACAACGAGTTCCTGGTGGACCACTTGCGGGTAACAGCTAGGATTCAGAAAAGAAGAGGGAAAACTATCGTCCAGACACATGAACATAGACCAGGACAGGAAGTCATAGTTATCTAGGAACTTGCAGATGATGATGCATCTTCTTATATCCCCCTGTCGCAGTTATTTAGTCTGCATGCAGCCCGTACTCAGCCACAGGGCCCACAGTCTGGAGTCCAGGACATCTCCAAAGAATGGAGTTTTACAGGGAACAGCAGTCAGATAGTTGGGTTGTACTGTTCGGCTTAATCAACAAGTGGCTGGTTCATCATAGTTATCTGTTTGTTCGTGTTACTGTGTCCAACTTATTTAGTTATCCCCACAGCGAACAAAGAAAGCCGTTGTTGATTCCTTTAGTATTTAATTAAAGAACTATGTATTTCCGCATCAGCATCTCACAAAGCATCTCCCACGAATCTCATACGCAACTCCTATTACGCTGCATATTTAACTCCCCTTACATTGGCCATCCCGCCGCCTTTCCCACAAACCACTAGTTATCGGCCTCTTGGCTCTGTCACCTTCTAGCTGAAGCCCAAATCCGGTTAAAAATGTCATCAATTTCAACCCCGCTGCCCGAACCCAGTATATTAACATGAAGAACTGTCTAACCAACCAATAACTAGCTAATTCATTCGCCTCGTCTACACCCACGTCCCCCGTTCACCCTCCCCCAGTGCCCATTTACTTATTTTGGATCCTCCCCGTGGCTGAACTTGATGAAAAAACATCAGGAAGTAACACAAAACAAAACCTGGCCCACCCGGTCCCCCTTCGCCGCCCCGTCAAACTTCAGACCGCATATGGGGATGCTGGAAACAACTGTTCTTTGACGTGAAATAAGATGACACCCTGTTCAGTGGCCCAACCCCAGGAACTTTGACTCCCTGATCGAAAAAGGTAATAATTCCATGAATTCTAAGTAGGCTTGCCATTCTATTATGTATACATGCTTGTGAGGCCAATTCAGCTGCTGCAGCTTTTTCGACTTTCTTGAATTTCTAACTCCTTAGCTCAACTCCTAGTCTTCACAGAAGCTGCTCTATCTAGAGCCTGTTTGATCTTCTCGATATTAGTAAATTTGCTTTTAAGGCTGGACTCCATTCTTTTCTTGGTTTTTGATGTATGAAAGATGACTAGAGAGCTTGTAAATTGTAGCTTTCTGAACTGCTTGCTGAGAATTAACAGTTTTACTAATCATATTAGAAATTTCTACTAACTTTTCAAACATAAGTATTTTATACGATTTCCATTATCTTAGGATTCTAATATATATCTTAGAGATTTTTGAAAATGATAAGTAAAGAATTTATCACTTTATAATTAATAGAATTTATAATAGAGAAATTATAAATTGTTAAATTTCAATTTTAATAAATTTTTTAACATATTAAATAAATTGTTTTTTTTACTTACTTTTTAGTTTTATTTAAAGTTTTTAAATATATTTTTAATTGAATTTGAATAATCTCACTTTGTTACTAAAATTGAATTATTTAAATAATTAAAATATATAATCATAACTTTACAATAATCTTTATAAATAACAAATAGATAATTATAGTAATTATAGTATATGAAAAAATATACTAATAAAAGATTATATGTATTTATTTATATAATAAAGTTTTAAAAGTTTAATTTTTATATAACTTTCATAATTATTAAATTTATTATTTTAAAAACTATTGCTACAAATTAAATTTTTTTAACATTAAAATTTATTAATATTTTAAATAATACATATAAACTTAATCTAATACTTTTCAGCTTTAAATTAAAAATTTTAAAAATATTTATTTATAAATATTAATAGAAACTTGATAACAATTATTAGTAATACTGATTATCTTTAAAATTAAATTTAATTCAACATTTTTTAAGTTTTTATAAAACTAAATTCATTTTTTAACTAATATTTTAAAACATTTATTAGATAAATAAATCCTTTATATCATTATATATTTATTTTTATTTTACATATTTTTTATATTGATATTATAAATATTATATCAGATTTATATTTTATTAAAAATTTTTAAATTTTACTAACATTAATTCCTTTGTTAATATGAAATAAAACTTTAGAGTTACATTTTAAAATTTTAATGATATATTCTTTATTTAGAAAAGCATGTGTTTTTTCATTTATCTTCAAAATTCAAAAAGATCATTTCCTGTTCACATGCATGGGAGAGAAATTAGACCTAGAGCATCTTCATTCATCAAACTAGAAATTCTACTTGTTCACAACTTAACCTTTGCTGTTGTTTATAAGTTATATAACTATCATATCTGATTCTGTCAGCTAATTGATGATGTAGAGTGAGTGTTGAGAGACTGTAAGCTGCATTCTTTAATGACTTGTTGAATAGATATATTTCAACGTTGAAAGCTAATTTGGAGAAATAAGGTTATGAAGATCATTTATGTTGAGTTGTTGGAAAGGCCAAGAATTTACGCAGGTGGCCACTGGATCGGCTATCATCTTAGATCCCATATCGATGGATGACGAATGGATAAGAGGGGTTTTTACTTCAACGTGAAATTCTCATTACATAGAAACTGATGCCGACCTCGCAGCCTCGGAAAACATATCTAACCTACGCCGCTGGTTATCGGCGGGATAATCCCAACCCAGATACAATGATGATGTAATTGACCTTGTGGAGTCGCTGTGGGCCGGAAGGGAAATGTGTCTACCTACCTAAATACCTTACCCTCATCACCTATATCTCGTTGCCTGCAAGTTGTAAACAACAGCCAAAGTTTCGAATGAGTGAAGAGAACGCCAAACGCGGAGGGTAATTTCTTTCTGGTTGGATTTATTTGACAACCTTGGAGGGGAGGCAGGTATCAATCAGTATTTTTGTTAAGTCAACTACTGGGGAGGCGGCATGAAGTTGAGCTAACTATAATAATGTTGAATTTATGTTCAACCATAAGAGTCGAAAAGTGAATCACGTATCAATCCTCATTTCTCATTCTTTTTCTACAACAGTTACCTAAGAGTAAAAAAGAAGTCAGAACCAACTCAACAAGAAAAACAAACAAGTTATTATTTTGTCTAAAATTCCCTTCTCGTATCCCATCTCAACATCTATCCGCGTCTCTCTCATTTTCCACATCCATTAGGTAGCTAATCCAAGCCCTTCAAAATAAATGAATTGATGGGAGAGGGTCGTCCATAGGTAGGGATAGAAGTAGATGTTAAAAACAACAGATCATGAAATGAACAAATCAATCAATCAATCTGGCACAAGAGGAAAATTCTAACAAACTCTTCAACCAGCTAACCAGCTCAAACCACGGAGCGTTGTAGGGGAGAGAAACCAAACTAAAAAAGTAACAGGGCGGAATGGGGCAAGGAGTAGAAACTTGAAACTATAGCACAAGCTTGATAGAGATGAGAGGTGAGACGTGAAATTAAAACTATTGAAACAAAAAGATCAGTGTATTCAAACCACACGAAAATGGGTGAGAGGAAAATGGGAAGGGGGGGGTTTGGAGTACAGTAGTAGCTATCAGGATCAGAAATACTTGTGCAGATGGTACGGTAACATAGATGAAACATTCACCAGCTCATCAAAACAGGCTAGGCTACCTTGATGAAAAATGGGTAGCAAATAAAGAGAAATCGAGACGGGGTGACAAGGGTTTTAAGGGGAGCGGAATAAGAGACAAATGACAAAAAAATTTCACTCAATCCCAACATATTCTTCCCCACCTTCCCCTTTACCGATCCAAAGACAAAAAAAAAAGCATTCTCCAAATAACCACAAAACCGTGCATAAATATTCGCACAATCTAATAATCCATCATATACTCATCAGCCTCCCTGTGCATATCCATCGGATCAATCTGAACCCCCCACGCATCGTCAGCACTATAATGATCATCCGAAAAATTATTCAGAGTTGGGAAGTTCTGTGCAGAAGTCGTGGTATCTGCCGGACTCTCGAAAAGCGTGAAGTCACCATTCGGTTTACCCATGTGGTTATTGCTGTGGTTACCATACGCATCATGGAATCCTTCATCGATATTCTGTTGGGAGTTGGGAGAGTAGAGCATCAAGTTGCCCTGTCCGGTTGGGGAGAGGTTGCTGGAAACCTTCTGCTCGGATACGGAGCCAGGTGAAAGGCCGCTGACGGACGTGTTGCGTGAGAAGGAACTGAGACCGTGTACCTCGACGGATTGGGCTGGAGTAAGAAGCTGCATGTTCATGGTTATGTATTCACTGTCCATGTTGTCGAAGTCGACGTCAAAGTTTGGGGTTGTGGTTCTGGGATCGAAGGGGTTTTCGTCGATAAGACCTGAGCCCAAGAGTGCGCTGGCAGGAGCGGTGCTGGTGCTGGAAGCTGACGACGACATAGGGATGTCCAGGTTTGGAATGTATTGGTTAGGATCTGTAGCTGCCAAATGGGCTTCGAAAGCGCTGAAATCCATGGGTGATACAAATGCGTTAAAATCGTCCATTGCGTCTGGGAAGAGTTGGAAGTCCTGATTCTGGGGATCCATCAAATCATCCAGCGGGTATGTGCCAGAGCCAGGGGCATTGTATTGCAAGCTCTGCTCGTACGGAGAGACATTTGCTAGGTAAGGGGAAAGGGCCGGGTGGCTTAGTGGCGTGGGGATATCCACTGTGCCTGAGTTCGGGGTCTTCATGATTGGAGTTTGGGGAGTGTGTGGAGTATGGCTGCTCGACACACGACTGCTGGCTTTTCCATTATTTTTAGATCGAACGTATACCCACCCATGGGCCTTCTCCATATGCTGCTTGCGATTACTGTCACGCTTGGACTGGTAAGTACAAGGTGGGAATTGACATCTGTACAGCTGTGGAGATTTGGAATGCTTGTCATTGACATGACGGTCACGTTCTTTCTCAGTTGGCCAACCAATCTCAAAATACTTGCATGAGCGCTCATCACATTTCCATGGTCTCGAATGCGTCTTCTCATGCTTCGTAAGATCACAGGGTCTCTTGAACACCTTATCACAGTCCTTGCATTTCTGGTTAATGTCAAGGGGAGGTGCATTCTTCTTGCGTCGAGCCATCGAACGAGTGACACTGTCATCGCACGACTCCGTGCTCAAACTACGTTTCATCATTGGGATCACAGGAGAAGCCCTTTCTTCATAAGGTTCTCTAGTACGTAGTGAGATCGCCTGGTTCTTCTTGCGTCGGACCAATTCAGCAGGTCGTCCAGTGGCAGCCAGACCACCTTCAAGGGTGAGTTCTTCGTCACTGAAAACATGTGAGCACAAGGCAGAAAGGGTATTATTTCCTAGGGATTTTTGCACATACGATGAATAGTCCTTGTTGTTCTCGCCATCTCTCGAGCGGGGGCGAGGGCCCTGCCTTTCTCGAGCGGCACTGATCATCGACGCGTACTGACGGATCTGTTCGACTAGATCAAGGAAATAACCGTTGGTATAGGGACGATCTGATGGGCGTCGCTGGTCACGCTCGTTCAGATATCCCACAGTGGTATGGAGGCACTGAATGGTAAATTCACAAAATGCAATGTAGGATGCTTTGGACGTGGTGAATTTCTTTATATGGTTTCGCAATGTATGAGTACAGTCCGACACATCGATGTAAAGAAGCTGACTCACCGGTGCTAGGAAGAGAAGAGTCTTTTCAAGATCACGAAGACAGGTAATCTCCTTGTTCTCAATACGCTCGGGCACACCACGGGCTAGAGGGTGGAAAGGGGTTAAACGTTTCTCTAGAAGGATAGGGTTGAGAATGAAACGATCGATGTTCTTGCGAGCAGCAACACCAAAAGTAGGAATTTCGAGAGTGTTGGATGAGATTGATCTTGTGATAGCTGATTGTGTTGATGCCATTTTAGGCTCCTGCAAGCTCTTGCGGTCCTTGGGTGAGTGATTCATTTTGTCAATTGCTGAAGTTGATAGATTGCGGTTAGCACCGGGCGTTGTGAATGTTGTTGAATGGGATAAACAGGTAAAGCCTACCCTTCTCGCGTGAATGGATCGACGCTGAGTTACTTGTGCCGCTAACCGAGGTACCCAACCCGCTATCAGACGCATGTTGGCTGGAGTTCATTGCTGGGGAGTCGTCAATCCGAAGAGGCTTGCAGTGGTTTGAGTCTGTGCTGTCGGTATCCATGGTGTCAGCGTGAATAACGTGGGCATCTAAGATGGCGCGTGGGACCGGAAGGTCGTCGTCATCGAGGATACTATGTCTGTTGCGAGGAGAAGAAGAAGAGGAAGAAGAAGAAGAAGAAGCAGTAGACGGAGAACAAGTCCCAAGCCCAGAGAGGTTACGCTCGAACTTGTCTATGAACACGGCCATGCGTTTTTCACCAGCAGCAATGACATCCTCCAGGGACCTAGGGCAGGTAGGAGAGCGTCGAAGCAGAGAGTGAATGTTAAGGATAGGATCAGTGCCTGGAGACGGCGGGGTCGTTGGAGAGTGGAACGTGGCACCTTTCCTCAACTGCATGCTATGTAGTGCTGAGTGACGACATGCTGGGTCGGATAGATCTGAAGAGGACGAAAGAGGAGAAGAGGAGGTTGGAAGACGGGGGATGGGTGCACTATTATAAATAGGACGACGGCGTGGATGAACCCGGGGTGCAGACATACTGTGTGACCAGGGGCGGAAGGACGACTATTTTGGGAGGGAAGGATTTAAAAGGTTAGCACATAAAGAAGAACGGAAGCCCCCCGTTCTGTGGAAGGCAGGGAAATACAGGCCTCTTGCATGTTGTAAACTAGGGTTATGACTCACTGGAAAACAGAGGGGAATTGAGGACACTATTCAGAATCGAGAATCGGGATCTGCAGATAGGGCTTGGAGGAGTCACAACGGGAATACACTCAGCAGGGGGCTGTTCATGAGAGCATATATATATGCGTAAGACTGGCCAGATGGGCCATTATCAATTGAAAATTGCGTATTGTTGTACTGACCCTCAAATCAACAGACGCCCAGACGATTGTTTTGGCAATATCCCAAGTCGGATATTGCTTGAAATTGACAGAATACTGATGATCTCCCCCCTGCAGGTCGAGGGAGGAAGAAGGTCATACACTCCTGGGCAGACGAAACAAACAACCCGGGGGGATAATAGATTGGAGAGATTCGAAGCAGCTGAGTATTCAGATTTGAGAAGATAGACAGAGAGAGAACCTTGCAGAAAACGAAAACCAAGGAGCAAACCAAGCAACAAACAGACAAAGACAGACGCTTGGATGATAATGATTATGAAGGTGATGACGACCTGCGAGGGCAGAGTATATAAGAGGGATCGGATCGGATCAGACCAGGCCACAAAAAGGGACACCAGGAGTTGAAAGACAGGTTGTGTAAGAGAAGGGAGAGGAACGAGGGCAGCAATGGCAGCAATAGCAGCGAAGGGGAAGATGAGACAGGTGACGGGAAGCAAGGGATTGTTTTAAGTGTGTGGGAGAGAGACAGGAGCGAGAGACAGCGCGGGAAACGACCAGAACGACACTCAACCGCACGGCAGAAGGGCAGGAACGGCCAGGAAAGGCAGGAGGACACACTTTCTGGAGTGACGGCCGCAGTCGAAGGGGAGTCGTAGCAATCGTGTCTGCCTGATAGACGAGCAAGGGAGCCTCCTGATTGGCTGGATGGCGCAGTAAATATGGGGCTGGTCGCTCTTTCTTGCTCGTTGGAATATGGCTCTAAACCTCTTTGGGCGCCGGTGTCAGGACCGCCAACGCCAATGCTGCGCTTTGTCAGCGTGGTTTTTGAGTGGAAAGATGATGCTGGCATCTGGCGTGCATAACTCTTAACTTTTCCCCGGCTGCTAAATAACAGCTGTTCTGTCCATGAATCTTGCTCGCTATTAGTTATTATTATTATTATTATTATTATTATTATTATTATTATTATTATTATTATTATTATTATTAACTATTATATTATTAATATTATTATTATTATTATTTTGGCCCTGAGACAATATCTTCTGGCTTCCCCTGATCAACAAGTTGTAAAATGTAAAAACACATAAAAAACAACCCTTGATGCATTTAGGTGCCAGAATTCCTGGAAATATGCACAAGGTATCCGTCAACTGTTAAGTTCAGCATGTTAGCATGAAACAGCCAGCATATTTCTTGGAACCGAACAATCCAACCACGGACGGGTCTCGTCTAGGTTCTACCTTTCTTCCTCTCGACTCCAAAGTCCTAAAATACCCCTAGCCCCCTTTCTCGTGGGGTCCAATGGCAGCGACCCAAATATACCTCTCCGTACAGTTCATACGCCCCCCATACCAATCTTCCCACTAATTTCAGCCGCTCTTTCAACGTCCTTTTTGGTGGGAGACCCCAGCTCTCCGCAGCAGAAAACGCGGTGTCCAACGCTGTGCACCGCCTGGTTTGAAGCTAGTCGTTTCCATACCATACACCGTATTCCACTATCCTCATACCTCATAGACCCCCGATCTCCCAACTGGGACAAGTTTGCGCTGTCTAACTAGCAATAAGCTCTTTATCGATGGGCCTTTCCTGACAGGCTGGTCAAGACGTTAATCCAGAAATCTTTTAAATACGACATTCCGTGCAACATTGTGGTTGTATGTATGCATTTCGGAATTCTTCCCCCTATGTTAGCGTGAATATGGACAAGTTTTTGAGGCTCAAAATTGCCAAGGACCAGATTACATGGGATCCATACTCCTCTCTTCCAACAAACACACTAACAACAGAGCATTCCCAAACTTAACCGTGGTCAACGACAGTGGAAACTTCTTGTCAACAAAAGTCTCTTGGGCTTGGCATCAGCACCAAACCCCCATTATAATGATTTATTTCAGAGACAATTCCAAGGACCAAAAACCGCTTTTTGTACGGTGCTCTGTACGCCACGCATCTTGGCCCCCATTTTTCTCTCCGGATGCATTCCTCCTCCCATCAATATTCAATATTGCATGAACAACCAAGAACGGTGGTTTGATGATAGATCACCGAAGGCGACCCGGCCTTGAGCTAATGGGCTGGCAGCCATATCGTCATCCAAGGATGACACAGCCGGGTATTGGGCGAGTCGAAACCCGCTTCCATAATTGGGTCATTAACCTTGGCATCGTTTGGACGCAAGCACCTTTACTTTAATCGACCCAACGACATTTGAATTTGAGTAAATAATACTTTCAAACTAAAAAAGAAATAAAAAACCGAAATCATATTTCTATGTATCATCCTGTTGCACATTACTTCATAAGCCCACGAATACCAGCCCAGGGATTTATCAGTAAACCAACTCACACGTGCATGCATGGCAGAGCTGCATGCAACGTGACCCGACTCTGACGGAATAAAAAGCACGCGAGACCACGCGATTCACACATCATTGATCACAAAACCAGTCTCCGCATCATATCAGAGGTTAACCGCGCGTCGCTCCCCTCACCGCCTCAGCAAATGGCACCCTGTTGCTGGCAACAGCGCTAAGGATATCTGGTTTATCAAGTCGTGTCAAAAGACGATGTTTAACCATCTTGCGTCCCTTTGTTGACATCTTGGTCATGGATGAATCTTTTAACATGGAGAAGGGGGGCCGGGGGGGAGAAGAAGAAAAGAAAAGAAAAGAAAAACAATTGAAAAGTTCAGGCATAGTTGTCTCTTCGATTTTCCGAATCTCGCTCGCCCCTTGAGTACAAACAGCCTCATGGTTGGCAATTGGCAAGAACTTTGCGTTAAGCAAGAGAGAGAGAAGAAAAAAAAAAAAAATTCAGGTCCAACACTGTTACCCTGGAAACAAAGCAAAGTAAACTACGCAGTAAAGACCTCGGTCTATGAAATAAATCAACACCTCCTCCCTTGCGGTTTACCGGGGTCAGCAAGGCTTTTTTTTCTTTGTTCGACTCGAACTCTCATTATCCGCCACATGCCCTCTATATTATTGGATTATATGATAATATTACCCATGCGATTATTAACCATAGAACAATTGAGTTAATTATCTAATTACTCCGTACTAGTTATTTCCTCCATAGAAACCTAATCATTAAGTGACGATTGTTGGGCGCCAAGGATAACTATAACTGCGGTGGCGCACATTACATGCGATGCACGCCCGAGTTTATCGACTCCTCCAACTGAAAATATGCAGTTGAAATCGGAGTAAGAGTAAATAAGTAAACATACCGAACGGAGAAATGGAACCCATCGGAGACCGTGCTTGTCTCTTTTTCTGTATATGTACAAAGGAGCGCCCCGCATAGGCATATCACAAACGTTTACTCTACATGTTGGTCCAACATCCATCCGCCATCCCCAATCTTGATTCCATGCATTTATCGGGAGTAAAAACCCAGAAAAAAAAAGCATCCACCCAATTCCCCTCCCGCGGGGCCGTGCCTGAACCATGGTTGCGGCAATATCAGCCGACAATCTCAGCTAGTTTAAACCTCGCGCCATGATTATTGGCTCTTGGAACGCATTAGGCTCAAAACCATCCTCCGATTTTCCGATGGATCGATCCATGCATGCATGCTCCGCCGGTGCTCATACCTTGTCACAACCACTGATCCCTATGGATGAATTGCCGCTTTTGTTATTATTATTATTATTATTATTATTATTATTATTAGTTTACATTTTTATTTATTTATTTACTTATTTTCAAACTTGCAATTTTATGCAAACGAGACTATTCATATGATGATCGTCCTTCTAATAATAGGCTTGTTCCTCACGGCGAAGGTGTATATTTTTTGCATATATATATTTATCTAACTCCAGGTTAGACTCAATTTCTTCTGCTCGAGGAGAGAGAGCAGAGCATTTGGAGTGCAAATCAAGTAATCTATCCAAAATTGAAGGGATAAATAGAGTCAGCCGAAACAGCTGAATTCACAATTATTCAGTTTTCGTTGATGGATATCTGGATCCCTAATACAGCTGTTTTGGTGGATAATGAACCCTGAAGGAGGTTGGGGGATGCTGGAGGTATGGGACGAAAGAGAGGACTTTGTGTTCAGCGGCTGCAGCGAGGATGCTGGACCTATACATGAACAACCGGAATGAAGGACAGGATGAAGAATATACAAATTGCCTGCAGTCGTTCAAGGTATAGTTGTTTCAACTGGGGGATATTGATGGCACTAAAATATATATTTCGGTATCGCCAATGGTCATAGATCTATGAATAGAAAAAGATCCAATCTGATATTAGTTTCGAGATGGGTAGCTAATGCAGGTATAAAACATTTGACAGAATGTTAAGCTTGATTGATTTCAAAGGTTTGCTAATTACGAGAATGACTTAATATACGGTGGAAATAGGTCACGTGGCTTAAGGGTTAGACTACATTTTCTTACAGGTCGCAAAAGTCCGGCTTTGCTGCAATTTAGATCCCCCCTCCCCCTTTTTTTTTTTTTTTTTTTTTTTTTTTTTTTCTTTTGAAACTCCGTGAATATTTCCTCTTGAATCCTCTGTCTCTTTTAGCACTTTGTTGTCCCTGCATTTCTGGGGAACGAATTCCACTCTCTCATTCCCCCCCTTGGGATTGCCAGTCACTATATTATTGTCAAAATTTACCATTGGCCACATATTTTACAAATGTTCTTCATGTCATAAAGATAAGCCTTGATGATCAGCTTGTTAAATTGACCCTGAATGCTGGTCAAATTAGCACGCCCACTGTCATCGAAGGCCACGCCTTGTACTTCACCTTCTTTCACGGACATGCCGTAGCGCCTACCATCTGAAGAGACAACCATAGATCACCAGAACCATGCACTAGAACCTCTGGGTAAAAAGCTTACCCAATCGTTCTCCTTCCTCGATGATCCTGTTGTCTAAAGAAACCGATGTGTATTTAGCAGTTGTATTGTTATCGACTTTACCCGGATTTGCATTCCAGGTTATATATATTCCAAGGTAAGATAGGTAAGAAATCCGATGGTTCAACGCATTAATTAATGTTGTGGACACTCCTGCTTCCAGCCCATATATCTGCTTCTTTAGCTGTCTTTCTTATTATGCACATAGTAGGTTCCCTCATTCGAACCTCACCTAAACTTTGGAGCTATTTTGCAGCAGAGTTTCCCTTCCCCAGTTTCAGCCCTAGTGTCACTTCGCGGCACCATCAATATCCCAATTTGTAGATACATGTTTCTCACGGCGATCCCTCGCAGAATTCGAGGATATTGTGGGAAGCGCAACCAGGAGATGATTGCGACCTATACTGAGAATTGGGGTAAGAATGATCCGTAGCTAAGGGTGCGCAAACTGGGATGTATTGTCAAATAACATTGGTGGAAAGGAGGTTAGAGTGTCTGTTGAGCAGCGTCCCGGCCAGCGAGATGCCATCCTCAGGGTTCCACGGGATGCATTGCCCATCCTGCAAAGTTGTTGTGTTGGTTTAAACGCATCCTAGCAAAAGCAGGAGTTCGTCAGGTGTGTGTGATGAAGATGAAGAATGTAACTGAAATCCCTATTACGCGTTTCAGGGGTTTCTGTTAAGTTTTCTCTGCGTTTTTCCCTTTTCGAGAAAAGATGAAACGTTCCCAATTCTTGAATCGATGGTGATGAAGGTAAGATTGTGAGATTATGGCGGAGAGAGGGACCGTAGGTAGAAGGCTTATCATTGGGCAGCTAGTTCCATTTCGATGATTATCGAAATGATGGTATTTCTAACTCTCTGAAATATAAACAACTTGAAAGGCTTTCAATCACGAAACACCTCTGTGACTAGCCGAGAATACTGGAGGAAATAAAAGGCAGACCGCATACAAAATTGAAGCTGCGAGGGAATTTTCGTAGTGACACTCTACCCCCATGAAAGTAGGTTCTTTAACCTCCATGATTTTGTCTTTCAGTATCTTTCCCTGGATATTCCCGCCTTTTATGAACGCTGTGGTGTCTAGTCTTGGCAGGTCTTCCACAGTTTGAAGTCTCCTTCCTTCGCCTACTTGTTTTCCTGGAACGGGAAATTCGCTCCCATCCAATGGATGTTAAATGCGTACCACCAGGGTCAAATATTAGAATTTGGTGTTACTTTCTGAATAGCCATTCCAGAGCGGGGTGGTATTTTGGACCTCATAGCGTGGTTTTTCCCCGCATGTAATTGTCTAATGGGACGATGTCAATTTAACCCTAAGAGCTAGTTACCTAACCTGAGCTTTGATGATGTCATGTGAAGTTGAGTTGTTGGAAAGCAACGCGAATCGTACCTTAGTCTTAACTTTAATATTCCCATGACATCCTCACGAGACGGCTCTATTGATTGTTCATATCATTTTTCAAAATTGGAAGGCAATTCTGCGCTTAGACTGACCGTAACTAATCCCTGGTTGTGTGATGTGTCCAGTTCATGTCGTATTTAAGTTAAGCATGGGCGTGGTTAATCTCGTGTAAGGATGATCATCAGCACGGACAGTACGTTTGTCCCACCTGCGCTGGGTAATGGAGACAACCGAGATAATGAGACGTTCAAGTCAATTCAGTGAGTGGGGTGTGCAGTCCATTTGGCTGGAAATTGTGATATTAAGCCGTTGGACTTTACACAGTATTTCAAACCATGTCTAGCGACTCGAACGGTGCTTGGGACCACGCCATTGTTGGATTCGATCCGGGCACCAAGGAAGCTAACATAACTCCCAGACCAGGAGAAGGAGAGTAAATGCGCTGATAGGCTGTGCCAGCGGTTCCTATCTTTGCACCAAGGAATTTTACTAGGAGAACGTTGTTTGAGAGGGGTTACCTAAAATCTAGGCTGTTAGTTATAGAGCAAAACTGGAGTAATTCATCAATTTGGGCATATCATCACTCCACTGAAATAGCAGTTTTCCTTCTTTCTCAAGCTAGCAGTGCTGGTCTTTTTAAATGAATGTGTTGAAGAGTTGCTCCATGCTATAACTAACTTTTGAACGTTGGTCCAAGCTTTCGGGTTGGCCGACTTTGGGTGAACCTCGGTATCGGGACCGGCACCAACATTTTATTGATCGGCCAAGTCTTCATGAGCAGCGCCGCAGCTGTTCCTCTGTCTTAGACAACACCCACAACCAGCATCTCCTTCTTGTGTTCAGTTCACCTGAGTTGTCATTACATGTTGCGTTTAGCATTACTCTTTTTTGGATTGCAGAAAGAATTTTAGCGAATGGTGAAGGGCAAGGAGAGTGGTGCAATGGAGTCCATATCCTATGCTCCTGACAACTTGAACCGTCGCCGGCGGAGAGACAGGCTTAAGCGGCGACTGCACAATAAGAACCCTGTGTCTTCTAGATTGGTTCTTGACCATCATTTGCAAGGAGATGTTGGTGTTCTGTCAGATGATTTGGCGGCTGACTTGTTTCCTGAATCGACTATCGAAGGCATGTAGGGCAACGCTCCTGTCATTCTTATCCAGACCCGCAGAAAATTACATTCACTTGGATAGGGAGCTCTTGTGCTAATGATAAAACAGCTCTAGCGGAATCGCAGGATGTACGATACATTGCCATAACTCCATGGTCGCCTCTTAATCTCCCAGTGGAGGATCTGTCATGGACTTTTATACCGGTGCGCCTTCAGAGACCCGGCAAATCCCAAACTGCGCGTCTACCCCAGTCGACTGCCCATTTTCCAGCCTCTAGCGGCTCCATCCGGTCATTTGTCCAGACCCTAGAAATGCTTGACCCAGCACGCACCTTAATATCAAGTCAGCGAGCTATCGAAATACATGTCTTGGAGGTTGTCCCGCTTTTCTTGGATACTATCTATGTGACAGTGGAACGTCATTTACTCAGTAACGTCGATGATATTCAAAGGAAATTTGGCGGGGGATTCAGTATGAGGGCACAAGGGGAGAATGGCCTATGGACCAGGGGACAGGGACCACCATCCTTATCAGCAACATCCACCAAAGAGAAAAAGGAAACGGCTGCTGAAAGAGAAGAGCGTTTGGTTGGACTGATTCGAGAGGCGATTTCAACCCAGAGGGTATTACATGTAGGGGATTTGCTACCGCTACAGCTGCCTTCACATCCAATCACCCATGCACCACCCCCACCCGCTAAAATTTCCTTTTGTGAGCCTGTGGCGCAAGGGTTGGTGAAACCTGCCACTAAAATTGTTCTTGTCCAAACAAAACCACACCATCAATCTCGAATTTCCAAGAACTTACCATCACCTGGTTGTGCTCTTTTAAAAGAGGTGGTCGAAGATGAAGGAGATGACACGTCCAATGAGCAGTTCTTTTCGGCGGCAGAGGAGAAACTAAGCAGCACGGACATGGAAAGTACTTCACCGCCTGAGGAGTCTGGTACAGAAGCTTCGGTTCAAAGCTACAGTGAAGCTTCAGATGATTCATTGGACGATATGATCTCATTAACGGCCCCAGAGCTTCCTCAGCAACCTTCAGGGACTATTTCAGCCATGACATCGGCGACCCCACGACCTGGTGGCAAGAGATTTGATGTGCATAGCCCAGGGTCGATGCTCTCTAGCTTCACGAGCGCTACTGCGCGTGCAGGAAGAAGTATGGGCAAAACCTTCCGAGCAGAAGGGCTCCTAGAGAGAATACCCAATGAAGTTCTCCACCCCAAGCCACGAGAGTCTGATGACTCTGACTCTTTTGTTTTTGTGGATGTTTACACTCTCACTAAAATTGGTTGCTTTTCAGGTGACTGGGTTAGAATTGAAGTTTCTGAGGAGCCTCAACTTAATATGTTATCTTCTCTAAAGTTCGATAGTCTAAATGGGCAGATGGATAACACTAATGATATAACATGGAGGACTGTAAAAATCTACGGACTGCCGGGTCTAACGTCTCCCAGACCTCGATACTCGATGAACCAGTCCTCAGCGAGGCGATCTAGCATATCGCAGATGCCCTTCCATCGGATTACTCCTACGGTGTTTGTCCCTCCGATTCTATTAAATAACCTGGAAAATCCTAAATATTTAAAACTTTCACCCATGTTACTTCACGGAACTCAACATGGTATTTCAAGATCTGGGATTGCACAGCCAAAATTGAGTTTATCCAAACAACCTCCTGTTGCCAAGGAAGTTACCCTTCTGAAAATATCCACTCCACTTTCTATGGACAGAACTCTACAGCCTGTCCTCTTTGCTGGATTGAAACACCATTTTGAATCAAAACAGCGACTGGTCAAAAGTGGGGATCTCATTGGTATAAGTGTTGATGAGTTCTTAGGGAAAGCAATATTCTCCTCTGCCCGGGGTCCAGATGCTGGTGATGACGATGACATCACAGCCCAGCTTGGGTTTTCTCTGGATTCTCAACTGAAAGCTCAGAATGCATCATCGGGGAAGGTGGGTGTTGCGTGGTTCCGTGTTAGTCATGTTGTATCTGCGTCTGCAGAGGAATCGGAAGATGGCGCCGACAATGAGCGATGGGGTGGAGTTGCTGTCATTGACACTTCTTCAACAAGGATGGTACAGGCAGGGAGCGAAATTAGTAGAGTGCCGGGAACACTCAATAATGGATGGGAGTACTGGCTGGGCGTGAAACCACTGCCAAAGCCGAGCAATGTGGCGGGGAGGCCACGTAATTTTGTCATTGAAGCTCCTAAGTTATTCGTTCCTCCTCTTCAGCAACGGCTTCGGGAACTTATTTCTGCGTCGACTAGCCCTAGAGCCATTCAACTCGGCATGAAACCCGTTGTTATCCTTCTTATCTCTACTCAGCGGAGCATTGGAAAAACTACGGTTGCACGTCGTGCTTGTGGCGAGATTGGACTTCATACATTTGTAATCGATTCCTACGATATTCTGGCAGAAGGTGGCACCAATGGCGGGGACGTCAAGACGGAGGCTTTTCTTAAAGCTAGGGCGGATCGGGCATTTTCTTGCGGAGCAAGCTGCACTGCTTTGCTGATTCAACACATTGAGGTTTTGAGCGCTGATAGGATGGTTACGACATTGAAGGAGATTGTGGCTGACTCAAGAGTTACAATTGCTACTACTACCGATGTTGAGAAGGTCCCAGAGGGTATTCGAAGCCTTTTCACCCATGAACTTGAAATGACCGCGCCCGAAGAAAAGGAAAGAGAGGGTATCTTACGAAACGTTATCAATGACCAAGGGGTCAAGATTTCAGCAGATGTTGACCTAGCATCTGTCGCGGTGAAAACAGCAGCACTCGTTGCCGGTGATTTAGTCGATGTAGTTGAACGGGCAGTTGCTGCTAAAACCCTTCGCCTCCAAAAACTAGCAGAAAATGCCACAACTGCAGATGACAAAATGAGCCTCAGTGTGCGAGATATTCAAGCTGCAGGTGGGGACGCTGCGCGATGTGTAATAATTGAAGATTTCGATGTTGCTGTAGATGCAGCTAGGATAAATTTCGCAGACGCTATTGGCGCACCGAAAATTCCTAATGTTGGCTGGGATGATGTTGGAGGCCTTACGAACGTTAAAGATGCTGTTATGGAAACCATCCAACTTCCTCTGGAACGACCAGAGCTCTTTGCCAAGGGCATGAAAAAGCGAAGTGGTATTCTATTTTACGGACCCCCCGGAACTGGAAAGACCTTGCTCGCCAAAGCTATCGCCACGGAATTCTCTCTTAACTTTTTCTCAGTCAAAGGTCCTGAACTACTCAATATGTATATCGGAGAGTCTGAAGCAAATGTTCGACGTGTCTTCCAGCGGGCTCGTGATGCGAGACCTTGTGTGGTATTCTTTGACGAATTGGACTCCGTTGCACCAAAGCGTGGCAATCAAGGCGATAGCGGCGGCGTTATGGACCGTATCGTTTCCCAGCTTCTTGCTGAACTTGACGGGATGAGTGGCGGGGACGAAAATGGCGGAGGAGTTTTTGTAATCGGTGCCACCAATCGTCCTGATCTCCTGGACGCTGCACTGCTCCGACCCGGTCGATTCGATAAAATGTTATACCTTGGTGTCTCGGATACGCATGAGAAACAGGTTACGATTCTAGAAGCGCTCACACGAAAATTCACATTGCATCCCGATCTTTCACTCAAGCGGATCGCTGAACAGCTGCCGTTTACATACACCGGTGCTGATTTGTACGCATTGTGTTCTGATGCCATGCTTAAGGCTATCACGCGTCAAGCTAGAGCAGTGGAAGAGAAGATTAAAGCGCTCCCCGATGGGCCTGTTACGACGGCCTATTTCTTCGATCATTTTGCGACACCGGAAGATATTGCAGTCATGGTAACAGAAGAAGATTTCATCGCCGCGAAGAACGAACTTGTTGCTAGTGTTAGGTATTTAATAACCTTTCCAACCTTAATCATGTTTAACTTTATGTTAAGACAAGATATGCTAAATATGCTAACTGTAATACCCCTCCCAATAGCGCCAAGGAACTTGAGCATTTCGAACGTGTGCGCCGTACTTTTGAATCAACGGACGACGCGAAGAAGCCCAAGTCAACTATTGCAGAGGGCCCAGCCGGCCACTCGCCTTCTTCTTTAACCATTGGCGAGGCCGTCAATGGGCTCAAACCTGGTGCACCTCTAGAAGATGGCCCAACAAACGCCCTGGCAAACATTACGAACAATACTAGCAAGCCCGCCGCGTCCGCGGCATTACCTCATCGCACCAAACACGGAATTAAAACAGCGCGGGGAAAATGGAAGAATAAAATTAATTGTTCAAAGGGGAAAGGCGTCATGGATTCGTCAGCTGATTATTATTTTGATGAGAATAAGGGCGTGGAAGATGACCTCGGTCGTTCTGTTAGTGATGGGGATCTAGGCAATACAAATGGAACGGCAGTCCATGGATCAAAGGGGAAGGGCAAAGGTGCCGTCGCTGATGGCCTGGCTGCAGCAAGCAATGACGGCGAATCTGACGACGATGACGAATACGTGATCAGGACGGATCATCTCATGCGGGCTGAGAAGCGGCTATGACTTTCTGGTCCCGAGAGGAGGGGTCGGCTGGAACGTTTCTAAAACTACAACTATGTATCTGTATATCAATACTTCTTTTGCATATTTTTGGGCATTATGCATGGGCATATATCGAACAGCATGTTGCACAGGACTTTTTGGTATTTTTCTTGCTCGCATTTCTGTCTATAATTTCTTAATTTTGTCTTGTTAAGCTGTAGATATATACTTGTATTTCTCTTGTTTTGATTCATCCCTTTATTCTCATAGCTGAACAGTGGGAGTTGGGTACGTTAAGAATAGAAATCTTTAGTTATACCCCTTGTTCGGCGTCAAAAAGATGTTTATAAAAAAGCTCGTCTCAACCGAGCGCAACCGAGCAAAAAGGAACGATCACGTGACAAGTGTGGTTCTGCCAGCCCCAACACCGCTCTCACGGAATGATATCATCTGCCAGCTGCGACATTGAAGAAGATAATGCTACATGTTTTTTAGGGCACCCACTGCCTATCTTTCTGATGCCCTGATTTTTTGGTCTTTATTCTAATTTCAAAATTGTACGACAGTGGTGGTTTGGGTTGATTTATTTGCTTGGTGTTAAAACTCTTGGAATCTCCAAGTTTTATGCGCAATTCTGAGCCGCCGCCAGCTCTATCCCGAGCATCGTTTCTGGCTGTTTCAAAGGTAGACGGGTGAAAAATAGGGGAATTATAAAGAAAAAGCTAAAAAGAGCACCGCAAATATTGATTTCAACAATGTTTTCACAATTCTCCTTCTCCATGCCGTCTATCAGGGGGCTCTTCTCCTCGGTCACAGCCGACAGCGACTCTATTAATTTAGATCCCGTCGAGATCCACGATATTGAGACAAATCAACAAAAGTCAGCCCGGGCATTGAAACATTTGTTGAAGCTGAACCATGCCAACTTTGCGATTCTATATCACGATGACCGCTTCCATAATCATATGCCCCATGTGAGATTGAATAGGAAATCTATTGTTATGTCCATAAATATATCAGCCTAGATTTGGTTACGTTGTCGTCATTTCTAACTTGCAATGTTAGTTGCTATCCTCCGTATATTTGTTTGGCGGTGACGCGGAGCACCTGAACCGTCTCTACGAGACTGAAGCAAAGGAGTTGGAGCCTTGGCAGGATTCGCCTGGTGAGATTTCAGCGGATGATTGGAGGGATTTTTTAGGGAAGACACAGTAAGTGGGCGGTTTTTCGTTTTGTTCATTGCGGCTGTTCTCATGTTTCTATCCATAACTGACTGCACCAGATACCAGAGAGCATTTGTGGATTTTTTCGAGGATGAGCTCGTGCGTCACGGCTACGACTGGAAGAAGATTGCCGAAATGTATCTCTATTCTGGCAAAAAGCCACTGATTAACTGTCTTGTCTCAGGCCGTAAGTGAATTTTAACTGTGAACCCGTGTTCATATTTTTATTTATTGCTCTAAGTCTGACGAAGTTGATCAGTTGGACATCCACTCATTCACTTGGGATATGCATACGAAATGTCAAGCCGAGACGTAGCCATGGAATCGCTCTCAATGGCTGCAACATGCTACAACGATCTCCACAAATATCTTGATGATCCATCCTACCTGCAAATTCCCGCTACGTACCAAACCTCTTCCCCTCTAGAAATACTGCATAGAATCCGCACCGATAAACGTTTCGATAGTCTCTTTCAACACCCTGGCGGCGATAATCTTGAAACACTCTTTAAGCACTATGAAGAGGCAGTTCTGGAACACTGGCGAGCATGGTCCATCACCCCAAACCCTACTGAACAACTTGAAATCTCTCAACAAGCTGCTGCGGCAATCTTTGTCGCCTCTGATACAGAGATGCACGACTTCTTCCTCGTCCACCTCCTCACGACTAGCCATGCAGTTCGCATTCTACTCCCCTTCGTTCCGCCAAAGTACCACCTCTCCCTTGTCCGGCAGTGGTGGCTAATTGTAGTGGCAATTTATATCGCACAGCTACGACCCAAAATAGACTCTAACGCGATTAAAAATTATGAAATAAAGGGGCGCAACTGGGATTGGGTAGGTGACCAGTGTATCAACGGCAAGTGGGCAGAGAATACGCATTACATAAAGGCACTTCGGGCGCTCAAGGAGGCCGCAAGAACATGGGGTGACCACGATGGATATTTCATTAAGGCGGGAGTGAAACTCGTTGACGAGTTTAGGGGATTTGGAGGTTTCAGTGAGTAGCTATTCTAAACTGTATGGAGCGAAGTGTTGGAGGTCAGAGCCGATCTCAAATTGACTGTGTTTTCTGGCACTGTGTATTGTAAATTGACTTGATATGTTCTCCTCTCTTTTTGGATTTCTTGGACAGAAATGGTGACGAAACGTCCCTGCTGCCAGAGATTTTTGGCATTTTATTAATTTCAGGAACAGCTGTATATCTTGTACGGTTATCGATTTTGGGATGTATATATTTCAGGTCTGGCGGATTATATGAAGGACGACATATGGAGTGCTGTGCTGAAAATGATAATTGTTAATTGTCTGATGATGTCATGGGTTTTCACAAAAATTATTTTGGAGTTTGCATTGTTTGCTTTTGGATCGCCACGTGAGCTAACATCACACTGCATTTTGTTGGCATCAACTCCATTGAAGTCGACAATGCGACAAAAGTCTGCCCAAACACCAATCCTGTGAAAATACGGATCCCCCCAACTCAAAAGGATACGCCTGTGGGTTTAAAGTGCTCTAAATAGTTCACTGACTTTGAGTTTGCCCTCCTCTTTGCCTATCTCTCCCTTTATCTCTGACCATGGCATTCGGAATTCAAGCGGGATTGTCTCTCTATGCCGAACTGTTGCCAAACATCCGCCAAATCATGCTTCACGTGTCCTTGGCTGATTCCTTGTTTTCATCTGAGAGCTCCGGCATCCCGCGAATTCCCGTTGACCCTCTTGATAACAAATTTTCTCTTACTCTTCAGCCCTCACGCCGCTCAGTCTGCCTCTCTGGTCCCTGGGGAGAACGAACCTTTGACCTACCGGCACGTGTTTCGGTATCCGCATACGCAACTCTTGCTACAAGACCTATTCATATATATCGGGGTGTAGTTAAACACAATGAACATAATGAACTCACCTATAGACTCCAAGTTGACGAGACCAGCCCTTCAGTCGGGCCCCGGTTACCAGATGGCGGAGTGAATAATGGGCTGCAAGTTCCGTGGACTTCAAAGGACATGAATGCTGAAAGCTGCATTGGGTGTCGACAGTGCAAAAGTATTCTTTTTAATCCTCCAGTGAAGGGGGGGATTATATGGAAAGACTTACCTAGTTCTGATTGGGCAGAGATGATGGATTTATGGCATTGCCACAAACCTGATGCGCATGAAGACGGTCATGGTGATGCTACCAATCACGCCGGACCTCATGTCAACGATGGGAACGAAACTATAAAAGGGTATGGTGCCGCCAATCAGATCGTCTGCGCACGTGGGACAGTATTGATTGACATTTTGTCTTTTGTGATGGCAGAGGATGATTGCCAGGGATTGGAGAAGTCAGTAAGTGCCAATTTTATTTCATTTCCTTTTCTTATGGTTTATGGCGGCCGGTAAGCAAATCCTTCGAGCACCTCCTCCATTCGTTTTTTGAGTCTTCTTTTTTGCTGCCCCCTTGCGCAGATACAGTAAAAAAAAGGTGTTCTTGTATCCTCATTTTAACCGCCATATTTTCGTTTGCTCTATCTGTTCATCATCACGTCACCTTCGGGCTGCAAAGAAGGAAACAAGATTGCACGTGGACTTCTGTTGGCGTACATATCCCCACGATCTTGTTTCCGATACAACTGCCCAATATCAATATTCAACCATAAATCTTTTTCGAAATATTACCGCAGGGGATTTTGCACCTCTTATCACCTTGTACTTGCACCAATAATAGCAAATCCATGGTTATAAAAGGAGCTAGAAAGACAGGAGAAGCAAGGGTCACACCAAGAACAGTTCTTGAGGAATACTCAACTCCTTGTGATTCCACGGAATCGGAGGTTGATTGATGGATTCACTAGCCCTGGGCCTGATTTGGCCCTTTTCTCCCGTTCCCTACTACTCCTCCCACCGACGGATATATGAATTATTTGTGATATTTTCACAAGAACCAGGTGTTTAAGATGGTGTTTGTCGAAACATGAAGTTTTCTATAGCCTGAGATGTACTCCGTCGCGAAGTTTGAATTGTGCTATGGGCATCTTTTCAAGCTGTTTTCGGGGAAACCCAATAAACGCGAAATGATTCGATAGCATTTATTCCGAGGTTTCGTGGGATTCGCGAGATATAATCTGAGGTACACTACCATTTTCGCTGGCATCATTGTGCAGACGAGATGTGAGGAGATAGATATATATATTCTAGCTGCTTTTTTGTTAGCTGTTTCTTTGTGGGACTAATTACCCTCGTCTCTTCGTCTGAGTCGTGATGATCCCCTTTCTTCCTCCACGATTCGTGGGATTCTGTTATCCATATGCTCTTGTGAATTGCTGATGCTGTTGACAGAAAACTGCATGGAAGAAGTAAAATACAGCAGTTATAATCCATTCAACACGATAGCGCAGGTTCTGCCAAACCATTTATTTCGTCCCTCTCCTGCATACCAATATATTAACCATGCCTTCTTACTTCTTGCTTGTTAGTGTAATTTGTAACGATTTGCTTCTCGATTGACTAAATTACGCACATGCGCTGCTTCCATATTGCCAGGAGTAGAGCGTACTTTGATATCATGTTTACTGACATGGAGGTTGGAAATTCTACAGAAACCGTCACTGTCTTCTTCCCCCCCTTACGATATGTATAACGGAGATCAGCAGAGTGCATCCAAAACTCACCCTGTTGTTAGTCTGTCATGCTCCTGGTGCGGTGCCATAGTTGGAGAGGAAGACACTTCTTTTCCAGGCTTGAGACTATACAAGACGAACGTTTCCGTTTTACAGAAACCCAAGGATGAAATCAGTTCCGACGATGATCAGTGGGAGTCTTACCCGGTGGACATGATCGTTGGAACGCAGCTGCTAGAGCTAGTTGAGAGAATTGGTGCTAGGAGATTTGCTGTCCACAGCATAGATTATAAATTACCAGAGAGCCAGACCTCCAAGAGCGGATTGTTGGTGAGTTTATGCCTACATAATTTTAACTTTTCTAAGTTGCGAACTATCGCAGTAGACTTTCCTATGAAGGTTTTACGCATAGACCAGGCAATTACGATCAGCTGACTTACGCCTTTGCTCAAATAAGCTTTGGTTGTTCAATCCGGACTTGCGATACTCCAGCTTGTCATCCAGTTCTGGTGCTGATGGCGATGTACCTACTACTACAGCGCAACGGGCCGTGAAGGTGTTCTACAAGGAAATCGCAGACATTCAATCAATGCTCGATCCAGCTCAGGGCACCCCGTCACCGACTGCAGTGGAAGAAGTTATCCTTCCAGCCAATGTTTATGACGTCATGAAACAGGCGCTGGAGAGAAGCAGTGAAACTTTACCCATGTCTGCTCGTCAATTTGGTGAATGGAGTGTGGGCTTGGTTTCTCGATTTGAGGAAGCAGGTTTAACGGCCCGAACCTAGTACGGCTTAAGCAGACCGGACAATCATTTCTGCAAATGGTTCCGTGGTGCAATATTGGATATAGTTTGCTACCAAAAAAATATGCTTTTCTTCGGAAGCTTGGATAGCCCAGAATAAACTCTGCCTTTCCTAATTACGTCGGGATGTGTGACCACATCGTATGAAGGAATACTCCCTCGTCGAAGGTATCGGCTTTGGCTTCCACTGCTCTGCTTGGTATGGGATTTCCCTTATGACTGCGATCTCCTCAACTGAGATTTCCAAACGCTTACGGTGACTTGTGCCGATTATTAGGATCACTTCACCTTTTGCCCGAGCTTGTGGTCATAGAATTCGGTGTTGAAGTGGCTTACTCAGCTTCGGTGCTTTAATTTTGGCATACTAAGTTACATGTATTCTGGTTATGATGAATATTGATCATGATTATTATGGGTCCAACATCGAGTGGATTCGTGTGGAAGGCGTTGATGAAGAGATGCCCGACGCTGCTAGTCCTAACAACGGCAGCGGGGACGGTCCTTTTAGTGGCGATGGTAATGGTCACTCCAACTGTGACTGCCACATAGTCAACGCCAACGACGACTCTAAGAATCCTCAACCGGATAGCGGGTATGGTGCGAATCGCGACTCGACTTCCCAACCTCCGGGTTCCGATCCCATTCCCGCTCCGTCCTCCATGCAACCCCGACCAACTAATGTCGCCATGATGTTTGTTGAAGAAATTTCTCCTCGTGGCCACGATTTTGGAACTCGCACGCCTGGCGGTGATTCATACTTGCAAACTGCCATTCCACTAGACCCTGCGCTGGTCCCTGCACCGCCCTTGAAGCGACCGCGACTCTGTCACCTGCCTCCCCTTCAAATGACATCCCAATTATATGAGCTAGGGACTTTTCTACATGCTTCTCGTCATGAGTTTTCTCGACGGGGATAATAACCCTGCATTACATTTAAACACACCTCTCTTGAACAAATCCCTTCCACGAACGTCACCCCCCCGTGATAATTATCCGATTCCTCTAGGCAATTTCAACCCCAGGCAATGTCCACCAACTCCTCCCCCGAGCCCGGATTCGAAACTGCTCTCGGCTTCGCCATTTAGGTAATCCACTAGCTGGATATATTATCCTGTTGTCATGGTGATTTGGTTAATCTCCTTTTGTTTGACATTTAATAATAATAATAATAATAATAATAATAATAATAATAATAATAATAATAATAATAATAATAATAATAATAATAATAATAATAATAATAATAATAATAATAATAATAATAATAATAATAATAATAATAATAATAATAATAATAATAATAATAATAATAATAATAATGTCTTCTGGAGGCTGGTCCAAGAGACTTAAATTTAACTTAGCTTCATATCCAGGTGATGTTATGCCGTCGATATTCTGTTTTCTGATATGTCTCATGAAACTAATTCCAACGCAGAATGTTTGGTGAGAGTCTGAAGAACTCAGGTATGAATGCAGGAATTGAAGAGGAGGAAGGGTTTAAATGTTCAAAATCTTTAGTGAACTATTACTGAGAAATGATATCATTCATTCGAGCCTCTGATGATGGGTGGTTCTCATTAGTTTACTTCCTTATATTCTTTATTACTTGGGTCTGCCTTATATATCTTTGCGATTTGCTGCTAGTCCTCTCTAACCTTTTGGCAAGACACATCTAGGATTGCTAAGTGCCATTGGAATACCCTAAGTATTCGCGCTTCAAAAAGCTCGACTCATCCTCCCACTCGAACCGTGTGATCTTTCTCCATTGTTTATAGTCTTTCATGACGATCCCTCCTCTTCCTTCTTTTGTACGGCAATTTCCCTTTCTATCGCCATTCCTCCAGCAGCGATGCTTTGAGAGATGCGTGTCATAATTATTCAAATATTTGCCACAATCATGGGACTGGGAGACCGGCTCTGTTTTCCCTTTTCGTTTTGCGTCAAAGCAACATAAGCTTGCCAGGGTCTCGAGAGTCCTAATCAGGAGTGAGGGCGACGGATCAACTTTTCAATTTCATATCATATCATATCAGCGGATTAGATCCCATTGGGTTCTCACGATCAGAAACGCAACCGAAAAAGATGCATCGGACGGTTAGGGAAGAGATATACACTGGGAATTTCGAATGCTGTGAAATATTGAACGACTCGAGTGTCTGGATAGTCTCGGACGGGGTTAGCAAAGGACCACGTTGGTTAGGATGTTACTTCTAATGAACTGGGTGCCTATTTACTGGATTGCTCTCATCCTTTACGCAATGATTTGCGAAGGGTATGATACTCCCCATTCTCCATGGTGAGCAGAAATCGAAATTGAGACGCCCGTTATACCAATCGGCCACTTAGCAGACATGATTTTAATAAGTTGAGACCTCTATACGCAGATGGATGTCCTTATCCGTCTCTAAAATCTGAATCACGATGGACCTTTTAGAGCATCCATCTACGAAATTTCCCCCCAGCGAAGGCTATCACAACTTTGAGAGACTTGCATTTCTAAGGCCAGCAATAGCACTTGTTCGAGCTTCCGAAGTCGCCCTTGACGAGTTCCTCACAATTTCCTCATCTTCATGGCCAAGCACCTTATCCCCAGAAATACTATTTACGAAGAAAAACATATATATCTTAATCTTAAGGGCACACAGTCAAAGGATAGTCATCTTAACCATCCAACCACATATCGGCGGCATTTCACTCCCCGATAACATACTCACATCCCTGGGGCCGGATCCAAACTTCTTGCACTTTCCCACCAGGAACATCTATTCCGAAACCTTGTCCAAAAGTCTCTTGCTTTAGTCTCATCATCGGGATGCGAAATCGTTAAAGAGCCAGTACGGATGAAATAAGTGGTGAGTCCGTCATGAGAGCGCGACGCATGATGGCTATTCCATAGAATAAGGAATGCTTTGCAGCAAGAAGGCCATGGGAAAGCAAAGAGGCTTTTCTTACGGGACATCATTCCAAGCGATCGCCGTTTTGAAACCCCAGGATCGAACTTCTTGTTCGCATTCCGCACGACTGGGTATCGTCAACGTTTATATCTTTCCCTCAGTTTAAGCTTAAATTAGCCTCGGCCCTCATCGTCTGGACATAATATTAGTGCATGTACGGAGTTCTCCGCAGCAGAGACGGAATTCACGGGAAGGTTGTTGTCGATGGGAATGGGGACGATTTTCACGCTAGCTCAACTCCGATATTTCAACCAGGTATACCCAAGGCAACATTTAAATACTAAATTTGGAGTATCCCAAGGAAATTATATGCCCTTCAGGTTCAATCTGCTGTCATTCTGATATTATTCATCCATATCTGTCTGATGCTTTGATTCCATGCATTTTCTCCCTTGGATTGCAGGTATGTGATGCAAATTCCTAGATTAAATCGAAAACTTTCTCCATTCGTTCCCAGGGCTTTCTGCTTAACCAATCTTTCTGTCCATTTCCATCTTGGATGTTCCTTCTAACATGACATTAGGGCTCATTA